AGGGGCGTGTACGAGAGCGAGAGTAGGAGGGAGGGGGCGACGTTTCTTGGCTTGCTTCGCCGCAGCCACACGGGTCCAATTTTGGCAACTTGTTGAGGCTCTGCTGGCTGGCGCGGTTTTTTGTGTGTTTGCTTTTTTTGGGGCCGCAAAGGGAGGGTGGAGTAAGCGACTTGTCAGACAACACAAACGTCACAGCCAGCAAAGAAGCGCCATGGGCGCGGCGCGGAACGCGAGATGAAAGGGAGGGGTGGCAGAGAGGCTCGTGAGGCTCCCTTTCTCTCCTTTTTTCGACATGAGCTCCGAGAGACGGGCAGACTGCGAGGCCGCACGAGCCTCTCGCAGCAAATAGCGTGTTTGAGGGGGGCCAGCATGCGACGGGGTCGACAGAAGAAGGGGAGAGCCGCAAGGTGAAACTCGGAAATTTTCTAGAACGCCTGTGGAAGGACGCTCGGTCCGCGCCCCTTCCCCACCTCGACTCGCGAACTCATTGACGCAACGCAGCAGCACACCGAAGCGGCGCTCGAGCCCATGGTTTGCCTCCTCAGGGGCGGGGACCGTGTCGGTGTGGGTTGCTGTCGAGCGCGCAGTGCGGCTCGCGATGACGGGCAGAGAGGTTGAGATCTTATCGCGCACTTGGTCGGTGTGTTGAGACAATTGGCCGTGTCGAGTGCGGGTAAGCGAGAGGATGGCACGATGCCTGTATCGAGCCTCGCCTCCGCTATCGATTGAGATCGCCGTCAATATACCGGCGAGGTGGACGCGCATTTTGGAATCCTGTAGTTTTTTGGAATACGGTGGAAGCGACATGTGAGTCAACTCGAGCTCCACCACGGCGATTGGCATCTCGGGCGGGTGGGAATTTTTTCTTCACGATGGATCCCCAATGCAGGCGGTGAGTGACCGCTTCGGTCGATCATGATTGCCTGCGAAGCGATGGTGTTGTATCAGCCGTGCCGGGTTGCCGCTCGCATGACCGAAATGTGGGGAGGCGGCTTGGCTCGCTATGATTTCATACATCGTGAGATTCGTGCGCCGAGTATTGGCGGACATTGCCGCATGGTGTTGGACGGGCGACGCGTCTCGGGCCCGGGCGAGTCAGGTAGAGGGTAAGGCTGGGGTGCGGTCATGTGGATCGAGAGAGGCGGTGTTTGCAAGAATGAGCTGTAAGCGCCTGATGCCAGCGGAGATCATTGTTGGGATTAATTGCGAGCACAATACGGGCGCGCGGGCACTTCGCATCACCGTCCCGTTTCGGCCTCGCCGACCGGCCCCCACCGGTGCATAGTCGTCAGTGGGCTCTCACTTTTTTTTTCTGCCGTAGCTGCCGCCCGCCCTGCGTCCGTGAGCCGGCCTCCCGCTGTGTGACAACCGTCAATGACGATGATCCCCGCAACACCAACTGCTCACTGGCAGCCTTGCCAGCCTTGCACAGATTACTGGCTCTCCGCGAACCGTTTCTAGCGCGCGGACGCTCCCTCTGGTCCCACTGCCGAGTCAGCGATCGCCCGCCCGCGAGGCCTCGTGACCGCGCGACCTGGTGGTGACGGGAATACTGCACGGCGCTTCCCTCACCGCAGCCCTCACCGCCGACCGCCCTCCACGGTGTCACAGACGCCCGCTGCGAGTGCGGAAGCGCCGGACAGGGCTGTCACAGACTCTCCTCCGCTCGAGAGGGCATCGCAAACTCTTCCTTGCTCCTCACGCGCCGCACATCTTCCTGATCTCATCTCTTTTGATCCCGTTGCTTTTTCGTCACCGCCAGCACGTGAAGATCCCACCCGCGCCTTCCCTGCCCGTGCCAAGCAGAGCTCTGAAAAAACGGCGGCTAACACGGACAAGCCAGCGAGTAGCTCAGAAGTGGGCAGATTCAATGCAACACCACGCCTGCCGCCATCGTGGCCCGCGCCGAGCCTGGGCACCTGCGCGCGAATGCGCCTGTCAGCCCATCACAAAAGAAAAGACACCATGCACGACGCATCGTCGCCCAAGACAAACAAAACCTGGGACAGCAGCGAGCGCATGCAGGTGACGACCTGACGTGCCACGGATCCTCACGCACTTCCCTCTCTCGGCTCCGGCGAAGCGGAAACGAGAACGTGGACGGGCGCCATGTCTCGCATGCGGCGGCAAGCAGGTGCGCTGCTTGGCGCGTGTGAGCCACGATGACTTCATCCATCACCGTATCTTTTTCTTTTTCTGCCGACAGATCAATAATGGGGTTCGTATCGCGGACGGTGCGGTGAGTTTGACAAAAGCTGCGAGATGCGGCGGGCATTGGCGCCTGTGCTTGCTGCCGTGCGGAGCGCCTTGAAGGGCGCGTGAGGCTTGCTGTCGATCATATTGCTGCCTGCATAATTTCTGTTACTCTGACTGACTCCTCAAATCTTTGTGCATAACCCTTTGTTTTGGAATTCCCCTTCACGGACTGTTGTTGATTTGCCGCTTTCGGACGGATCCTCCAAGTTTAATGAGCTCTGCGCCTCTTGCTGTGGCTGATGACATCTCCAGATCCTCTGACGTCGGCCGTGATGTCTCGCGAGAGGCCCCCCAGACCCACCGTGCTGAGACGCGTCGGCCCGTGAACGCGACGAAACACCATCGTGACCACGCGGACATTCTATCTTTGTCGTCGTCATGGTGCCTCGCCGCGAGCACTACCCCTGAGCTGTGGATCACGATCCGGAATCTTGGTATCGTCTTCGTGGATTCAGCCGCAAGTCTGTGCTTTCGAGATATTGCACCGTGCTCCAGCCGCCGACTTCATACCAGCGTCACTCCCGTCGACCGGCCGCGTTAACTCGTTCCTGGCGGGAGGCTGCGGGAGAGACGAGAGGTTGGGCTCTTTGCGACCTGACTCCTGCCCTGACCGGTATCGCGCAAGTTGATCGCGATCCCGTCGCTAATGACGAATGTGGTAATTTAGCACTCTCAATGGTGCGGCTGCCTATTTTCAGCCACTTACGCATTGCTGCACACCACCAACACTGGATATAGATCGTGATAATAGATCTATTATCCCGGCCCACCTGATTTCCATGCCCGTGGGCCCGCGCGGATGGCGCAGCACTGTCAGAAACGTCTGTGTGTTGATAGTGATAGGTTTACATACTATAGCGGACGAGAGGAACTCTCCAATAGTCGCCACCCCCCGGCGAGTCAAGCACAAAGCTTAGTAGCTCCTGTATAGTCTAGGTACGTCTTCCTATAGTTCTCCTATCGATAGCGCTTGCGCAGTCTCGCGGATTCCGTCATTCACCGATTGCCTTTTGATTTGCATTTGCGGCCGAGGCCCAGCTCTCACTTGTGCATCCACGGTTGACCGGTGTGCAGTCTGGCAATCGGCGTAACATCTCGAACTCAAAGGCTACGCGGCTAAGCGGCCAGGCAGCTGCACAACACCCAGATCCTTCGGCCAGCGCATCACTGCACTCCATCGCGGTGGTTCGATAGGAAGGCCAGATGCAAAACTGCGTCACATGCCAGATGGATACTGCATAGCAAGCTCACAGCGGCACGACGGTGAATCTCGACTACGCCGACAATCTTCACCGTAGACAACAAACTTCTTCCAGATGCGGTCTCAACAGCAGTAGGGTTGCAACAAACCATCCAGACCACAACCTGGACCCCGCCGACAATCTTCACCGCAACAACAAGCTTTCATTCCAGATGCGGCCTCAACGGCTGTAGAGTTGCGACAGCCCACCCAAACTCAACCACCTTTACCCCGCCTTTGCAGCTCCCGCAAGCGCAGCCACCATCGGGCAACCTGCCCACAAAAGCAACCAAAGAAGCCAATGAACACCTCCCCATTGCTCACCGCCACCCGCGATCGCGACAAAGCAAAAACCGCTGCAGTAGCATTCTTGGGACCGCGCGAAGCTTTCCCCGCTTCACATGCGACGTTAGACCCGACCCAAACCACTCCCCCCCCCCACCCGTCCACCCGCTCAGCCCACCACCACACCACCCCCGCGCGCGCGGCTGAAGGGCAAGATAAGGTTCCCCACGATCATCACGAAAACAGAAATGCAGGTCGAGTCCAGACCGGACGCATTTTAGAGCCCCAGAGTTGGTCCCATTTTGCGCTTTCACAATCCTTCTTGCTCGCTCCCTGTCCACTTGAACCACACAAAAAGGAAAATCGAAAAAATAGTTCATGTGGGGCATCATGCCATCGGCCACCCCGGGAATAGCTCTTCAGCCCTCCCGTTTCTATTTGAAAGTGATTGGGTGCGGAAAGAATTAGCGACCAGATTGAATTGCCTTGCGCGGCAATTGGCACTAGTCTTGTCCAAAACCAAATGAGATCGTGACGAGAAAGGAGAAAGCAGAGATCTGGACTGCAGGGCCAGATCCGTATTCCCCATAATCCAAAACTCTCTCTCTGCCGCGCGGAACCAACAAGATACATACGCAGTACAATCTCCACACGATCGGCGCTTTGCCCAAACCGGTGATTGCTCGCTGCTAGTGTTGTCGAACGGAACTAAAACCCGCCCCCAGACCCAGCTCCCCGGAAGCTGCTGATCGCGCACCAATGCCGATCTAGCTAGGGAAAGCGAGCTGTGCTACCGCTACGGTAGGCCTATCCGAGCCAACACGGGTCAGAGGTGGTCAAGCGTGAAACGGGAAAGACGGAAAAGCAAAACCCCAATGCCGATAGAATGGTAGTAGGAATGGTTAGTAGTAGTTAGCAACCCACGTCACACGAAAAAAAGATAATCCCCTTCAAAAAACGCCATGTTGATCATCTCCGTGCCGCTGGGGGAAAGTCGATAATTCCCCATCCCGTCAATCCCCATCCTGTCCCGCACATTCCCATGAATGATGTGCACTGGAATCGCCCCCCTTCCCCTCATCCAGCCGTCCCGCAAATCCTTCTTCCCCCAACCAAGACCCCAAACTCCGCCTTAACCGCCATCCCGTTATTTCCGCCGTAACATCGCCACCCTCAACACTAAGGCCGTAACTCCTCCACTCCTACCTTCGCCACCGCTCTAGACCACACTTCCAGCCCGACTACCACCGGGCGTGGACTTCTTGCTGTTCTCGGCTTTGCGCCTCTCCTTGTAGATCGTGAACATGGTCTTTCTCGGCTTGTTCCCTTTGGCGCCGCCACCACTGCCACCACCACCGCCACCACTTGGAGGTGGTGGAGCAGGCATGCCATTCGGCCGCTTCTCCTTGGTAGCCTTTGTCGTCATTGTCGACGACGATGATGCCGGCCGTGCTGGTGGTGGCGGCGGCGAGCCGTCACCGTCCCTCTTCCTCTTGTTGGGGTTGGTTATGGTAGGCAGTCCCTTCGCGGCCGATCCCGCACCCGCCGCCGCCGCCGTCTGCTGCGGACCGGACGTAGCCGACCGCGCTGGCGGCGGCGCAGGCGGCGGCTTTGCGGACGCGGCACGGGCTGACGATGCCGCCAGTGCTGACCTTGCGGCCGATGCCGAGGTTGGAGGAGGTCGGGGGTTATTTTGAGCGCCGCGGACGGTCAACTGGTGGGCCGTGGGGGCGGGTGGCTTGGGTGGCGGCCTGGTAGCGGGAGCGGGAGGAGCGGGCTGAGGCGGCTTTTGAGGAAATGGCTCCGCGGCGGTGGTGGAAGTAGCCGCCGTCTGAGCGTGATTGGAGGCGGATGAAGGGCCCGCGGCCGGGAGAGGGGTCGTGGTCGTCCAGGGAGCGGGCATCTGGTTGGCGTTATGTCGGAGCGGTGAACCGACCACACCCTGCTGTAGATTCCCATTCTTACGCTTATTCTGCCGCTTGGGCTTTTTGGGACGCTGATTGTCCTTACCTCCCGGGGCGCTGTTGACCGGCGGCGAGAATGTCGGAGGAAGACTCCTCTCTGGTACGTGCTCCATGCGCGAGATGTTGGAGTGGATGATTGGTCTCAAAGATCTACCCTGCTCGACAAAGAACTTCTCCAGCATGGCTGGGTTCATGACCCCTTTGATGAATTTTGGCATAGGTATTGACTCCACGTAGTACTTGTGCCATGGGAGAGGATCAATACCTTCGTCGCCGCACTCCTCCGTGTATTTCCTGTAGTCAGTCCTGGACCTGATGATGTAGTCATCCCACAGAAAAGGGTGAAGACCACGGTCCTGCCTTCGGAGCCACTCCAACTGACCACAGAGATTTTCAAAATGCTTGCGATTTCCAGTGTACTCAGGATAAATCTGGCTGAACTGATCGAAGGTGCTACTTGGCTCTGTCATACCAGAAATTTCGCGAGGGGGCCCGGTTGGCATGCCGGTTGACCGTTCTGCATCATCGGCATTCGGTGGCGGTTGTATTGTGTCCACGTCACCAGGAGGGTTCACCGGAGCATCAGTAGCCGCATTTCGTTGCGGGTCCGTGACAGGTGCAGCTTTTTCCTTCGCAGGAGAGGGCACTGGACCGCCAGGTGCTTGCGTGTTGTCAGGAATACCAAGAGCTGCTTGCGGGTTATCCTGAGTCTCGACGTGCTGTGGATTCAAGTGACCGTGTGGTAGTGTTTCCTTGACGTGACTAATGTTTTCGGGTGCATTTGCCTGCTGAGCTTCAGCAGCACTAGATCCAATACGAGAAACTTGAGGCTGTGCTTCAGCAGGAACGTCTATATCCATTCCATCGGGGGAAGCAGGTCGTGGAATGACACCTGTTTCCGTAGGTGACAAAGGTGACCGATCCTCCTCCTCAACGACCTCAGTCTTGACCTTCGTAGGTGCCTTGGCTACAACTGTGCTCGAACCTTCGCCGCTTGACGTCGGTCCCTGGGCAGCAGAAGCAGAGGGCTGCCTTGACTCACGAGTGGTATGCGGGTCCTCCTCAGCAGGCTCCTTCTTCACCTGTACGGGCGCCCTAGAACTTGGCGAATTGGGGGAGTTTGTTGATGAGATGCCAGCGTCAGATCCAGCTCGATCTGATGTAGAGCCAGAACCCCGGCGTTGTCGAGGCACATTGGGTGTGACAGCTCTGTATCCTCCGTCGCTGTGGAATTTGCGCCTCAATTCATGTAAAGACGTAAGAGGTTCTTGCGATACAGGCACATCTTGGCTGAAGTGAAAGTTTGTGCCAGACTTCTTGGCTCGCTTGCGGGGTTCATGTGGAGGCGATGGAGACTGTACTTCCCGCTTGATGGGCGGGTCCTTGGGGCGATGGTGAGCTGGCGAACCGTCTGCTGAAGAATTCCTGTTTCGCGAAGCCCTTCCATGTCGCACTGCAGGACTCGCCGGGGTGTGTTGGTTTCGAAGTGAAGGTGATGCTAGGCTTCGTCGCTGAGACGACCGACTCGATTGTTCATTCTGGATTTGACGCTCCACCGCATCCTCTTGATCCGGAAAAGATGTCATCTTGCTCTCAGCAGCGCCGTCGAAAGTAACCACGCGTTGAGGTATATTCCGTGTTGTTCTTTCGACCTCATATGAGCATGGTATGACAGGTGCAGAAGATGAGGTATGATGCTCCTTGTGCGGCGGTGGTTGGGGCGGTTGCGTCACGGGAGGGGTCTTGCCTGAGATAGATGAAGTTGTCACTTGCAAGGGACGTGTGGTTTCTGGAAGGTGCAGATGCGTGTATGGCTTCCCAGAGGAGGAAACATGCCGTGACATCTGATTCGAAGGGTTATTTTTGCGACTGCCAGGATCGTCCACTTCACCCGCCGGACTTTGCAACGATCGCTTTCTATACGAAAGAGCCATCGGTACAGATGTTTCCAAGTCGGAATCATCCATTGGATCCTCTTGTGGTTGAGCTTCCGAGACCGTACGCGGTGGGGATGAGGGAATCTCAGCAGTCGGATGGTGCGAGCTTTCTGTCTCTCTTGTCTGAGGACACGCATCTCTCTCTTCTCCATCATGCTCCTCGGGAAAACTGCTATCTGGCGGTAGGTCTGCTTGGCGTTTCATTGTTCGAACAGGAGAAGAACTCCAGGCATAATGTACAGTCGGTGGAGATGAAATCACATCTACCACAGCGTCCGCCATTGCGGGACTCGAAGGAGCATTTTCAACCACAGTTGACTGGTCTTCTTGGTACGGGCTGCTGTTTTCCGGTGGGTGCAGTCTCTGCTTCTGTCCTTCTAATCTTGCTGTGAGGGTCATCAGTATGTGGTTTGGTACGTTGGCCACGGGATAGTGGAATCCGATAAGCGCAGGGAAAATAGAACTCGGCTTCTTCAAAATCTCCTCCTGGTCCTGCGGTATCTTGCAAGCTGAACGAGTAGCGGGCAGTACGCAATTCCACCGGGGATGCTGGAAAAATCGCCTTTCGCATTTCGAAGAAGCTTGCGTTGAATGAGCCTTCTCAACTGTGGGGAGCACACTTGGAAGGCTAGAATTAGTTGTGGGTACAGTCAAACTACTGACCACCGGGATCTGATACGAAGTAGGCGTGTTGTTGTTGGCGGCAGGGCCTTTGGACACCTGACCCTCTGCGGAGACTTTGGGGTCTCTGGGGGCATCACCTTTATCCGGGTTAGGCTGCTCGACAGGATCTCTCGATTCCCCGCTGTTGGCCGTGCCGTTAATTTCCTCATCCAAGCCAGTGAGGCCAGAAGCATCCTCCTCAGTGTGCATGACCACGACATCTTCCTCTTCATGCTCTTCTTCAGCCACATCTTGTCGCGGGTTGGTTTTGGGTATTTGGCTCTTTGATTGTGACGGGGATGAGTCTGCATGCTGTGATGCTTTCTTTGGGAGAGCTGATGGAAGCATCGTCTCGTTCATTGGCCCACTACGTTGTTGCTTCAAAAGTGCAAGCAGCTTCGAACTATCCGCTGGCTTGGGCTGCACTCTGCCCTTTGCGCTCGTTTGCTCGCCCGGCTCACTTTTGATGGTAGGAGTTTTCGTTGCAGCGCCATTGTTCCTGTTTCCAAGATCATGCAACTGAGAAAATGGCCTCTGTGTCGCAAAGTTTCTAAGAACAGGCAACTGAGAAAATGGCCCCTGTGTCGCGAAAAGGCTTTGGCTGGCTTCCGCGATTTCTCCTTGGGATGATGCATCACCATCAGAATCTTTGCTGTCTTCAGAAGCTTCCCCATGAAATTTTCTGAGTAGTGTCCTAATCTTGGGCGAAGTAACAATCGACTTCGGATGACCGTATGTAGCAGCTCCGTAAGCACCATGGAACTGGGCATCCTTTAAGAGGAGATGGATTTGGTCTTCGTCGCTTGTGTTGAAATGGGGTATAGTGATCTCGAAACTCCTCATCTGGATTATACCGCCTTCGATGTCTTTACACTTCCGCTTTTCGAGATGTTTCCATAAATGCCGCGAGAATCTTATCTTAATGGAGAATTCGCCGTCTGATACGATGGCATCGACCGGTGCGTCTGCTTCGAGTTGGGTAAACTAGAAATGAGTGAGCTGGTGCGGCCTGTCAAAAGTGGCGGTATGACCAACCTCTACAAGCTGGACTAATGCCCTATCTCCTTGGTTCCTAACGGCCGAGATCCGGAGATTACTTCCATCATCTTCGAAGAAAGATTCGAGCTGCTGTGATGCGGTATATTCCGCTCTCTGGTTTGGATTTGTCTCCCGCATAACTAAAACGCTGTCGACTTCTTCTGCCACGGCTACAGCGAGCCATGGCTTTAGCGGTCCGTAAGTTTCTGGGGGAGGCATTGTCTCTACAGCGCTGCGAATGCGTTGCGGCGGCTATTGCATCATCTTCTTCGGACAACTGATAGCGCGCGTGTGCAGCGCAATTTGTCCAGAGCAGAGCGCGCTTATCGGCGCAGGAATGGACCAGGCTGCGCGGAGAAAACACAAGGGCGTGTCGATCTGGGTCGAAGAGCCGGTCTTCTCGTGGCGAACTTGGGAATATCTTGGGATGGCGTGCGGAAGTTCAATGGCAAGGCTGAGCGGCGATGCTGCAGTCGCGGGCAATTGCGGCGACGCGTGCGGGGGACGCGCCTGCCCGTGACACGGTGGATTCCAGTCAAGGCGCGCGAGTCAGGGTCCAGCGCGGCGCGGCGAAAATGTCGGACCGGGCTGCAGGTGGACCATGGATGGCAGCTGCGCGAGGCGTCATCTGCCAAGCTCGCCTTGCGGATCGTCCCCCAGCCTGCGCTTGTTGTGCTGGTGGGCGAACGTGCACCCACTTTCGTGCTGTGTGGTGTCTCCAGTGTCCGAACCAGAACGCAGCTTTCCGTCCACGCCTGCTGCCCATGCCTGTGCAAGCTGTGCGAACCGCCGAGGCCCACGAGCCCATCGCTACCTTTGAACGCTCGTAGCCCGCCACCCCGCCGAGTCGGTCGTTCCCCGATCTTCCATGAGAATCACGCGCCGCCAGTCTATCGACACTTTATAATCTGTCTCCAGAGCCCTGATGCTGTAGTCATCCGTCCCCAGCACCATGCCCTCGTCTCACATCCAGGATGTGCCCAGCCCGTCCACATCAACCCTCCGCCTCTCTCTCGGTCCTCTTGGGCGCACATCCCGCAGAGGATCCATTGCCTCGCTGTCGTCCCGTGCACCAGTGGACAAGGAAGTTCTGCGGGAAGCCCTGGACCAGATACACACGTCCGCCTCACGTTCTGAGACGCTCACCACCTTCGACCAGTTTGCCTCGCCGCCACCGCCATCCATTCATGAGAGCAAGGGCATAACCGGGGACCTGGTGCAGGGTGGGTTGAGCGGGTTGTATAATAGGTTCAGGACGTCATATGGAAGAGGCAAAGAGGTGGCTGCGGCCCCGCCCAGTCCCACCGTTGGCTACGACAGCGATGGCTCGGCGGCCAGCTCCAGGGCGAATGGGAAGCACAAGGCATCCAGGAGCATAGCAGGAACGACCGTGTCCTCGCCTGTTCTCTTGTCGTCGCCGGCCCAATCGCACATCCACTCCCCGCTGGCGAATACCTTCAAAGAAGCTGCTGGGTCTGCTCTTCCTGTGTCGTCTGAAACCTCGAGTAACTCGCGTGCTTCTATAAGCACGCCCCAATCTCCTCTGCCACTCCAAGCCAAGTCAAAACCGCTTCTGTCTCTCGCGCCTGTTGAACATGCCATGGGGCGAGCTATTAGTAGCTCCAGATCTGGCTCGATATCTGAACAACATCCGGTCAGACGTGCAAGTCATTCCACGACGTCATCTCAAATGGAAAGGAATGCACCCCCTCGGAGCATACCCCGCAGTCAGCCAGACCAACAGCCCGACAGATCAAGGTCCTCGCGCGCCAGTCGAGTGTCAGAGGATGACGACTCCAGCGTGTTTGGGGAGGAGGATATGGTTCTCGTGGACGAGCTTCCCCTCAACGATGCTGGGAGCTTCTTTGGCGTTCGTTCTGATCTTTCGCAGGGCCAACCAGGGCCGGTCGTACATAGTGCCCCCCTTACAAGAAAGAACAGCCAAACGGCACCGACTAGCTTCGCGAGGGATCTAAATGAAGCGCACCCCGGGCAACCAAACATCGGGGAAGCACTCAGCGAGGGTACTGTGAAAAACGTCCACCCAGACACGCCCACGTCTGCAAAGAGTGGTGCTTCCAGACCGCCCATGGTATCGATTGGTCCGTCGCATTTGCCGGGATTCCGGCCATCTCGCGCTTCGTCATCAGACGGCATGAGTTCGCTCACGACAGTCGCTCCGGCGCAGCCCCGCCACGCAACATTCCAGGACGACCACCACCGGTCTGTTTCTCAGACCAGGCAACCCGATATGCGGAGCAGCAACAGCACTCTTGCTCAGATGAAGCGCCGGGTTCTTGGCAAGGAGTTCTGGATGAGGGATGAAAACGCAAAGGACTGTTTCTACTGTGGCGAGGTCTTCTCCACTTTTCGCAGAAAGCACCATTGCCGTACGTGCGGCCAGATTTTCGACGCAAAATGCACGTCTCTGGTTTCCGGGAAGGTCTTCGGACAGTCCGGAAATATCAGGGTGTGCAAGCCGTGCGAGGCCATCATCAACGGCAACGAAGACGATTCTTCGGATTACTCAGAAGACGCTGATCAGAGCTCACTTTTCGAGAGCGAGGCCTTATCAAAGCCTCTTGACCGGAGAAATTCAGTGGGTACAGATGCGTCGAAAGGGGACGTTGCCAAGGGACCACCTGGTGTCAAGGCAAGGGACCATACTAAAATCGGGACGCCAATGATGGGTATCCCCACATCGCGAAAACCAGGAGAAAAGAGACTGCGGTCTGCCGTGATCGAATTCAACACTGGCCACCCGGCCCTGCCGCGGCCGAGCTCCTCAAGATCATTGCGGTCGTTGAGCATGAGGCCGCTATCCTCGTCTGGGCACAGAAGACATCACTCGCGACACCAGCACATGCGCAGTCTGAAGGATGATCGTGCCCCGTTTCACCGCCATCAAACAGAAGAGCTCGAGAAGCGGTCCATGCTGCCTGCTTTTCATAACGACAGCATCATCGACCCCGACCTCGCTGCATTCATGTCCGACGAAGACTCTAGCGAGGACGAGACGCCCAGCATCTTCGCTGCGTTGAGCAACGACCCGCAAGAGACTAACGAAGGTGATAGAAACGGGCTCGGTGGGCTCTTGGCGGCAATCAAGAAAGGAAAGTCACGCGCCGGGGACAGGAGTATCGCAGCCCAATTGGCAGCTCCCATGCGCGACCTTGACGCGGCCAGCATTTCGAGTCGGCATATTCCCCGCCAACACCGCCGCCGCAACCTCAGCGTCAGCAGCCTGACACACAGGCCCTCACCGCGACGGACCAAGAGCAACAGCCTACTCAAGCCTTTCGGCATCAACCTCGCAAGCATCGTCGGCGGACAGCCCGGAACCATGTCCACTCTTGCCCAGGTCAGTGGAGGTGGGTCCAAGATGGTCCGCAGTGCTTCAATGCGCGGCGAACACGCGCCTGCCGTCGAGCTCAACCGAGCAAGCTTGCAACACGTCCGAAAACTCCTTCGGCAGATGCTCCAGGATTCGAATGTCGCCGCAGCCTCCAGCTGGGAGAAGGCCCTAATGCCAATTCTCTTGCGATGCACTGATGACGTCAACCCAGACGTCCAGCGGAGCGACGACATTGATATTCGACACTACATCAAACTGAAGAAAATCCCGGGTGGAAGGCCAGGCGATACGTCATACATTTCTGGTGTTGTGTTTACCAAGAACGTGGCGCTGAAGAGCATGCCACGAAGCATTCCCCAGCCTCGCGTGCTCATCGTCACGTTTCCCATTGAATACGCGCGTCATCAACAGCACTTCATGAGTCTTGAGCCAGTCATAGCACAAGAGCGGGAGTTCCTGCGTAACCTTGTTGGCCGCATTGCCGCGCTAAATCCTCAGGTTCTGCTTGTCCAGCGCAATGTCTCCGGCTTAGCCTTGCAATACCTGGATGAGGCCAACATCACCGTCATTCACAACATCAAGGCATCGGTTCTCAACGCTGTCTCTCGGTGTCTCCAGATCAGAATGATCTCATCCATCGATAAACTTGCAACCGATCCATCGACCCTAGGCCAGTGTCAAAGCTTTGATGTCAAGACGTATGTGCACGGACGCGTCAAGAAGACCTACATCTACTTGTCTGGATGCAAGAAGGAGCTTGGCTGCACCATAGTCCTCCGCGGTACGGATACAACCACCTTGCGGAAACTCAAGCAAATCACCGAGTTCCTCTGCTATGTCGTGTACAACCTCAAGCTGGAGACCTGTCTCATGCGCGACGAGTTTGTGTTGATACCATCCTCTATAGAAGGCGCTGGTGATAAGCCCGGGAAGCAAGCAGACGAGCTGACTGCCCAGGGTGGCGAGGTTGCAAAGCCCGCAGCTCTGCCGGGTGCGAATGGCAGCTCGGACAATAACCCGACCATTCAGGTCCAGGATGAAACAGGGCAACCAACCGACGCACAAGCCGACGATGCGACATCGATCCAGACTTCCGAGTATTCACAAACAAAGTCGGATATCCAGCAGCAATATCAAGAACAGAGCCAGCCCTTGGAGCATACTTCCGAGCAGGCCAAAGCAATCACTTCAAGCCAAGAGCTGGCAATTCCCGAGGATGTGCCCATGCCTTCCTTCTATGGCGACATGGTTGAGAAGCATAGAACAAAGATCCTGTCCGCTTCGCCGTTCATCAAATTTATGCAGCCATACCTCCTCACCCAGGCAAGAGAACAGGAGAGACGCCTTGCCTACCTCAGGCGCTTGCGCGATCAATACAGCCAAATCCAGGACGAAGAAGACGAAGAGCAAGATTCGCATGAGAGGTTCGAGCTTGTGCAGCCGGAGATGGTTCACACAGTTGTGCAGAAAGCTTCAAGACAAGTTCGCGACTTCCTACATGCCGTGCATGATGCGGAATACGACAAGGCGATGCACAACTATTTGACCCAAAAGAGGCAGTGGGAGGCATATCTCTCTGCGAATAGCGACCTTTTCGACCCCTTCACCCACCAGAAAATCGCCGTACTCTACAGCGTCGTTAACTCGGTAACCTCCACGCCTTGCATCGGCCCTGAGATCATCTCGTTGGAATTTTACAAGGAGCACGACCTTGACCATGGTTTTGCTGCAGATTGCACGCTCGGTCAGTATGTGGAAGATCTTTGCTACACCGCGAACCAGATATGCACTGCAAACGGCTGCGGCAAGAAGATGGTCGAGCATCATCGGCATTACATACACGGCGAGGGTCAAATGAGTGTCGTTGTCGAGAAATACCCTTCTAAGATTCGCGGTCTCCACAACACGATGCTCATGTGGAGCAGCTGCCGAGTCTGTGGGCAGGAAACCCAAACAATCCCCATGTCCGAGAGCACTTGGAAGTACTCCTTTGCCAAGTATCTGGAATTGACCTTCTGGAGCACTAATCTGCACCCTCGAGCTGATATTTGTCCTCACGATATTCACCGCAACCACGTTCGGTACTTTGGATTTAACAACATCGCCTTGCGGATCCAATACGACCCTATCGAGCTTTACGAGGTCATCGTTCCAAGACCTACTATTACCTGGAAAGTCGATCGAGATCTGAGGCTCAAGAACGAACAATTCTCCAGGATTGAAGACCGCCTAGACAAATTCATGGCGTCGGTGAAGGCTCGTATCAAGAGCATCAGAGTCGACAGCGTCGTTCCGGAGAAGCACGAGGCGTGCAAGGCCGAGATTGCAAATCTGATGAAGCGTGCCAATGATGAACAAGACTTCTTACGCCGCAAACTTCAAGACAAGTACATGTGTTCGCGGTACTACGAAATCATTCCCCTCAATCGAGCTATCAGGGCTATTCACGAGAAGGCTTTGGCCTGGGATGACACTTTCGCAAAGTTTGAGAAGGCGTTCTTCCCGTCGGAGAAGGATATTCAGCGACTTGCCGTGCTACAGCTGAAGAAGATTTTCCTGGACCGAGATGAGTCGCAGACATCGGTGAACTCAATAGAGGAAGGCGTTGAGGAAGCACCTGCTGTGCTAGACGGTGGCCAGGTCACTGAAAAGGATGGCGAGAATATCACGGCGGCAACACCTACTGGCATGTCCCCGGAACAGACTCGCGATGTGCTCGCGTCAGTTGTGGAGCAAGACCAGCACTATAAAGACGCAGAGAAAGCAGCAGCGGAAAGCCAAGCGCCATCGCAACCTGCGCCAGATCCAGATGTTGCAGTACAAGACCACGCACCGTCCGCGCCACCTGCTCCGGCATTGGATCAGACTGACGCTGTCGAACGTGAGGAAGTGCGACACCTTGACCTCGCCGTCCCTGCCGATACCCCCTCTTCGCCCAAGACTCAGTCTACGCAAGCAAGTCAAGAACTACAAGTTCCTGGAGCGGATCTCTCGAGGACGTCTACTGCCACTGGATCTACCATCGCTCACCCAGCTCCGCTCTCCCGAACCGTTTCAGATCTCGTTGAACAGATGCGCGGTGGTGGAGACTATCAAGCAACATCTGCGGAAGGGGTTCCAGAGTCGCGCATTCCACGCCTGGTCGACATGTCGAAGCGTGAGCCTGGGTCGACGCTGATCAGCCGAGCTCAGTCATCTACCGGCATTGCACGCATGCAGCAGGCAGCAAACAATTCTTCGAGCACAACAGTGGCGACATCAAGCACTGGCAAATCTGATTCTTCAAAGCCGAGTCTCACTGAGTCAGCGCGAGCTCTCGAGGAACGCATGTCTAAGAGACTTGGTCTAGGCTCCTTGCGGTCCAATAAGAGTACTCACTCAATGATCCCTCGCTCCGTTCCCAGCACCAGTAACGCCAAGCCAAATAATCCCAAGGTCTCTACACTTGCCAAGCACTTCGAGCAGCTCAGTAAGGAATTCGAAAGGCAACGCTTGCGTGAGAGGCACCAGCGGGCTGCGAAGAGCCGGCAGGCACGTGCCTATCCTTTAGCTTCTTCCAAGCCCATCGTCGAGATCTACCGTGATGCCGCCGATGCAGTTCAGGAGAAGGAGTCTGACGAAGACTTGACGTCTTCAACGCCTCCTCCCCGCCTCAGCGCAGACACCAGCACGCTGAATGAGAGCAGCTACACTTCGACAACTACCCCGACCTTGGACTCGCAATCGCCTGTTGAGAGGCATCATGAGGAACCAATAGAACACACGAAGCGAACGGATGGCACGGAAAGCGTCACGGATACTGCCAGCCTGCACCATCACTCCGATGTGGAAGGTGACGCAAGCGACGTTGAGAATATCCTTGAGGACATTGGTATTCCTGATATCTCGGATGGCTCCGGAATTCTGCCGCCCATGGACTCCTCCACTGATTTGAGCATTGACCTTCCCAGGCACGAGAAGTCGTTCATGATGAAGATGTTGAACAACTTCTGGTCTGAGCGCTCAGCCAGTGGCTGGACGCCTTTGGATTACCCATTCGCGCCTATTGAGCATGTTTGGGAGGATTCGGATATCATCGTCCGCGAGGATGAGCCTAGTTCGATCATTGCTTTGGCTTTGTCGAACGGCGACTACTTGGGCAAGCTGCAGGAGTTCCGAAGTGAGCTCGGCGATTGCGGGGATTATGACAGTGAACACAGCGTGAACTCAGAAGAGGCAAACATCGAACACAACCTGCGGCACAAATCCAACACGAACATCAAGTACGTGTTCCAGAACCGGAGTGTTCGGGCTACGTGCAAGATCTTCTTTGCCCAATCGTTCGATGCCATGCGCCGGAAATGTGGTGTGGCGGACCGCTTTGTTGAGTCCATGTCTCGGTGCTTGAAGTGGGATTCCAAGGGTGGCAAGACCAAGTCGCTCTTCCTCAAGACGCTCGATGACCGCTTCGTCCTCAAGTCGCTCTCGCAAATCGAGGTCAGCGCCTTCCTCAAGTTCGCGCCCGACTACTTCTCGTTCATCCACCAGAACCTCTTCAACAACCTTCCCTCGGTCATCGCCAAGATGTTCGGCCTGTTCCAGGTCACGATCAAGAACCCTGCCAGCGGTCGCGACTTCGACTGCTTCATGCTCGTCATGGAGAATTTGTTCTATGACCGCGGCAACGACCTGCGCCGCTTCGATCTCAAGGGCTCGATGCGCAACCGCAAGATCCAGAGCACTGGCGAGCAGGACGAGGTGTTGCTGGACGAAAACTTGGTCGACATCATTTTCGAGAAGCCCATCTTCGTCCGCGAGCACACGAAGAAGACGCTCACGCTCAGCGTCTACAACGACACGCTCTTCCTCAGCAAGCAGAACGTCATGGACTACTCGCTCATGGCCGGCTTCAACGACTCGAACCGCGAGATTGTCGTTGGTATCATTGGTAAGTCACCGCCCCTCACCACCCCAATCCGTCTCCCCAAACAACAACAGCAACTAACACAAACAACCTCCAACAGACTGCATCCGCACGTACACGTGGGACAAGAAGCTCGAGACGTGGATCAAGGACCGCGGCAAGAACAAGCCGACGGTCACGTCGCCCAAGGACTACCGCCAGCGCTTCCGCGTCGCCATGTCCAGCTACATCCTGCAGGCGCCCGACTTCTGGCACGCCTTCAACACGGCCGTCGCCAGCGGCGCGCCGCCCGCCGCCATCGCGTCGCACCAGCCGCAACAGCAACAGCAACAGCAACAGGGGCTGATCCAGTCGCCGGTCGAGAAGGTGTTTGCGAATGGGAATGGCGAGAACGCCGAGGGACAGGGCGTGCCTGGTTCTCCGCTGGATAGGAGAGAGCCGGTGGTGCCGATGGAGGCGGAGGCGGAGATGGGATTGGGGGGCATGATGATGGAGAGGGGGTGAGCGGGGGGTTGGCCGCTTAATGGGGATGTTGTTTTCGTTTGTTGGGATGCTATCAGAGGAGGTGTTTGGTCCTGTGTGCGGGCTGGGATTTTCTTCTTTTGTCATCTCTCTCTCTCTCTCTCTCTCTGTCCATCTCTCTCCCTTTAAACAAGATATGGCGGTCACGACTGTTATGCTGCATAGCGTTAGGCGCATTATGTAACTTTCCCTCATTTCTCTCAAGAAACTCTCTCAGATCCGTCTTTCATTTTTCTTTCCTTTCTTCTCTATGTACGATGTCATGTTTCCGCGAGCGCTTGTTTCAGACGGCTTTGACGATGATGATTTAAGATATATGATTTCCCAGCTTTCTCTGTTATGTTGATGCTAATGATAACGTGGTGGTCTGCTTTTCTTTAGCAAAGCATATGATATAAGAACATAAATGAATAGCTTGCATCTGTAGGGCTGTGTGCCTTTGGTGTGTTAAGTCTGTATTTGCTATCCGGTTCCTACACTGCCGTTATGAGGCCTTGCAGCCTAGCGAGGCCCAGGCCGTCCTTTTGATATGTGATTGACAGTTTTTCGGACTTATAGCTCATCTTTCAGAGCCGTTACAATATTCCCACGAGAACCAAACTCTTCTAGACATGACAACATCAAATCTAGAATTCCATCCAGACACTAATTGTGCAGTTTCACAAAGCTGACGGTGTCCGTAGCTGTTCAAACCGCTGATTGGACAGAATGGATATGATCCTCAGCCTCGAAGGGCGGCACCCCTGTCAAACAGGCCCTGCCAGCTCATACCCTCACACCCAAACAAATACAGAACTCACCTGTAAGCCATTGTTTGAGACCTTTTCGACCTTCACTCTTACAATTCCGTTACCAACTCCTCTATCAAATCCCAGAACATCCAAGTTTGTCTCAATCACTTTGTTCTTGACACCTTATAACTGACCGAGAAACAGATCACGCCTCCATAATGACCTCCGGATTCAACAAACGCTTTGCTCTACAGCATGAGCAGCGCGAAACGAGCTTCAGCGCCACCAGCGTCGGTGCCGGCATCGAATCTACCCCTGCTGACGACGGCATCGACCATGCCCTCCTTCAGGACTTGTTGTTCGAAGACTCCAGCGCCGGCTACCATGCCTACTCCACTTCCATCAGCCCACTCCAGTCTCAGGGCTACTACGATTCCCACGAAGCAAACAGCTTCCCAAGCGGTACCTGCACTCTGGCAATGCTCGAGCTGAATCATTTCCCAACTCCTGTCATGGGGGCTGAGGCTGGAAACCGCAACGTCTTTGCACCTACAGCTGAGCCTCGGCTTGACTTTCGTGTCAGCACGGACTTGGTACACGGCTTTGGGGAAGGCAGTCCTCTGGATGGTTCGGCCTTCCCGCTGAGCACTGACCTTTCAGCTGACCAACCAGACTACGTCCTCGGTGGTAACGCACAACAGACAGGGGCCACGCCCTCTTTCTATGTCGGTGGTCAGCCGCGTGCAGGGGTCGCTGCCGCAGTTCGACCAATCGGGTGAGTTTTTTTTTTTTAACTCTTCGCTAATATGCAGGTATTTGCAGGCTGCTGTGCGCACAAACTACATCGGTATCCGGTCCAATCATGCTTCGGCAAGGATTAGAGACCTTTCCAGTGGATCCAAGGCTCATATCCAGGTATGTACAACATCTGCAGCTATGGCAGCTTTTCCATAACAATGGTCCAGCTCAAACGAGGATTCCGAGCGCTCTACAGCTGGATCTACATGGGAGATGCGCGACAACAAATATTTCTGCTTGCACCCGGGTTGTCGCAATCCTTCTTTCAAGAGGCTCGGAGACCTCGAGCGTCACCAGAACAATGTTCACGCCCAGACCAAGTTCTTCTGGTGCCGTTACAGCGGCTGTGAGCGCGGTCGTTCCTTCCCCCGCAAGGACAAGCGCAACGAGCATGAGCGCAAGGTCCACCATGTTGACTACACTCTTGCGGAGAACATCTGATGATCTGGTTACAGGGATGAACCTGGAGTTGGAGCTTTCGGCATGTTTTTTTTTTTTTTTTTGCCTGAGGGAGACTTACGCGGTTCTATTAGCGCGTCACGACCACTATAAGCACATGGACAATTTCTGTCACGACTGTCTTTATCATGGGAAAGTTTCTTTTTCTCGCTTTGAATGTTTTTTGCTTTTTGGATAGTCAGCAGGGCTTTGGTATTCTCATAAAAAAAGAGATGAAAAATTGGAGAATGAATTACTCTCAAAGGGTCCTTCATTGATATGCACCCACTATCATGATTCCCGGCCATTTCGATGATACTGATCAAGGATCCACACGGCGAACACGCGCTGTCAGTCTATTGTCGTTTTGCAACGCTAAGTTCAGGCCCCGAAGGGCGTCCCCCTGTCAAGCAGATTTCAGCCGCGGAGCAGCAGCAGTGAAGCTTAAGGTCAGCGCTTCCCCTCGCCCTTGCCCCATCCCCTTTCTCTCTCTTTTTTCACAACTTGCAAGCCTCTGTGTACCCCCAAGATCCAATCATTCGTCTATAACCTGCAGAGACACGTCACTCATGGCTCATTGGTCGCCCTTTCCCCACATGGATTCAAGCGAGCCCACCGACACCGGATTTGTCGATCAGCTTGGGCAACAGCAGGAATTCAACCCGGCCTCCTCCGAAGAAGCCAGCATCAGCCTCAGCGATGAGTTTCAGCAACTCCTTAATGGCCCGGTCTCGGCCTTGCCGCTCTTCCCCGATCCTTTTGGCTGGGACTACTCCAATGCGGACATCCTGTCTCAGCTCTCCGCCGAGGACCAGGTCATGCTGGACGGCAACTTCGGTATCGAATTCATGACCGAAGACTTCTCTTGGACTACTCAGAGCCATTTCATCACGTGGGAAGTTGTGTCGCAGCAGGCTGAGGTTCAGCCGGGTGCCAACACACCCTGGCCTAGCGCGCCCTCTGGAGCGCACCAATCGGATCCCCACTACGCCCAACAAGATATCCTTGAGATGCCACTGATAGGGGATATGCCGTTCTACGGCTTGAATGTGGAAATTTCAGCGAATCAGCCCGTCGAAGAAGACAAAGGAGCCGCATACATCCCAGCCAGCGCCGGGTAAGCCCTATTTTTTTTTTACTAACAGGGTTCCCTTGAGGCCGATCGTTCCCGATTCTGCATGTTCGATTAATCCAACCACACCCCTCAATCCGATTGGTGGATTCCTTCCAAGGTAAGCACAACTCAAGAGCCTCATTTCTTAGTGATCAACTGACGGTGAAGCTCCTTCGATTCCAATCCTACGGGGCTAGCCATAGGGACTTCACTCCACGTGCAGCAGGGAGACAGATACCTCTGTCTCTTTCAGTCGTGCTCTAGGAGCTTCACGAGGCTTTCAGATCTCTTTCGTCATCAGAATGCCTACCATTTACAGAGCACATCGTTCTTTTGCGGCCACCCCGGATGCGAGCGTGCTGGCCCGTATGGCCGCCCGTTCCCGCGCAAGGACAAACGCACTGATCACGAGCGGAAGATCCACGGTGTCGAGTATCCTCATCTCGGGGGTCAGTGATGGGTGAAGAGCTGGTGAAGAGCTCACACAGGGGTTCAGCGTGATCGCTTTTGCTAGTCTCTCAAATTTGGTTTCCATTTTCTCGTCATCGCATGAGCACACTGACGTCTTTCGTCTTATTCGCTGTCTACGACTGTAGTGTTACAATTCTTGGCAGTTATCTTCTCATCAAAAACAACGATCTCATGTGAATCTGCAAGACGGTGTTGCAAAATGCAAGTAGTTGCGATGAGCGACACGAAGGGCGCGACCCCTGCAAGCGGCTCTTCTCGCTCAAGACTGGCCACGCGCAAGATAATACAGCACCCTACCCACACCCTGCTTCACCTTGATTTTGCCCCTCCTCCACTCCGTCTCGACCTTCGTCTGTCCAAGCTTGTCCAATAAGATGTCATCTTTTCAGCCTCCCTTCACCGCCACGTCAGAGGCCAGCGATTGGTCGCCCTTCCTCGAGCAGGGGTCGATGTCCTCCACCAATGACAACCTCGATCTCGACTACCAGTGGCTCGATGAGGCTCTCGCCAGCCTCCCCAACGACAACCGCATGACTGAGGACCAAACCATGGCCGTCTTCGACATGAGCCTCCAGGCTCCGCAGCAGAACTTCCTCCCCACCAACGACTACAGCTTCGCCGCCCCGGAGCCACAGCACGGCGCTGTCGCTCCCTCTTCCTTCAACCCTCTGATCGACGACAACGCTTGGATGTTTCAGCCTGGTAGGATGACGGGAGCTACTGACCGCTGCGAGGCTGACAGCCTTGCAGGCCCTGCCACCTTCGGCATTAGCGCGCCCTTCGGGGCGGGCCAATGGGGCCTGCCTCAGATGGTCGATCAGCCGATGAGCCTGGTTCCACAGACCGGGGCGACGCCCTTCGAGTCCATGCTGGAGCCAATGGCTTCCATGCACACTGCGCAGCCGGGCGTCAGATCTGCACCTACCCCGGCAGATGCCAGGTAGGTCTTTTTTTTTAAAAAGAAATGCTAAACTATGGGGCGGCGCAAGACTATGTAATCGTCCGTGCGCGTTGCATGAAAAGCGTCATGGCAGGTACCACTGCCTCCTTCAGCCCTGCAACAAGAGTTTCTCCCGGGAGGCGGACCTCTTCAGACACCAGAACGGGTATCACCTCCAAGCCACCACCTATTGGTGCTCCAACGCCAGCTGCGAGCGTGGAGTTGCAGGACGCCCATTTCCCCGCAAAGACAAGCGCAACGAGCACGAGCGCAAGGTCCATGGAATCACGCGCCCGCGTGGCCAGTGATAGCACCACTTCTTTGGCAGGCCGGCGTGCAGCACCATTTCAACAATGGTGCTGAGGATGATGTTTGTGTGTTTGGGGTCTTCGTTCTTTCCGCTTTCTAGTCTCACAATCTACGTAGGATGACGGGCTTTGTGATGTCGTACTTTACGGATTCAACTCCGCCATATCAGCTATAGTTCCAGAATTGTTCTTTTCAATGCAACTATGGAGTCTTCCAAAGTGCTTTGATGCAAATGAAACATGTGTAATCCATAGGACCCTTCTACGGTGAGGCGCTTGTATGACAGCCAGATGCAATAACTTAGCCCCAGGCATTGATATCGTCGAGGGGCGCAACCCCTGCTGTCACCTTTTTGAGCCTCAAAGTACTCCTCTCAAAGATAAGTTCAGCAAATATCCCGCCCTCATTTCCAAAGCTTCTCGGTTCTTCTTCCAGCCTCGTCAAGTCTTTGTGCAACATGAACAGCCAACCAAACGACTCGCCCTTCGGAGATCTGCACGGCCACGTCGACGCAACCGACTGGCCGCCCTTCGACATGGATTCTGCATTCTCAGCTAATCCAGGCCTCACCAGTGGTCTGGGCGGAGAGAATCCTGACGATGCCACCACCGTTCGCGCCAGCAATGTCGGAGCCGCGCAGGCGGCCTTCGCCATGAATCCAGACACAACACTTCAGCCTCCGTCCGCGAGCCTGCCTTGGTCAGGTGCAATCGATGCAGTCGAAGACATGCCTGGACAAGGAGAACAGGAGATTCCGGGTATCGTGCCTACGGCAAGCTTTGCAGTGGATACATGGCAGCCAACTTACGGCCATGTCCAACGTCCCGAATATCCCGGAGATTTCGGCGATCCGTGGTCACTGGCTGGAGGAGATATCACTGGTCGGAACCAGCAACAGGGTGCCATTCCACGCCTGGAGAGATCCATGCAGTCAGATCCAGCTGCATATCATCCAGAGCAATGGGTTGCTGCACCGCCACACCTAGGTTCTAGCGCGGTCGAGCTAGGACCTTTTTGGTAATTTTTTTTTTTACACCTCGCTGATTCGACAAAGTCAATGGATTTCAACCAATCAGGGGACTGGAGACTGTCGTGGTCGAGGTCCACAGCCATATCCCATAAACTTATCCACAGCGCACCTATTCCCAGCCCCCACGAGACTTGGGTAAGTGACCACCCTCGCCTAACCTGCAAAGAAGATTATCAGTAATGCTGATCAATCTAGACCTACATTTGACCCATCCGCGACTCCATCCTTCCATGAGATGCGAGATGGTAAATACCACTGTCTCTTTGCGGAGTGCTCTCGCCCCGCCTTCGGTCGGCTGGCGGATCTTTACCGCCACCAGAATGCCTGCCATTTAGGGGTTGCGTCGTTCTGGTGTTCGTGGACTGGCTGTCACCGTTCCCGCGCGCATCCTAACGGTCGAGCTTTCCCACGCAAGGACAAGCGCAACGATCATGAACGCAAGGTTCATGGGATCACTGTTCACAACGACTACTGACAGACTAGTTCTATCGGTCGTCCATTTGGGTTATTAGAAATATAGTTCTAGGAACACTAGGGTCTGACGCTTTTAATAAGCTAGCCTGAGGAAGGCATTAACTGCCCTCCCCGATTTCGGTAATTTGTTATAGCCAATTGATGCTTTTATCTTTCCCTAAAAGATATCTCGCTCTGATTCTAAATTCACATGCGTGATACAAGCATGAGCTCACGGTAGATAACAAGATGAGTGCCTTCAAATTATTGTTTGGACTTGACCAAAGAATTAATTAGGGCTTTCGCTGCGGAGGAAGCAAAAGATGTATGCATCTCAAAATAACTCCCAATCATAGAGATTATAAAAAGTAGGAATTAGATTCAATCTCACATCCGTGTGATCCATGAAGTGTATACGAGAGACCTGATGTGGTCGGAGCCAGGCTCGTAGCAGCCTTGCATGTGACGACCTGCTCCGGGGTTGCACCATGACAACCTTGTTATTACGGCCAAGCCTCGAAGGGCGTAAGCCTCTTCCAGACTTTACGAGACTCAGGGCTCACTAATTCCGCATAAGATCAAAGCATCTCCCGCTGTGAATTTTGGAGCTTTCTGACACCTCTCCTAGCCTTCTCAACACCTCGTACCACCCGAACAACCAATCAGATTCTAAATTTCGAAGCGATCTGCACAGAAACGTCAACATGGACAATTGGCCGCCCCTCGATGCTGACACTGCATTTCCCAATGCCTTGGATCTCGCAGATAGCCTAGACCAGACGCTTCTCGACGAACTCTTCCGCAACGATGCCAACGTGGAGAAACCGTTAGCTACCCAACCTCAGGAGCCTCAGCCTAAGTTCTCTAGCGGAGATATCGGACCTCAGCTGAACGCTCCGGCAACTCTGAGCAACGGAAACATGGACACCGTCGTCAATCCAGCCTTTGGGGCAGCCGCCGCCAGCCAGAACAGCCTGATGTCTTCCCCTTGGGACTCCGATTTCCAACAAGGCTACAACAACGCATTCGTGGTCGACGCAAACCTTTGGGCTAGTGCGCCCTTCGGGGCAGACCTTTCGATCCATTCGGATGTCGCCTGGGGGCTGCCTGCATGGGCTACGCCCCTCGGTGCCCTTGGGGCGCATATTCCACCCAATCCCCCCGCAGAGCCTGGTCCTGGGGCTGCAAGTACCCCAGCCAGGGCGGGGTAAGTTTTTTTTTTTTTAGGGTTTTGCTAATTGCAAGGCGACGACAGAAGTCATACCGGCGAATTCGAAGTTAATGATTGGAGATTTTACTGCACCATCCAGCCTTGCAGCCGCTCATCCTTCAGCCGCCTGGCGGATCTCCAACGTCACCAGAACGCCTACCATTTTCATAGTACCGCTTTTTGGTGCTCGGTCCCTGGCTGCAACCGCTCACGCTCTCACCCGTATGGTCGCGCCTTTCCGCGCAAGGACAAGCGCAACGATCACGAGAAGAAGGTCCATGGCGGGGTCCTCTCTGTTGACTAGAAATCTCGGACCCCATACACAGAAGACTCGCTCCTAGTAGTTAAATTTTTTTCTTTGGAGTATTCGCCATTCAACGGACATCTCGGGTTGACTTTTTTTTTATCTCTCTCCACGGATGAGCAACCGGCGGATCGCGCGCCTTTTCTATTATCAACAACTTTTCGGATTTTGTCAACGAATGAGCAAACTGGCGGATACCACGCCCTTCTACTCTCTACACGTGCGCTTGATCTTGTTTTTTTTTCCTTCGTAGTCAAACAAAAGCAACAAAAAATTAGAACATTCACTCGTTTAATGATGGTGCCCAACTTGCACGTGCCTGACTCTTCATCAAATGCGGTATTGTAGATCATACATCCTATCCTCTGTACCTTCTGTACGAACCACTTGTGTCTGGGGTTGTGGTCCATTTGCCCCACAAACCAAAACTGCCCAGTCAAGATGTTCTTCATCCAGCGGTCGCTTAAGATGTCAGTTAGCTCATCATCTTTGTCCGCCGGATTACTGTTCTCGCACCGTAGAAGGGAGATGAACTCAAAGTTGATTTCTGGGAGGGCCCGCGCACGTTTTCCATAGAGAAAGGACTATTGGCTTCAATATACATATAGACTAAGTGACACATTACACACCTTTGATTGTGATTGGGCGTCTTTAAGGCCTTTTGAGATCGTCATTGCCAAAGCCCCCCAGAGATTCGTAGATCTTTCCTGCCAAATGACGTATGGGATCGAATGTATCATTTTTTCCAGTAATTGCTCGGACCGGATCAAGGAACTTCCCCAATTGGACGAGGTATAGCCCTTTGTCTACTGGGTTGTTCCCCGCAATCATCCTGAAAACCGCGGATATTCCATCGTACCTTCTCAAATATCTCTCTGCACCTTTGGCCTGTTCGAAAAGTGGACCCACCCGGCAGAATTCCAGAAGTAATGCAGCCGATCCCGCCAAGAATGGAGTAGCAAAGGAGGAGCCAGATTGCTGTGTCTGCTCTCCCGCTATCCCATCTTTGGTTTTGGCGATTACCTGCGGAACGGTGATGTGTTCCCCCAGCGCCATGAAACCTTCTCCACCATGGGCAGCCGGACAGCTATCTGTGGGCTTTCCGCTAGCTTTCGCAGGGTACACTGCGATGACATTATTCCGACAAGCTGGCCACGCGATGATGCGTGGATCATTGTTGCCGTCGTTTGAGGCTGCTGCAAATACCAGAACGGTCTTTCCATCGGGCCTCAAGTATTTGCTTGTGGCACGCTCGAGCTGTTCATCAATATCAGGCTTCTCGAAGTGGTAGCCGAAAGACATGGAAATGATGTCCACACCCCAGATTTCGACCGCGTACTTGATGGCAGCGGCCACGCATATGGACCTTGGCACTGTCCCGCTAGACTCCGCAACGCGAGCAACGTAGACATGGGCACGGGGAGATGCCTGAAGGAGGACTGACACACACTGTGTCCCGTGACCATCTTTGTCTTTCCATTCGGACTCTTCCCTTCGGAAAATGCCCGGCGGGTCTTCGAGTGATGCCACTCCTTGAAAATCTGCGTACTGTTGGAGTTGATATTTTTTGTGCGATAAGAACTCGCAGAATTTCCTTTCTTTGCTCGGCACAGAGCACTTTGGGAACTCGGCACCGGTATCGAGGATGGCTACCTTGACAGGTGCGGGGTCTTTAAATTGACACAGCAACTTCCTGCTAGCATCACGCATTTTGAGAATGATGTTATAGGTGGCAATTTGCCTGAAATTTTGGTAAGATGAAGTCCACTGCAGATGTTTGAGTGAAGACTTACTGTTGCTTGTTTTGCTCAGGCGATGCCGCAACTGCAAAGAAAGCCTCCGAATTTGCGCGCCATACCTCTTCTTCGGTGTGCAAATCCGGGATCCCTAACATATCCTGCGAGATATCTTCCAGCTCTTCGCTCTTCCCGCTTGATCTCGGCGATTTATTTCGTCTTGAACGCTTTTCAGGGCGGTGCGAGCTTTCAGCAGAGCTCTGTGAAAATCCTCCCGAAGCTAGTTCTGGCTTTGCATTGATCCGATCATTTTCCGGACTCTCCTCACGCTTTCGTTTAGGCCGACCGGAGCTGTTCTGATCCGATGAAGAGCGGTCTTGGGATTCGGAAACTTCCTCGGTAATCAGACTCTTCAGTCTTTCTTCGAACCAGATCTCCTTGTCACAATTCTCAATGTACTTTTTGGAATCCGTGACAAGCCCCTGCAAGTCTCTGATGCCGCACCCACTCAGTGTTTTCAACGAAACCAAGTTCCTCTGGAAGTGGCGTTTGGCTTCTTCAAACTGCCTGTCGAGGTACAGGAATGTTGCGTAGTTATGCTTGCTTTCAACCATATTCGCGAAAGTCTTCTCTTGTTCTTGGGTATCAGCTGTTATCTTGAGACGCTTCCTGTGTAATTTTCTTCTGTATCTCAAATTTTGTTCCTCAAGCCAGACTGCTGTCATGTAGTCACCCTGATGCGCCAAGCAGAAAGCAGCATGATGAACAGTCTCGAAGACCTCGTCTTTGCCCGACTTCCATTTCATCGCCTGAATGAGGTTCCTCCCGTACAGTGACAAGGCTTCTTTAAGCTTATGCGTCATTGAAATATCTTTCCTGGCCTGGGCTACCAAGTCTTTTGCGAGATTGTGTCTGGTGGTCCATGACTGCGTGCTCTGACGGTTGATTTCCTCGGCCTCAGACAATGTTTTGCGGTCCCATATCTCGGCTTTGGAGTGAAGCCCGAGATAGTAGTAGCACAGCCCGATTCGCGCCCGTATGTCGACTTTGTTCTTTGAGAATGGTGGCTTTGAAAGTATAGGCTGGCCCGATTTCAGCATCTTTCGAAGTTTCTTCGCCGCCCCTTTGAAGTCCTGTGACTCAAATTTCTGAACGCCTTCTTTCTCCTTTTTTTTGAGCTGAGAAAGCATATCGTAATCCTGGGGCAAGAGGTCTCCATCGTCACGCGGGTGTGGTTCAGTTTCAGCTGGCATTTTGAGTTTTGGCAGAGTGGGATAAGCTGAACACACACACTTGGAAGTGGGATGTTCTCTCGCCTGAACAAATCCCTCGGCAGTTGCAATCCACGCTAACTTTCTTCTACCGGTGGCTGCAGTATGCATGTCAGCAATGTATGTGTGCCACCTTCAGGCTGAACCACTAGCGAATGAATGACCCTTGAACAAACTGCTCACGGTCGCATGACCTGCAAAGGGGTTGCGGCTCCTGAGTGTATTGTAAGATATGTAGTACTTACAGACAAGATGATTTTGCGGCGTTAAGGAGCCTTGCAGCCTGGTGGTTGAGCTGCAACCTCCACCTTCGATCTGACTTGTTCAGCCTTTGCGATTCAATTTCACACCGAGATGGACAAAATAAAGAGTGGAAACGTCGAACATCTGGCATAAGTGCCATATCAGAGGCCATGCCAGCCTTATCAGGCGGCGCGGCCCTACTGGTTACGCTTACCAGTACCCCGACCAACTATGTCACCCGAGTCGTCCACCAGTCAGCGACAACATTCACTACCACAGTGAATATCGCATTGCGGTCCACAGCCCACGTCAACACGGCCAAGTCCGGAAATGATCCTTCTCGTTCTGTGCCCGGGCTGGGCAGGCAGGAAGCGGCCTTGCGGTCTCGCGCTGCCGAAGTCCTTGCGCCCAATGCAGAAATCGGCCTTATCGTTGGAGGAATCTTCGCCTTCCTGATATTTTTCTCCTTGATATTGTGGTGTCTATTCCTGCGAGGATGGCCCCGTCATAGGAGACGAAGATTCGCATACGGAAGACGCCCTCAACGGCTAAATGATTACGGAAATGTGCACTCCCTGCACTCTTATCACGAGGAAGTACGGGTTCGGACGGAACGAAGCAGACAACGACGACACTACGCAGAGCCCCGGCCACCGCCGGCTGTCTATGTGCAACCTCTTCGACCGCAACCTGTATCATCTAGAGTTCGTTATGAAGAGGAAGTAGTGCATGTTCGTCCAGACAATGTTGATGTCCACCGCCGAGAAGTTCGCCGGGAACAAGCAGAACGTCGACGTGAAGAATTCGCCCGTCAAAATGCTCCTCGCCCCATCATTGTAGACTCTGATGACGGAATTGGGTCCCCTATGGACATAAGTGATGTCTCAGAGTCTCTAACACTTTCATCTCCGCCCGCTTCCCCTCCGCGACCCAGTAGACCACCACCACGACGGGAGCAATATCATCATCACGGCCCTCATTACTACCAGAAGCAGCCGGAAAAAGGCCCAGGGGCATGGTTTTCTAGTCTTCTCGGAGCATATCGAGCGGGCAAAGAATCGCGTTATGAGAACAACGCTGGGATCTGGCAAACGGAAACGCCGCGTAACGTCGACCCACTTCGCATGAGCCCAGGAGACCGAGATCCCAGAGCATCGGATCGGTTTGTGATTATAGACAGAAAACGGAAAAAGGACCGCGATCGGAGGCGAAGGGAGCACTGGCCTGATAATGTACACGGAATGGAGACAAACCACAAGTCCGAAGGCCATAGACACCATAAGCATAAGAAACGGAAGCGAAGACATCATGCGAGTTAGTAAATATTGATTTTCAGTCTTCGCCATCAAGCCTATGTACATAATACTGTCTGAATTTTTAGGCAGTAGAGGATTATGAGCATGTATCTGAGAAGTAAAGGGCTGGAAGATTTGTACATAAGTGGATAATTTTACTGAAGTCATATATGTAAAACATTACATAAACTTGATAGAAACGTGCGATACTGCTCCACGAGAAACAGTAAGTAAGAGTTGCGACTACACAGCTACAATAGAGCGAGAAATCCATACATTACGGAAGCCACAAGGCCCACTCAGACAGAGCTGTAATGTATCAACCGTATTCATCGAAACGACCAATCCCGCACCAGCCCCCTACAGCTACCATGTAAGATAAATGACGTAGTCCCTCAAAAAGCAGACCAAAAACACACACACTGTATAAACCTCAGCCTGACCCCGCCTACTCCCCCTCCCCCCACAACCTCCCCACAACCAACCACCAAAATGAAAACCTACTTCCTCCCCCCAAAACCGGACATCGCCCCCAACACATCCATCAAACTGGGCAGCATCATCCTCTCCCCCCACCTCGCCGAAGAGCCGCTGTCCCCCAACCCGCCCCCCATCCCACCCCACCTCCACCAACCCGACCACATCGAAACCGACTGGTCCTGGACGACGTCCCAGCACCGCTCGCACAACGCCGGCATCTGGACGTCCTTTCTCCAGCTCTTCTTGGGCGCCGGAATCGACGTCAGCGGCGAAGCGGCGCGCAGCGCGTCCGACGCGTGGAGCGCCGCGAGGCTGACGACGCAGCGCTTTGTGCCGGATCTAGCGTACGTGCGGCAGGCTGTGGCCGCCGACGAGGTGCAGGAGTATCTGGGGAGTGAAGGGTCATTTCGGGCGAAGAAGATTTACATGGTGACGGGGGTCAAGATCGCGAGCGGGGCGGGGGTGGAGAGCGGGGTGGAGCGGGAGATGGGGGTGAATTTTAGCCCGGGCGTGGATGGGTCGGGGGTGGGTGTGCCGCTTGCGCTTGGGATGGCGGTTGGGGGTTCGCGTGGGTTCTCGGATGTGCGGTCGTCGCGGAGTGTGACTGATTTCGTGTTTGCGTACCGGTTGAGGCAGATCAGGTATAAGGTGAAGGGTGGTGAAGAGTTTGTGACTCATCGGGAGTTCAGTGAAGGAGCTTTCTACGGCGAGGAGATGCAGGACATTCTTTCTGGGCCGCCGACCATTGAGTTTGAAGCGGAGGATCTGGAGGACCAGGACGCTTCTGGGGAAGACTTTGAGGCCACGCAAGTTCTGGACGTCCCTGGTGATGACGAGGGTGAGGACTGTCAAGTTGCTGTCTTGTTGAATTAGAAGAACTCAGGAGCGGTTGATTTTCCAGAGAACTGCATCTATCAGGACCCGTAATAACTACCCCGAACCGTTTTTCTTTTCCCGAAGCAAAAAGAGACGCATTAGCCATCATTCCGTGCAGTATCATACCATTGAAAACCACGCTCCCCAGCAACGGGAACCTTTCCCTCCCAGCTTCCTGTCGCCGAATTACCTCTACCCCCTTTTTCCCCGAAAACAAAATTGACACCCCTCACCCCCGCCTCCTCCTAAACTTCAAATCATCCCCACTATCATCACTCCCCTCTTCATTCTCATCCTCATCCTCCGGCTTCCCCAGCCCCTTCCCCAACTCCGCCTTCGGCACCACCACCTGCTGCCCACCGCCGCCCTTCTTCCCCTTGCCCTTGCCCTTGGCCGCGGTCCCCTTCTTCTGTTTCTTCGCCGCCGGCTGCTCCGCCGACGGACCAGGCGGGCCCATCGCGCCTCTCTTGCTTGACGCCGCTCCCCTCGTCGTCGCGGTAGCCGCCGTGCTAGCGCTAGCTCCACTCGCCGCGCTCGCCCTGCTGCCCCGCCGCTGCGTGCTGTACGTGCCACCAGCGCCATCATCCGCCAACGTCTGGCTGCTCAGCGCCGGCGACGGAGCGCGCTGCGAGTACAGCGGCGGCGGCGGACCGCGGGGCTTGTCGCTGGCGACGGCCGTCGCGTAGGTAGGAGGGAGATTGGAGGTGGTGGTGGCAGCTCTCCCGCTCCTGTTGTCCTCGGCGTTGCTGCCGGGTCGGGTGTTGGAGGCTGAAGACAGGGCGGATGCGATGCTTTCGTTGCGGGGCCGGCCGGCGATCTCCTCCGGGTCGAGGTCTTGCATCTCGGCCTCGTCTTCAGAGTTGATGACGATGGCGCTGGCGGGACCGCTTCGTTGTTGCTGGGAGCCGGGCCTGCTGTGGCGGGCGGTCCGCCGTCTGAAGCTGTTCTCATCGTCGTCGTCGTCGTCCGTGTCGGCTGGATGGCTGGAGGCACCGCCGATGCTTCTGCTTGATTGACCAGCGGACCTGCCGGCGCGCGGTCGAGTGCGGATGCTGTCGAAAGTGCTGGTATTGTCGAGCATGAACTCATCCTGCGCGTTGAATCCCATGTCCTGGGGCCGTACCTCTTCGAGAGTAACGATGACCCGCCGGGAACGAAGAGGGGCTTGTGCATCGCCGTCATTGTCGCCTGGCCTCCTCTTTCGGAACTTCTTGAAATTCTTACGGCCGTTCCACTCCGGCTTCCAACGATCTTCATCGTCATTGTCTGCCTCGGCTTGAACTGGCTTCTTCCGCGGACGAATCTCCATGATCTCAACTTTGGCTAGCTTCTTCATCTCATCGATGTCCATGCCCTCTAGTACTTCCCGCAGGGCGTCTTCTTCAGCCTGCCTCTGCTGTTCATCTTCCCTCTCACGGCGCTCTCGTGCCATTTGTTTGATTTGTTTGGCGTCGAAATCTTTCTCTGGCCTTGACTTGCGCAATTCTGAAGGTACGATGAGAGACGACCTTTTAGCAGACTTGCGTGGTGAGTCTTCTGACGCTTCAGGTATGTCCTCCATAGCTGCGTCTTGAAGCTGCTGTTCCAGTTTTCTCCTTTTCATGGCAGATGCAGCAGGGAAAAGCTTGTCGGTAGCATTTCCGTAATCGTCGTCTGAAATTTCCAAGACTTCCGCTGGCTCAAGCTGCCTCTTCTTTCCTCTTGTGGCTCTTGTTCGAGCCTGTGACGCACCCGGTTGTTGTGATTGTGCCACTGAGCTCTGGGATGCGTCGAAATGACTAGCTCCAGCACTTGCCATCTCGTCATCGTCGTCTGACACATGCTGCCTCTTCGGTACGATGTCTGGATCAAAATCATCAATACCTTTGAACCTGGACACTGTGAGTGCACGGCGGAAGCCTTTGCGAGTGGTCTTCGGGACTGGCGATTCTGCAGATGTGGGAGACTCCTCTGCCGCTTGCGTTTGTGCCTCTCGTGAAGGAACAACAGACATCTGAGAGGGGCCCACTGCGGTCATATTAGCAATCTTCAGTTATGGACGGTGAGACAACGCACTTGAAGTAGACGGTGGCGGCCCCGGAATGCTGCTAGGAATGGCTTCGTCGTCAGATTCTGGTTCTAGGGGCTGCCTTAGTGGCGAGGCATCATTCATTAGGATGGCGTCCAGAAAGTCGTTTTGGTTGATGCTCCGCTGGTTCAATCCCAAATCAACAGAGTTGTAGAATCGCATCCACCACTCATCGTCGTTCCCGCGAGGCTCCGCGAGTCTCACAACCACAACCCCCTTCCCACGGCTCCCGTCTACAAACTCGTCCATCTCCTTTTCTCCAGCAGCATTTTTCACGAATCGAATGAATCCATCCGTCTCGTCAGATCCCGTCTCTACCTTACGCAGCAACGCCTTCCCGGTCCCTTGCTCCACAACCGGGCCGAGCTGATCAAACTGATTCTGGTCGCTGAAGATGAAAGTATAGCCCTCAAACACCGTCTCTCTTTCAGGATCAGGTAAGACCATCTCGGCAGGACGAGGCACCGGTTCTTTCGCCGTCGGGGGCACAAAGTCCGCCTCCCGCGGCCAATTGCCATCAAAGTCCTCCTCCAACGGCGCCCTCGGCACCTCCTCATTGCCATCCGCGTCCATAACCGCCTCCTCCTTCCGCGCCACCTTCTCCAGCGCATCGACAAACCCCTCGGACACGACGTACTTGCCCTGAACCAGCGCCTGCAGCACGCGCGGCGTATTCCTCTTCGGCGCCACAACATGCGTCGTCACGCCGGCCACATACTCAGGCACGACCGCGATATCGAACGGCGCGAGGCGCTCGCGCAGCTCCTCGGACGAGACCTCGCTCTTGTTGCCTTTCTTCTTCTTCTTGCTGCCGCCGCTGGCCCCGCCGCCGCCAAAGCTCGCCGTCAGCACGACCGGCTGCCATTCCAGCCGCCACGCGACGTTCCAGTTCCCAAGCCTGATCTCGTGGCTCTCGTGCCTGCCTTTGTAGCCCTTCCCACCGCCGATGACGCGCTCGCATCCCGTGAACTTCTCGCCGTCAAGCCAGGTACCGAATTTGCTGGAGTCCTCCAGGACGATTTCGGAGCGGGCGAGCGCGGAGGAGGTGGCGGTGGACGCCGCGGCCTCGCGGACGGTGATGACGAGGTGCTTGCGCGAGACCGACTTGGCGTCGATGTGGAAGTGGAAGTCCGCGTTCTCGCTGCGCGTGCGGCCGAGGAGGTGCGAGGTGCCGGGGCGCAGCCAGTAGCGCTTCTTTTGCGTGAGGTCGCCGTCGTGGGTGAGGAGCCACATGGCGGAGGGATTGGGTCGTCGGTGGCCGGGGTGACGATGGTCGAGGGATGCTGAAGTCAGATGCTGTGCATTGGCACGCACGATGGGTGGTGGGATTTTTGTGTGAGTTTATTGCGTGGGTTGTCGAGAGTTCTGAGTCGCGTGGGGAGCGACGCGGTTGTGGAAAGGTCGTCAGAGCTCCAGGCAGAAAGACGCGCGATAAGGATGCGGTGTCACGGGATCCGCGATCTGAGCTTAATGATGATTCCTGATCAGGCAGTCACTCTGCCGCAATCAAGTCTTACTTTGGTTCTTCTACTGTCTTTCAGCCTTTTAATGCGATCCCGCTGTCTATTCTTAGCATGCTGGGGTATCAAAGCAAAATCCCTTCTAGCAACACCATTCACTCCCTTTACGCCACTCCCGCTTCCTCAATCCATATCATCCAAACTGCTCGCAGCAGGCTCCTCTGCACTATGCTCAGGCACTAAAATGCCCACCACACACTCGCTCAGCATGTTATCCCAATTCACCCATGGATGCACCTCGTTGAACAGCTTCTCCCCATCCTTTCCTGCCGCCCTCCTTAGCTCTCCCTCGCCACCAGGATGATACGGCAGGTAAGGCGTAATATTGTACACCTTCCCCTGGTACGCACTCCACGCAGGCGTCACCTCGCCCGTCTGCCTGTTCTTCCGGCCATTGTACTTCTTCAGCTCCGACGGCGTGACGCGGCGCAGCGAGCCGACACCCGACAGGTTCGCGCCCGACTTGACCAGCGCTGCCCAGTCAAGCGGCGAGTGACCGGGTGTCAGCGACACCTTGGCGCGCGGGTTGGGCGTCTTGACCGGCGCCGCCATGGGCAATCCCAGGCTGTTCGAAGAAGAGGAACCTCCGCCAGGCGGCCCTCTGTTCGGCAGCGGGCCGGACGGGCCGGTGCGGAGAGAGCTTGCGGGCATGCGCGGCGGCGGCATCAGCCCGCCTGCGCGCTGCTGTTGTAGTTGTGGTGTGGGCGCCAGGCGCGGAGGCGCGGGTGGGGGCGGCATGAGCGCTGCGGCGGAGGACGGCTGCTGCTGGGTCGGCAGCGGCTTTAGCTTCGGCGGCGACCTAGGGGCGGAAGGGACGAGCGCGGGGCCGGAGGAGGCGCGCTGTGCGGAGTTCATGGCGGGGAAGGAGGGAGGAGGTAGGTTGTCTTCTTCGTCATCTTCGTCGTCGTTGTCGCCATTGTCAGAGGAGGCGACTGTGAAAGTCGGGACGGCCGGGAAGGTCGTGGCTTTGGGGGTTGTCTGCGCCGACTCGCTGCCCTCGGACGGCGGTCCGTCCAGGTGCGGGATCTGTATGCTCACGGGAGGCTTCCGCTCTTCTGCGGCTGCCTGCGACGGAGTTTTCTGTGGAATTTCCGAGGTGGTTTGGTTCGGCTTCGGATCATCTGGCTTGCTGTCGGCTTTGGGAGGTGCGGCGAGCCCCCTTTGGCTCCATTCTCTGAAAAACTGCAGCCATGTCCGCGGTGGGTGGTTGTAGAGTAGGAAGGTGGCGGAAATAAGAAGTGCGGAGATTCCAAGGAGCATGTCGCGGGGTTGAGTGGGGTGTGGATGACTTGTGTTGATCGGAAGCGCATTGTGGGATGGCGGCCATGATTTCATGCAGGGACTCTCGTCAGCGCATGACTCGTGCGGCTCACCCGTCGGCCAACGTCGTCATCGAGCTCCGATTCCGCCGTCTGCTGTCTCGGCCATCAATTGACTTCAGTCCGTCACGCCTGTCTTTCAATCAACGCGTTCCAGTCGAGACCGTATTCGTTCGTCATGTCCTTCCGCACCGCTTCGCGTACTTGCGCAAGGCAGGCACGCTTGGTTTTCGCCGCGACTCCCCGCCCGCACAACAGCAGAGCTCGCATTTCCACAGCATTGAAAGCGGCACCGTCCACACGGGTGTCATCCCGGCCAGCCAGCATTGTCAGCGAGCACGCTCGTTTCTTCAGTAGTAAGAGTATCGCGGACGAGAAGATCGAAGATATCCAAGAGCTGTAAGGCAAGATGCTCGAGGAGATTGTGCATTGGACTGACCCTACACAGCTATGCGACCGCCAAGGACGAATTTGAAATCGCAGCCGAAGAGACCGAGGCCAACACTGTGTATGCCGCCGATGACCGCGCCGCCGCGAGGGAAGCGCTCGATGAGCTCAAGGAGACGTACGAAGCCGTCGTCAATGGAGAGAACAGGGAGGTTGCGGAGGAGGTCAAGCGGCGGGTAGGGCAGAGAATCAGAGAGCTGGACAATGCTGTGGTAGCCCTCGAAGAGGCTGCGTCGCACGGCGACTAAGAATGGGTGGGGATAATTGCAGAGCGTAGCATTTCTAGTGAATGGACCTGAGTCCAAAAAGTGCCTCTACAAGCACCAACACAATTATGATATACTGAGGCCATATCTTTCATCCTTTCGCATGGCTGCCATGGTAGGCGTAGCTCATTACCCCCACCAACGTCTATCACCGCTCATAGCTCGTCCTTGGCGCCGTGGATCTTGACGAGCTCCGTTTCGAAGATCAGCACGCTGTTGGCCGGGATGGGGCCAACACCGCGGGAGCCGTAGGCCCACTCGGGCTGGATGGTGAGCTTGCGCTTCTCGCCGGGGCACATGTCGAGCAGGCCCTGGTCCCAGCCCTTGATCACCATGCCCTTTCCGACGGTGAAGGAGAGCGGCTGGCCGCGATTGTACGAGGCGTCGAATTCTGCGCGGGGAGGGATGGTCAGCTTGGTGCGAAACGAGACTTGATTGAGGCATACCGGTGCCATCCTTCTCGAGAGTGCCGCGGTAGTGCACGTCGACCTTGTCGCCGGCGACGGTCTTGCGCTCGCACTCGACCTTGTGCGTGACTTCGATGTCGAGAGGCTTGTCGAGGGCGAAGGCCAGGGGCAGAATGGCGAGCAGAGCGGCGAAGAAGCGCATGGTGATGGCAATGCTAGAAGTCGGGGCTGCGTGAGGATGTTGTACAGAGAGTCGAAAGTTGTTGGGTGGATGAGAGCTGGCGGCCACCCTGCCACGTTCCTGATCCGCTGTGGGGCTTGCGGGGGCTGATCTCCGCCACCCTCGCTCCGCTTCCATCTACCTTCGTCATCAATCAATCCCTCGGTCACCAAATGTCCATTTGTATAGCATAAGAGTATAGTTGATTCAGTACTCTCGGCCTGACAGTACGTGCACAAATGTAAAACGATCAACGACCCAAGCAACCAGAAAACCCACGCGCCACTACACGTTACGCCCTTCAATTTCATATGCTGCTCTTCTTCTTTTTGCCTCGTTGTCACCCCATCCCTGCAGATATCCCTTTTGCCTCCTTTCGGAATATTTGCACCCGAAGAAGGATGGATTCGAACACCATCCGTCCTTGGTCGGCTTTCCCTCTTTGTCCTTGCAGTCCATCTGATATGTTCCGCCCTTTTGGCAGTATCCCCATTTGGCGCAGTAATCGTAAACCTTCTGCCGCCTGTATAGGCCTGACGCCAACAACAAATGCATCGTTTCGCTGTTGGGCGAGGTATCATCGAGCGTGCCGTCGCGTTTGAGGCACGAGCATGGATAGTTCATGCCCCATTCTGTATTCAGGCTGCTGAGAGCTCTGCCATCGGGGCTGTTGCACACCGGTAGGTGGACTACCGAAACCCCACCCTCGCCAACTTTGTTCAATAGTGGAAGGAAATTGTTCGTCGCTTCGGTGAGGTTCTCGTTGTTCCCCGTTCCATGCCACCATCGGACGGACGATGCAACAATGTCTCGGACTGTGAGATTGTCCCATCTTTCAGGTTCCTCTGCAAAGCTGGTTAGCCTCCTAAGGTATTCCATGAAGGGTAATTGGCTCACTCAGTAACGTCTCCCAGCCCGGGAGCATATGCTGGTGTGGGTTTTCTTTCTTTTTTTTCGCCGGAAAGTCATCGGTACCTGTCACGAAGTAGGTCCAGTCTTTGCTGTCGTCCAGGCAAACCTTGGTCTCGGCAAACATTCTGTCGTCTGTCTCGCAAGACTGTCCACCAGGGGGCTTGGAACGGACAATCCAAGCGTTTACGCTGTCCATATGCCACAGGACATTGACGGAGGTGGCAAGCGTCTGCTTCCTCATGTACTTCCTGATATCTTCTACGAGGTGATGATCCAACGGGAGAAAGAACCCTCCTTCATCAAGAATGTCAATAACGTTTTTCCCGTTGGGGCCATCAGCCCGTGCTTCCATCAAATTCAACGTTATATTCTGAAGGAGAAGCTCCGTCACGTCGCGTGCATCTGACCATAGTCGATCGAACGAAACCTCTTTCTTTCGGAGATAGTCGGGACTGTTCCATCAGCTAAATTCCGGAAGGGATACAACCTTGCTTGGCTCGACTTACTCGAGACCTGACCCTGATAGAGCACCAAAAATTGAGCTTCCTCCTGCGTATGCTCCAGATGCTACTCCTGCCCATGTGCCTACCGCCGAATCAATAGACTTAACAGCCACGGCCCCAGCACCCGCGGTCGCAGCACCCGTGGCCGCAATAGGCGCCGCGACCGCTGATAATATCAGGATCACGAGCAGTCCTATAGCCAGCCCAATCTTGATGTTCTTCGCCTTTTTCGCTTCCTTCGCCTTTGTGGCTTTCTCATAATTGTCGTACCAAGTAAACAACCTGAAAAGCTCGTCGCTCAGCCTGTCAACGTGGGTGGACGCATCTTGAAAAGCCGAATAGACCTCACGAAAGAAGTTGTGGAAATTGGACATCGCGTTGGCTGCGTAAACCGCCCTCTTTCGATGATTCTCCCACTCCTCCTGAGGCATCCCCTCTTTGTTCGACCGAAAGTGGGAGCATGCGAGGTGCTGGGCCGTTCATCAGCTATCGTCTTTTACGTCACCGACATAAACCTACGGAGCATTCATGAATCAGATTGCAGCCCGTTTGGCTTTGTGCTACGTCAGGAAAGTACTTTTCCAGAACGTGGCTGAAGAATGACTTGGACTTTCCGGGATTCTGGCGGTAGCGCTGCAATTCTATACGCATCCACTCGACAGTCGCATTACGTTCTTGATCCCACACGGTTTGTGACATGGGTCGGATGTTGCATCCTTTGTCAGAATCAGCGCGAAAAGGGTCCGGGGGCATCGCAGGGCTTTCGGGAAAACTAGCTGGTCGAGAGGTAGGACTAGCCATGTTGCCGCCGGGGAAAGCTGATTGTTTTGGATCGTATTCGATAGCGTTTGGACGTCCAGAAGCAGCTTGGGCCATGTTGCCTGGGCCGAGAACTAACGGGCCAGCGCCAGCGGGCCTTGTGGTTGTGACAACCACTGTCTTGGTTCTACGAAACAATCGTTGTGAAGAGTCATTGGGTAGTCCTGCCTCTGCCGCAACGAGCAGAGCCCAAAAGACCGCTAGGGAATTCAGATTCGATTGAGAGACACGCATGACTCCTAGCCAGAGATTACGCTCCAGGTGGATAGAACGGGTGAAGAGAAGTTCCTGCTATTATAGTCAGCATTGAAGCCCCAGCTAGCAACGATCTGAACTTGCCTATCTTGACCAGGTCTTGTTTGTCTCGGAAAGGATGTTGGCTGAACAAAAACCAATCTGGTGGCGATTCCAAGGACTCACTTAAATACCCGTAACTTTCATAGCTCAATACATCCTCCACATGATGTAGTGTTCTCCTTCGAAGACTTGAAGACTCACATGTGATTCTTCCCCGCTCGAACTATAGCCTAAAGAACGACCATCACGATGTATGTCTGGTGTTCCGAAGGATCACAGGTACCACGACCGCATTGGAGGGTAGGCGCTTGATCTTGACTCACTGTATAAAGTCAGTATCAATGAGATGATTGGCCTGCTTGTCATTTATCAACCATGATTTTTGCTGCCGATAGGCACAAAGGGTTAGTAGGTCGTAGCTGTTTTTAGCGTAACCGCAGCAGCTCTTACTCATTGTCGTCACGCAAAATAATTGTGATAATTGAACATTAGGAAGATCTTATCGGAAGTCTACTGCCGATTCCTTTCCGATCAAACTATACCTACTTGAATCATGACTATGTTGCGGTGGGAGGTCGAAAGCCCGAGATAGTGCATGTTACTCCTGTGAGCTCCCTGCAGAGATCATGATATCGGGCATCGGTCCTACAATTGCTGCCGAAACTCTTCCGACCTCTGTCGTAGGTATAATCGGCTGTAGTTGAATTCTGGTACAAAAGGGATACAAACGGTTGAGCGGGCCACATTGGGGAAGATACATATCAAGGACAAGGACAGGGATCTCTGAGATAGTGCTTGCAGTAGCCGACCTCTGCCGCACTTACGCTACTCCACGCACTACCCACTCTTGCACGCATCCTGTAGTGGGTATAGCGACGTTTTGTTGTATTCGCGCTCAAACCTGATACCTTCGCAAATAGTTTGATGGATGATGGTGTAGATACATTTGGTATTCGACGTTGAAAGATAGAATTGGTATTCCTGTAATTAGAAAAGCGCCACCCATCATACACCGATAAAGAATAGGTAAATTGGCAAGGCCACTGGTCAGCTGTCCTGAAAGTACTCTACCCTTTCCTCTAAGTTTCGCGAAAGCCCATGATCTTTGGTATTTGGATCAGCAAGGAGTGGTTAGTTAGGTTGTTGATCATGAGCTTTACGTGACTCGTAAGCCCTTGATGATCATCATTCCCCTTTCTTTTCTTGTTACTAGGAGCGAAACTATCCTGACTTCTAGGAGCGCATCAATGACATGCTTCTTACTCTGACATGAGCTGACGAGCCAGTGCTACGTTATCTCGAACAGTAAGCCAATTAGTAAAGAATATCCTATACCTATTCTTACAAAGGGTTGCGAATGCGGCCTTGAATGATCATTAGAGGAGCTTAAGCTCATAGACGATGTTTTCCGGTAGTGATGAACTCAAGCTCCAAATGCCGATAGCGCTAGTTGGCCGCTGGTCATTAGTTCCGTATACCGATAACTTACCGTAGCTTTAGCATCTCATACGATAGTAATTAGCCAAGCTTCTATGTGCTAGAGCACCACCTCAACCTTTTACTAGGCTTTTCTTTTTTTCTTTTCCAGCATACGACATTGAACAGATCCTACGAAGGCCGGTTCATTAGAATTGAGCATTTGACTTTCACATCAACAGCTGTCAGCCTGCTGCGTCGGCTATTTTCGATAACTGCAAGGATCCAAGGAGCCGAGTTGCCAGTTCGCAATGGAATCAAACGAGTGCAATGAATAAAACCTTAGATGGCCGGCGCCATAGTCAAATGATACAACAGTGGGTCGGCTCCGCACATGCGGGCACGCGGGGTACGGACAACAATGGAAGAAAGGGAGCTAAGCAAAACGGCCAAAAACCAGTTGGGAGCCATATTAATGATGTTCGAAAAAGGAGCGATAGTCCGGCCAAAGTCAACCAACCAGTATCAAGAGGCAAAGCGTTTATCCAGGTGCGAGAATAAAGTGAAACATTACCCGATTTTATGCAGGCGAGGATTATTGAAGTTTGATCACCGTGTCCATGAGTTTTGGGGTGGGATCCCGAACCTGCTGGTTCCGGCAGGATGTTTTGCTGGATGACAAAGAAAAGAGCGCAGTACAATGTTCTGAGGGAAGAAAGGTCCATATGAGACACGGAGCGGGCCGTAGGATATTGGTGCCGGGTGGATCTGTGAGGTGGCGATGAGCGGGCTGAACCAAACTCACGGGGCTCGGTGTAATCTACTGTGTACAGGGAAGGAGGTCCTATAGAGATTGGGTTCTGTTGAGGAAAGTGCCTTTGCAGTGGTATAGCGCCCTTGCCAACAGGGCCCACTTAACGCTCAAGCTGCCGGGTTCCCGAGGTTCTTATCGACGAGTAACCGAGCCAAGGACCTGCCACAAAAAGGCGCGACCCTGTGGGGCGTTGGAAATGTCCCAATGCGGCCAGCTCCCTGTTGTCACAGCACCAGCCAGGAAGGCTCCACAGCTCCTCTTTTCCGTAACGTTCAGCGAAGATGATGCACGCCCGGGCGCCGTTCCGCCGAGCTGGGTGGCAGAGCTGACGAGTGCGGTTTCGGCTTTAACTGGCGAGACACACGAGGTGGTTGAGACGACGGAGAAGAGTCGCTGTACTTTTATCGCCGGCAGGCACCCCCTCGGGGCCGAAGTGGGTTCCCCCACACTCGGAATATCCGGGGGATCTTAACGTCTTTGCCGCTGCAACAACGCCTCGACGGCCCGCCCGGCCAATGAACAGATTCCCCATCGAGATGCCGCGGATGAAGCCGCGCCTCTCCCACACTTTACTCGTCGGCTGCGAGAAACGGCACTCGCCTCTCCACGCCCGCTGCCCCGACCCCAGTTTCCCCGCTGAGTTCGCCGCGCATCCCTGCACCGTCGCGGCTGCCCATCGCTGCCGGCGATGTGACTGCAACGGGGAGCGATCCGCCGCAAAGCTTGGTTCACAAACAAGCTGCCGCCCGACAAGCCATTCAGCGAGCTTGTCGTGCTTAGCGCCACCACCCTCAGTCGTCATCCGCGACAAGGAATCGTGCTTGAACTGACCCACTTCGCTGCTGCTGCGCGGAAGACGTCCGCACAGATGGCCTTACGGATAGCATCTGCGGCATGTGCGTGGCCTCAGTTTCCGGGGTAGGCCGCAGCATTGTGGAGAAGCCGCGCCCCCGTGCTGTATGGTTATCTGTCATTCTTAATTGCGGGCAATCTAGACTCGACTTCGCTTCTCCTTTCGTGTATACAGTATCAAAGTGTCTCAGACCCACAGTCTTCTGCACCCACTCTGTTTGATAAACACCTCGAGACCATTTCACTTTCATCAGTCCCCAGAGATCACTTCGATAAATTGCAGCCATGTCTGGCCCTCTGGAGGACGAAAAGGCTGCTGAGGAGCGGAAAGAGACTATGAAGGTTCCGACGACTTCGGACTCTGGACAAGAGGAGGCGCTGGCCCACCAGTCCACCCTCCTCGAGGATGGAGCATCACATCTTACGCAGGAGCACCGCGAGTACCTTCTGAAGAGACATGGAACATTGACTCTGGACCCTCTGCCGTCTGCGGATCCAGCAGATCCATACAACTGGCCGAGCTGGAAGGTAACTTCATCCCGCGGGACACACAAATGTGCAGAAGCCTGACACGCCTTTCCGCAGAAAAACGCGAACCTCGTCCTCGTGGCATTCCACGCGATGATGACCACGTTCATCGCAGCAGGAATCATTCCAGCCTTCGAAGACATCTCCGTCGACCTTGGCTGCTCGCTCCAACGAGCATCCTACCTGACCTCGATGCAAATCGCCGTCCTCGGTTATTCGCCGCTCTTCTGGAAGCCCATCTCTTACCGATATGGGCGGCGTCCAGTCTGGCTCATTTCGACACTGGGTGCGGGAGTGTGCAATATTGGCTGTGCAGTCAGTCATAGCTACGCAGCCATGTCAGTGTGTCGATGCCTCGTGTCATTCTTCATCAGCCCGGCCATTGCTATTGGTAGCGGAGTCGTTGTCGAGACATTCTTCAAGAAAGACCGAGGAAGGCACATGGGAATCTGGACGTAAGGAGCTCTGCGCTGGATACTGCACTCCCCATTCTGACCACATTACAGGCTGATGGTGACGCTTGGCCCGCCCACCGGACCCTTCATCATGGGCTTCGTCGCGTACCACGTCGGATACCGCTGGATCTTCTGGATCTACGCCATCGTGAGTGTGCCTCCTCCACGAAGCACAACTAAAAAGCATGAGCTGACGTCCCCCCCTCCCCCAAGATCAACGCAGCCCAATTCATCGGCTACCTCTTCCTCGGCCCCGAGACGCGCTACATCCGCCAGGGCGTCCAACACACGGGCAGCGCCTTCAAGCAAGAGTACCTCAACTTCGGCCACCGCCTCGACCCGACGCCTCTCCACTTCTACGAATTCCTCCAACCCGCCTCGCTCGCCCGCTACAAGTCGATCCTCATCCCAACCATCTCGTACACCGTCGTCTTCGGCTTCGCCAGCGTCTTCATGACGGTCGAGATCCCGCAGATCTTCCTGCCCAAGTTCGAGTTCAACCCGCAGCAGATCGGCCTGCAGTTCCTCGGCATCATCATCGGGTCCGTCCTGGGCGAGCAGATGGCCGGCCCGCTCAGCGACGTGTGGATGGACCGCGCGGCCAAGCGCAACGGGTCGATACGTCCGCCGCCCGAGTTCCGCCTCTGGCTGTCGTGGCTCGGATTCTTGCTGACTATCGTCGGCCTCATCGTCTTTGGTGTGCGCACGCAGCAGGCTGTCCCGATGCACTGGAACGTCACGCCCATCATCGGCCTGGCCATTGCTTCCGTCGGGAACCAGATCGTGACGACTGTTTTGGTTACGTATGCGGTTGACTGCCATCCTGAGTCGTCTTCCAGTATTGGCGTCTTTGTGAACTTGATCAGGAGCACGGTAAGTCAAGGTTGCATGCATCACCTTTCAGGAGAACACTGCTAATACGTTACTAGTGGGGATTCATCGGCCCATTCTGGTTCCCGCAAATGATTGAGAGCATCGGCATGAGTGGAAGTGGAGGCCTCATGGCTGGCATCGTTTTCGTAGCAAGCTGGTTGCCTATCATTCTCCTACAGATCCGGGGCGGTGTATGGCGCAAGCGGAGAGCATTGAAGGAGGAGAGTAGGCCAAGCGCGGCACCAGGGCGTGGTGATTGATTTATCACTGCCCACTCTGTCTTTTGAAAGGAAAAAAAAGCAGGAGGTTCGACCTGAGTAAAAAGTTGATGGCGGGTTGGTACGTAAAGGTCAATAAACTGATTCACTAAAGATGTAAAATTGTAGGCCGGTACATACTTTTCGGCTTATTTGAAATCTAAATATGTTCAAAGTGATAGCCACCTATATGCTATGCTGATTGTCTTGTTGGTTTATTGCAGTTGTCTAGGCAAAGTCACATCTCTGAGGATACGTTTAATGGCGAAGCAGGACTCGTCGTCTACCCCAACTTCACTTGCCAGCCGGTCTTCGTAAAAAGCCTTTTCCACAGCCAAGCCCAAATGTATCAAATACTTCTACTAGAAGACTTCTATGTAGAGAACAGGGTTAAAACGGCAGGTGAAAAGGAGGCATTCCATCGCAACATATTTAGATGAGGATGAGTTATGTCTTCAATCGTGCTAAATGCAATATATTCTCAATTAGTGAAAGAACAGCATCACTGCCAAACACCATTTACTGTACTTACCCTTGAGCGACAAAGTTAGTAGAAATCTCTGCGGGCAAGAATACTTGCTTGAAACCAAAGTCTGTACACATTGAAACATCGAATTCCCAAAACTCCACGTAACCAGAGCACACCAAAGGCTTCTATAGCAACTGATATATAAAAGAGCCATTACATAAATTAGAAGCGCCCACAATACCCGCCAAACGCAGCAACAGCCGCAACCCTCGCAAAGAGACTGGTACCGCCCTCTCATAGGACGATACGCATCCCCCATGACTTCCCAAACCAATCACAGTGCAGCCTTTTTAAATGCCCAATCGAGAAGAGATACAAAGTCAGCCCCATGCAATATGTGTGTCCATTCTTATGCAAAAACCACGACGACGCGACCAGAACGATTTCCATAAAAAATCAGGGTCTATGAACAATGACCGTACTCCCACAAAAATGAAATAAAAAGAAAGTAATACCAATCGAAGCGAAAGTAATAAAAAGAATTAGTACACGAACTGGCCATCTCCCTTTCTTGTGCAGCAGCAACATGCTTAGGTATAATCGGGGGGATTCAAAAAACACAAAGCCCACATCCATCATCCACTGCCCTCTCATGGTGATAGTAGCCTACCCCGCCCCCACCACACCTCCTTTACTCGCGTCTGCTTAAGCACTAGCAGCCGCGGCCGCAGCCGGCTGCTCGCCCTTCTCCCCCTTGTTCTTCTTCTTCTTGTCGCTCTTGTGTTCCTTCTTCGCCGCGGCCTCAGCCATCAGCTGCTCGAAAGCCATAAAGTCGCCTTCCTCCTCCGGGTCGCGCTCGGCCTTGGCGAACAGCTCTCCGATGATGACGATGGCCTGGGCGCGCTCGATGCGCTTCTCCAGCTTGACCGCCTTGTCCTGCAGCACCTTGTCGCACACGTCGCGCAGCACGCTCTGGATCTCGAACTTGCTGCCGCGCCACGCCGCCGCGAGGATCTTGCCCGTCACCAGCTTCTCGAACTCGGCCTTCTTCTCGTCCGTCCACTCCTCGCCGCCCGCCTCCTCGGCCTTGGCCATGGCCTCCATGCTCATCTGCGCGTCGATGGCCGTCGAGATGGTGCCCCACGTCTCCTTGGCCAGCTGGCCCTTGTCCTTCAGCCTGCCGAAGAAGCCGCCGATGCCGAGGAACTTCTGGCTCTTGAGGAAGTTGGTGCCCTTGCTCGTGTAGACCTGGCCGATGGCGTGTAGAATCTCGAGGCCGAAGCTCTCCATCTTCAGGTTCTCCACCTCCAGCTTCATCTGCTCCTTGAAGCTCGCCGTCACGTCCTGCCCCTTGTCGCTCTCGGTCCAGATGTTGATGCGCTTGACCAGCTTGTCCGCCAGCGTCGCCACCCGCTCGTCCCGCACCTTCTTGCGCTCCATCTCGTACGCCGCCAGCTCCTCGCGCTGCTCCTTGGTCAGCCCCCCCTTCTTCTTCTCCTTCGCCCGTAGCTCCTTCTCCTTCTCCGACACCCCCGCCGCGTCCATCCGCGCCTGCTCCTCGCTCCTGTCCATGATCGCCAGCCGCGTCGGCACGCCCTTGGGGCGCGGCGTGCTGGTACCCGAAGCCGACGGGCTCGGCGTGGCGTCGGCAGCGGCGCCAGGAGCAGTAGCGGCGGCGGCGGGAACATCCTCGTCTGCGGACGCATGCTTCTCGGGCGCGGGGGCGGCTGCGCCGGCGGTAGTAGCGCCAGCAGCAGCAGTAGTAGTCTCGCCGCCCGGAGCGGTGCCAGCGGCCTCAGCGGCTTCCTGCTCGGAGGCGGCGGCAGCAGCGGCAGCGGCTTCTTCCTCTTCCATCTCCTTCATGGTGATGTCCATCGTGTGCGTGAGGTCCTTCATGAGCGAAATCTCGCCGATCCTGCAGTACAAGTCCCATCGGTCAGCAATCTGCATATCCCATACGTCCCGGCGCATTGCGCGCGTTAGGTGCGAGTATGCCTACCACTCCACGAAAGCCTCGCCGCCAAAAATCATGCCGAAGAACTCGGCCGGGTCCTCTGTAAAAATACGTTAGCCATCTTATTACTGTCATTCCAACTTGGCGAACCCTCCCATGTCGATTCCTGGGGTGTTCATGGGGCTGGCATACCGAAACCGCTGTGCGGCACCGCTCCTTCCTTGCCGTGCAAGTCATATTGTTTTCTGAGTTCCTTGTCGCTGAGGACTTGGTACGCCTCGCCAATCTGTTTTCACCGCGCGTTGGTTGCGTTGGTCAAATTTATTGCGTTGGGGGGGCCTGCTGCATGCGGGAGCGAAAAAAAGGCGGCGCGGGGCAGCGGGCAGCAGCAGCGGCGAGGAAGTCTTACAGCCTGGAATTTCTCGTGCGCACTCTCGTCGCCGGGGTTCTTATCTGCAAGGGAACAAGAGTAAGTCAGTACTGCAGTTTGCGAGGGAGGAGGAGTGGTTGCAGGGCGGGTGCATGTCTCATACCCGGGTGCAGCTTGATCGCAAGCTTGCGATATGCTTTCTTGATCTCGATCTCGGACGCGGTGGGCGGCACCTGCAGGGCGTCGTAGTAGCTGGTGTCGACAACCATTATGGCTGCGTCGGAGGGTGGGTATCGAGGGCAAAACGCGTAGGAATGGAGGGTGTTTGGGGGGAGCGGCGGTGCCTTGGGCGAATGTTGTGCTGGAGTACGGAAAGGCGGCAAGCCAACAAGCGGCGGGACCCTTGCCCATGACGACGATTTTCTCACTGCACCCGACGCGCGCAAAGCCACACTGGGGCAACGATCATCCGAACACCCCTCCAAGCCACAAACGCGACGTCACAGCTAGCCGGCGCAGCCCGCAGCAAGAGAAAAATGTTGTGGTACAAGAAGCTTTTAGTATATCGACAGAAACCCGTTCCCGAAGATGCCGTCGTCATGCCTGATGCAAACGCCGTGCTAAACCGTGCCGTAATAATCGTCCATCCCCAGAACTGAGCTATCGAGGAGGGCCACCTGTTTCACCTCCTGTATATGATGCTCGTAGACTAAACGCCGTTGCAATGTAACCGCCTGCGGAGCAAGCCCAAACTTTTGCCCCCTCTCCCAGAAGCCCTCAAGGAAACTAGAGAGAAATAATCCCACCGGATCCGTGAATACACATGAGTCGGACGTCATTAGTGCGCTGATTCCCTTCGTCGCTTACACGACAAACTTGGCCTTCGCCCTGGTGCTACCGGAGTGCGCGCTGTCGGTGTGACCCGAGAACTCAACCTGGTCGTTCTCCTTCAGCGTCAGCGCCTCCTTGAAGCGCGCGCCAATCTTCATCAGGACGTCCTTGCCCTGCTCGAAGCTCCTGCCCTTGCCGCCGGCGTTGTTACCGTCGCCGCCGCCAGGGAACGGCTTGCCGACGGTGCGCGTCCACAGGCCGATACGGTAGAAGCCCTTACGGACGTTGACAACGACGCCCATCACCTCACCGTCACCCTCGTCTTCCAGTGTCTCGCCGATGGCGGCCAGCATGACGTGGAGCCACAGCGAGTCGATATCGATGAGCTTCTTGTCGCGGAAGGAGAAAGACCACTTGCCACCATGCTTGTTCTGAGGGTCCTCCCACTCGGGACGGACGCCCTTCTTGAAGAGATGGTAGTCGGACTTGAGGGCCAGCTGCGAGGTCGGAGTGATGTTGTTCTGTAGCGACACGTCAGTCATGACCAGCGCCGCGAGTCAAGCAGCCGAAGACATACGTAGATACCCCAAAACTCCTCGACAGAGTCAAAGGAAATGACCTCCTTCAGCAGCTCGTTCCAGTTGTCACCCTGCGCAGCAATGGGTCAGCATGGTGTCGCGGCAGCCTTGCAATTGCGGCGCAGACATACCTTGCCGCTCGGCGGCTTGGTGAACCAGAGAGTCCACGCGTTCATAAGCGGGTGCTTGACGTTGAAGTTGTTGGGGTCGTGGAAGACGGTAACCGGATCGCTGTCATTGTAAGGGACCTTGCCCTCCTCTCCTTCCTTTGTGCCATTCATGTTTCCGCCCTCAGGTGAGATCGGAATCGTGTCGAGAGGGACGGGCTCTTGGGGGTTTGCGGTAGCGGCCATGGTGGTATGTCGGTCTGCGCAAATGTGGGCGGCGACGGGCTTTTGGCGTGCCTAAAAGCGTTTGGCGAGGTTTGGGCGGGTGTAACCGCGGAACGCTTCAAGCGTGCTTCAAGGTTGAGACGCGCGAAGCGAACGGGCCGGTAGGCTGCAGAGGAGCTGTGGATGGTCCCGCCTGGTGATACGCCAAGCAGTGCGGATGCGGGAGTGCCGAAAGGCTTTTGTTGTGGATGTCGTAGGTTTTGTAGCGGGGAAAAGCTCTTGGACGATGGCTTTAAAGGTCAAGCTCGCAGCGAAAAGTCGGGCAGTTGCGAAGTTGCGCGAGAGCGGCAAGTGCGGCTTGGCGCAGGTCCCGCCTCAACTTCGGCCTTATTGGTGCCTGCTCATCTGCCGCTTCCCGTTCAAGAGCTTTCCCCCGCGCTGTGCTTCACAGCTGACGCGCGTCCGAGCTTCTTGAGATGATACTCCTCTAGCAGCGAATAGGCTTCAGCGCCTGCCGACGTCTCATTTGCTGGCTTCCATTGCAGGACTGCAAAAGCACTGTTGAACCCGGGACGATTGTCATCGATGTCGCATGGGGAGCCGCAAACGATGATGCAATCCTATTATGATCTCCAGATAATTTGGAAGTCATGAAACACCCTCCTGCTATTGGGCAGCCATCGTGTTTGGCATTCGTGTCATGATCGTGTTTCAGCGGATTCAAAGTCACAAACAAAGGGACACATGACGTCATATGGCTGGAAGAAGGAAGCTCAATAGGTAGCATTTAATTCGTACTATTTGTATGTGTACCGCACCAGCTGGAGTGAGCCTCATGGTATCTAGAGACACACACCAACAGTTCCCGATTACCGGGTAATGTAATTCGATATCAGCACATCTTCGGCACAACCGACGCCACTGAAGCGGCATGATTGTAATTTGACATCCGTGCTATGGGTACTTGGGGGTTCGAAATGTAAATGCAAAATGAGAAACACATGTCTGTGACTGAAAGATACCAAGAGACGGCATGCAGAACCGATCGCCGTCACCTAGGCGAAAGGGACTTGTGCCCGCAAGTGCGAATTATTATATTAGTAGCAGAAGAAACGAGTCGCCTCGGCCGACTGCTTCGCTCACGCTATGGAGAGCTCGAAGAATGAGGTAATACATGCTCTGGTCGTTATACATAATTGGTTACCGTTTTGTTTATGAAGGGACCATATATCAAGAAGATCAGATGCGGCTGAACCGATGCGCAGCAGGCTACCTCTAGAGCTCGCCGTGATCGAACTTGTGGATGGCCTCCTGTGCTTCGGGCGAGCCAGGTGCGGGCGCCTTGAACAAGCCCTGCTTGAGCTGGGCGAAGGCAATGTCGAATCTTGCACCAGCAAACCAAGCGACAAGGATCTGTGGGATGAATGGTTAGTGGACGATGAAGTTGGTGTTGTGGTGTTGTGTGGAACGCGAAAATTTGACGCTTACCATGCAAAAGGTGACTATCGTTAGCGTGGAAATTACGGCAATTCCCATGTAGATCAGGTCCCACTTGGCGTCCTCCTCCTCCTTCTTCTTCTTGGCCTCCTCCTCTGGGCTCAGCGAAGTCTTCATCTCCCTGTTCTGGGCTGTTTGCGACGGGAAGATCGACTCGATGAATTGCTCAATCTACTGGAACGTTAGTAACCCGTAGACACGCCGTGGGAATATTTCGACTTACCCTGCCGCAAGCGATGCTGATCTCGAGGAAGTTGGGATCTCTGGGATCATTCTTCTTGAGAATCTTACGAGAGTAATCCTTGAAGACCTCACAGACAATCTGCAGGTTCTGCGTTGACCGGACCATCAGTTCGCATGCCTGGCCCTTGGTGATTTTGATGTTCTTCTCGAAGATGGCGGGGTTGCGGAAGCACAATTCTAGCGTCGCAATCGCCATGGTCTGCGGGATGGCGCAGAAGTTGAACACACTTTGGTCCCTGAGACCGGCGAGGTAGAACAAGCAATCAGGCGCACGGCGCAGCGCAGTCAAGATCATCTCTGAGTTGCAGTTGAGAGCCTTGTCGCGGTTCTCAGGCTTGAAGAGGTCTTCGAAGTTGTCAACGTGCTTCGACCAGATTTCCTTGGGCCAGAACTTCCGGTTGTCATCCAAATCCTCCTTGATGTCTCTGATGATGTTGACCTGCTGCAAGAATTGACCCATGGACTCCTGAAGCTCCGGGCGCTTGAGAAGGGCGGTATTGGCCAGGTCGGCCTCGACGAAGAGGCGCGTCAGACCCTCTCCAACAAGACCAGCGACGTAGTGGCAGTACAGCTCATAGTCCTTGACGGTGTTCACACCGTACGTGTTGTGCTCGGCATTGTTGGCGTAGTCGGCCATGCCATTACCCATCTTCTTGGTGATGTCCTTGATGATGGCCTGATACGGCTTCTTGATCTTCTTGAACTCCTCGATCACGACTTCGAACTCGACAAGCAGCTGCCTGTCCTTCTCATTGGGACCGTTCCCGTTGAAGTTCCAACCATCCTTCTCCAGAATCTGGTCGAATTCGCGCAGCAGAGGCTCCTTCGTCTTGAGGTCGATGGTCATATCATCTTCGATGGTATCGAGGCCACGGAGGATGAGGTAGAAGAGGCAGACGGGGACGAGCAGCTCGGGATGCAGCTCCTGGATGACGGCGGCGAAGCTGCGGCTGGTCTGCTGGAGGAAGACGAAGCATTGGCGCAGCGTCGGGCATTCCTTGGACTCATCACGCTCGTGGACGGGGTTGTGCCAGACCTTCCTAAAGCCTGGATCAGTTTGCACAACAGTTGTGAGTGCGCAAAGGAGCATTGGCGCACCATTGGATTATGGACCGCAGCTCCTGCACGTGGAACAGGTAGTACACGATATCCGACGCCTTCGGCATGTTGACAGGACGCGTACGCGACTGAGAGCTGAGAAGGGGGTTGGACGAAGTGTGGTGTCAACTCAGCGCGAGAGTCTGCGGGGATGGTGGTCGCGCGCGGAAGGAAGGTTGGGCGGTCGAATGTGCAGCTGACGGCTGATTATCCCACCATCGGCATGGCTCTGGATAATATAAGGAGAGGCGCCCAGCAGCGATCTGAGCCTCCTCCGCTTTTTGTGTGCAGGGCCCTCTTGAGTCTGACCGCCGGGCGCGGCGGCACTAGAGCTCCGGCCCCGTGCGCGCCTGGATTCGTGGACGACCGCATCCTCATCTCCGTCGGCGTCGCGGAAACTCCGCATCGCCGCCGCCACACGCAACTACCCAGTCATGTGCGACCCTCATCTCACATCAAATTGTCCACGTTTCATTCTCTATAATCGGTGTCTTAACAGGATATCTACGTCGTTATAGCCCCACATCTGGGCGTCGAGCAAATCGCGCCCATCCTTATGTATCCCAACGCCGAGAGCAGGTCGTCATCATCTCAACAAATGTAAAAGCGAGAACGTGCGACACTCACCGGTGCCTCGTAAATCCATCTACAAAATTCGAAAGCGGAAGAGATGCGAATACACTGAGAGAAAGTAAAAAAAAAAAAAGAAACAGGGAATAAAGAATGAAGATACGCAATGCACCTCACTTGAGCTTGTCCCAGAAAGTGAATTTCGACGATACGGACATTGGTCGCCCCCTGACCGAGCCTTCTGTACTCGACCTATCCGAGTCTCTGCGGCTCACTGAGGAATCTGAAGCGCCCGACTTCTTCTTGTATTTCTTGATGAGCATCTGGATCTCAGGAGAGCTTCGCTGCGCGAGTTTCGCTGAGTTCTGGCCGTAGTTGTCCGCCGCACTGATGTCGGCTCCTCGTTCGATGAGGGCAGCAACGTTTCCCTCTTGTCTCTTCTCGATTGCGACGTGAAGAGGCGTGCGACCGGCAACGTCTCTCGCCTCTTTTTCCGCCTGACGATCAAGCAGCGCGCCGAGTAAACGCTCCCCGCCGCTCTTGGAGGCTGCTATGTGGAGGGTTGTCTCGCGCTCCTTGTTGGGTGTGTTCAAGCTGCCGCCTTTTCCCACGATCGCATCGATGATCTCAACGCTGCCGCTTTTGCGCACTGCACGATGGAGTGCAGTGTCGCCCTTCTTGTCCGTGGCGTTGACGTCTGCACCGGCCGAAAGCAACAGCCGGACTGTGGTGAGATGCCTCTCTTCGGCCGCATACATCAAAGGCGTTCCACCGGTCGAGGTTTTGGCTTCGATGTGTGCGTGCTTTTCGAGGAGTAAGTGTGATATCTCGGATGAGCCCGCGAAGCTCGAGAGAAGAAGAGGGGTCCAACTGGCATCTACGCCCACCAAGTAAGTATCCATCCTAAAATCTTTGCTGGCAAGAAGCTTACCTGAAGAACTCGGCGATGGCCACTTTCTCGGACCTACGCATTCAAGACCAGCATCGTACTCCAACAACAGCTTCACGAGGACGGGGAGCTTCAGATCCACAGCCCGGTGAAGAGCCGTACACCCATAAGAGGTGGAATCCACTCTCGCACCTTTTCCGAGAAGAAGTGCAGCGATGGGTTCATGTCCTGCAGTGACTGCATGAATCAAAGGTGTAATGCTCCTTGCACAACGCATTTCTGGACTGGCGCCCTTTTGGAGAATATCTTGTACTATCCCGTCCTCCTTGGCTTGGATAGCATGTATGAGAGGCGTTTTCCCGTCTGCCAAAAGCGAGTCTTTTCCGATTCCGAGATCCGATTCCATCAACAAGCTTGCGATCTCTCGTCGGCCTGCTTGAATGGCCCACTTCAAGCTTTCTTTTGCGAGCCCGCGTTGCTTGTCGATATCCTGGATTCGATGCAACACTTCTGTAACACCAGCTTCACTGTCCCGCTCGATCGAGCACTTCATTGCATTCCTTGGATCGAAGTTTGGAGACGCTGGGTCATGTCCGGCCTCGGTCAACCATGAGGCCCCACTGCTACCACTTGGCGTGATTTCAAGGCTCAGTTTGCGCTCGGTCAAGCTCGGCTTTCGGGGATTGTCTCCCAGGTACTGCTCGCGCAGCGCTTCGGCCAAGATGTATTCTCCTCGTTGCTGACATATCTGGGCCAGAAGCGCTACGGCATCGAATATGAAAGCATCCCCTTTCGGCAAAGACCTTTCGGCTCCAGTAAAAGCTCTCTTCGCGTACCTTGCAGCTTTCTCCAGCCGTTCCTGCTCTTGATATATTTTCGCATAGAAGAAGTACCACCTCCAAATGTCCGGGGTCCTCTCCTTATGCTCTTCCAACAACCGGTTGTAGACTGCCTTTGCCTCCTCAAGCTGTTTCTGCTTGTAGTATATCTGGGCCAGCCTCTCGAAAACCTCAGCATTGTCATACACCATACCATGGTTTCTCTGGCCCTCCTCCAGGTACTTGATCATCATTTTCTGGGCAGTTTCGGCTCGATGGTAGTTCCCTTTGTCGAAGTCCTCGATCGCCTGTTTGTGGAACCGTTCGATAAGTCCCTTCAAGACATCTTCCGAGAAATGATCGTCAATGCTGGGGTCTGGATCGTCCTCGTCATCTGAATGTTCATCGGAACCGATGCCTGAGTCTTTCGGTACTTCGGGAACCGGAGGAACAAGTTCAGAAGTGCTGGGGATCCCCAGTGACGTTGTTTCGTTTCCGAAGCTCGGAGCCGCACCAGGACTTCGCAACGGTGATTCGAATCCGTCCATCCACGTCTGGATTGGTCGGTCCATGACTTGGAGCCTGCCACGGATCGAGTCGGCATCGGGCTGATAGGCACTCGTTGCAGCTTCGCTGACAGCAGCGGCAGACCTAATGATTTGCTCCACGTCCGTTTTGATCTCTTGCTCGCATGGCAGATCGGCCTCGATGTCGGCTGCGCCGATGTCATCAACCTCTTCCATCACCATAGGCCGTGCCACCAGCGTAGCTTTCACGTCCTCGATTCCAAGCGCTAATTCCCGGAGTTCGTGTTCAATAGAGGCATGGTTTTGCCACTGATTGACCAGCGTCAGAGTCGACAAAGACACGTGCAGAGCTTGCGTGTACGACTTGATATGGCTCCGCAAGATGCAAATGATGTGTGACCTCATGTTCAGCCTCAACTGCGTAATCGGCTTCCTGCCAGGCGTTGTCTGCTTCGCCGCGCACTCGTCCAACAAAGACTGTAGTTTCTCCAACGTCTTCCTACAGCGTTCGAGTAGCTTGTTGATATCCTTCCAGTGGTCTTGCTCTAGATCCTGCATCTGCCGCTGCCGCCATGTCTTCTGCGTATCTACCACCAGCCGTAACGCAATTTTGAAATTTTTGATCTCGACCCGGAAGCCGGAAACCGTCATGTCGACATGGCTGGTTGCCTCACAGAAGGCTGCTAGCTTGGAGATGATGGTGCCCGCCAGCTGGGCGATATTCGCAGCACTGGCGCAGATTGATAGGGGATCCATGGCGGTGGAGACATAGGACCGAAAAGGCTGCAACAAGGACTAGGGAAAGTTTACGTGCTGCGCACGCCAACGCAAGAGGAAGAAAGGAAGAAAGATAAGAAAGAAGCGGGGCAGAGACGCAGGACAGCCAGCCCTAAAGCCCAAACTTACCACCTACAGCACAGATGCTAGTGGCAGTGCCTGCAGCGCGTCGGAGTCAGCCCGGCGCCAACATTAAAGTGCGGCACTTGGCAGCACAAGACTTGGTGAGCAAGAGGATCCGGAGCGTCATGGCCGTCAGGCAGAAGGTTCGCCTAGCTGGGGGCCACGAAAAGCCGCTGAAGGACTCCCAGCCGGGAGCGAATCCGGTTGCGAGCGCTGCTTTTCCCGCGTCCCGATGCAAGGCAAGAGACTGCGCCTCCGCCACGAACCATGATTCAGGCACGTGTCGTGAAAAATGAGGCGACAGACGAGCGGCGTTATGGCTGGTGCGAGCTACTGCGGTCAGCCGATTCTGGGACCGTCGTCGCAGTCTCAAGGCTTAGGACGAGCTGCTGCGGTCTGTGCTATGACGGCACTACCCATTCAGCAGACACGTGGAAACTCCCCCTCGAGACATATTACGTGTATAACATTTGCATGAGGAGTCAGAACTAGAAGCTTGGACTCGGAAAACACCGCCAAGATGCTGAGGCTCGACAACCGTCCGGATCCGTCTGGTAGGATGTCATGATTTGTGGGGAAAAGGCGCAAGGCTGTGATGCTTGAACGTGGAGACGGGCGCTTGCCCCGGATCGCTGCATGTCTGTTCCCCGGCCTCTGTCGATCACTCTCCGCATTTGGCCCCCGCGTTTGCTGCACGTGAGACGTTTGCGGTGTACAGCCTCTCGGCAATGGCAGCCTGATGTTAGCGTGAATCCTTCCATGTACGACGAACCTGGGATTTGTGTTGCGTCCTTCGTGGCGTGTGTACAGCTGTCGCCGCCGAGAAGAAATTCAATTGCCTCGTTCAGCCTGACGGTCAAATTCACGGACGGAGGCTGCGAATTCAGTAATAGTGATGGGTAATTTCGGTAGCGAACGTTTTGCAAGGCAACACCCGGATTGATTTCCTTTTTGTTAAACACCTGCAGGACATCGACGGATCACGTCGGGGCGCTGTCGTGGTGCAACATGCAGGATTCCCTCAGCTGGGCCTGGGCGCCAGCCGCAAGGCAGATTTCACCAAAGCGAAAAAGATCTGCCATTGCGCATCTTCCCGCTCATCCACATGTGCTGCATCTTTTCCCGTTGCCGCCGTCATCTCACCTGGGGTCATCCTCATAACGAAACACTGCTATCCTACCATCCTTTCAGCCGCTGAAGAGAATAGTCCACAAACCTGTCACTTAGTATTCAATCTCATTCTCCATCAGCAGGGCCAACAGAGAGGCAGAATCGGACCCTGCGTCCGTAGTTCTGCATAGCGCTACGGAATGTCCGACCCACTGGAGCTAAGGGAGCGAATCACGGTCAGCAGCTCACCCCCCAGAGCAGCCTTACTCTGCAACACAAAACGCTTCACGTTGGGCTTTCTCTCCTTGCGCCGGGAGCTAATGTTGTGGGATAGTCGTCCAAGCGGAGCTCCAATGATGTTGAGAGTACGCTTCGCGACGAGGATCACATTCAAGTATAGTATGTATTGTTGCCTTACCCGTTCCTCTTTTCGAAGTTCGATCGACACGCCCTACTGCCGGTGATCATGTTGGAGAGGCTTGCTGTCAGAAATACGGGGCGGGGTCACTTAGAGTTGCGACAGCTGCAGCAAACCACAAAAGAGAGTTGAAGCCCTTGACTGGATGTGAGAGCACGCTGCAAAGTGCTTACAAACGCATCCCATGGCCTTCTTCAACTTTGCGGTCGCGTTGCAGCAATAGGCGAAAACAGACAGCCTTACAGCAAGCTCAACATCATCACGGGATGATCAGTTGTCGCGTGATCCGCCCTTGCCTACTACTGTTCCACCATTCACCCTCATCGGCAGACAGCTTTAATGGGAGAGCTCAAGCAAAGGGCATCTTGCTGACCACAAGTCCAGCATCGACAATCCCCTCGACAACCTCACTCTCGAAGAGCTTGAGGAACAAGTCGCTGCCTTCCAACTCAAATACGGCCTAGTCCACGTCATCGATGAGAAGCTGCTGCAGAAGGGCGCGCGTGTTGCGCAAAGCGGACGGACATTCGAGGCTATCGAAGAGCTGACGCAGGAAGAGCTTCAAGCCTTGCGGGATGAACACACGCGGCTTTTCAGGCAACCGCCAGCCTTCTGGATTACGATTTGCTGCACATGCATTGCCGCAGTGCTACAGTACGCGACCCTCAATTTCAGACGCTATAGGTCCATACTAACGTGACAACCACGCAGAGGATGGGACCAGACGGGATCAAACGGCGCCAACCTTGAGTGGCCAGACGCATTCGACCTTGTGGTTGACGGTGACAACCCCGTTGAAAGTGATGTCTGGATTCTCGGAGTGGTTAATGCAGCTCCGTACTTCGCAGCGTCCATGCTGTAAGCGCACCACTGCCTTTTATCTATTGCGTGTGCTCACATTTCCGCAAGGGGTTGCTGGATTTCTGATCCGCTGAACAACTATACTGGCCGGCGAGGTACCATATTCTTCTCTGCCATCTTTTGCTTCGCTTCTGTTATCGGTGCGGCATTTACTCAAAACTGGATCCAACTGTTCTTCTGCCGTTGCCTTCTCGGCATTGGGATGGGTAGCAAAGCGGCAACAGTCCCCGTCTACGCGGCCGAGAACTCACCCGCTTTCTTCCGTGGAAGTTTCGTGATGAGCTGGCAGCTCTGGGTAGCCTTTGGTATCTTTTTGTACGCATTTCCGCTTTCCCCCCTGGCTCTATTTTGTGCCTTTCAATTCCCTGAGATGAGGAATGATGAAATTTAAGAGCAAGTGCTTACACAAGCTGCGCTTTTTAGAGGCTTCTCGGCCAATCTCGCCGTCTACCAGGTCCCCATCATCGGCTGGCGCCTGCAGTTCGGCAGCGCCTTCATCCCCGCCGTCCCGCTCCTCATCCTCATCTGGTGGGCACCCGAATCGCCCCGGTGGTACATCAAGCAGAATTGCTACCCGCAGGCATACCACTCGCTGCTCCGCCTACGCAACGTCCCGTTGCAGGCTGCTCGCGATCTATACTACATGCACGTGCAGATCGAGCTGGAGAACAAGATGCTGGCGGCGGAGCAGGCTGCGCGAAGCGGCGGGAGGGCGGCGGACGAGGAAACGGTGAGCAGAACGCCGGTTGCCAGAGATCTGTACAAGGCCAAGATGTACGTGCGGAGATTCGTGCAGCTGTTTACGATCGCGAGAGTGAGGAGGGCGACTTTGGCGTGTACGACGGTCATGCTGGCGCAGCAGATGTGTGGGATCAACGTGAGTTTTGCTTGCTCTACGGCCTCGGTTACTGAACTAATGCTCGGAAGATTGTGATTTTCTACAGTGCGACTTTGTTCGTGGAGGAGGCAAAAGCAGACAAGCAGACCGCATTGCTGGTCTCGTGGGGCTTCGGCCTGGCTAACTTTATGTCAGTATTTGTCTTCCGCCTCATTCACCAGGCTAGCGTACTAACTTCTGTTCAGATTCGCGCTTCCAGCAGTGCACCGGATCGATACTCTTGGGCGTCGCACGCTGCTACTCGTCACGTTCCCAGGCATGGCTCTCACGCTCTTGGCAGCCGGCTTCTCCTTCTATATTCCCGAAAACAATCCGGCTCGTCTGGACCTCATTACTTTCTGGATATTTTTCTTTGCTGTCTTTTACAGTCCTGGCGAGGGACCGGTACCCTTCACTTATTCTTCGGAAGCCTTTCCCCTGTCTCATCGTGAGGTTGGCATGAGCTGGGCAGTCGCGACGAACCTCTTCTGGGCTGGAATCCTCAACACGGTCTTCCCCAAGCTCACCGATGCACTGAGTAACACAGGCGCACTCGGTCTCTTCGCAGGACTGAACGTCGTGGCGTTTGTGATGATCTTCCTGTGGGTACCGGAAACGAAGCAGCGGACACTGGAAGAATTGGACTCAATATGTAAGCCTGCCTGCCCAGAAGACACGGATCAGAAGCTAACAGCCTGCAGTCAAAGAGCCAACGCGACACCATATGCATTACCAAATCACGGTGACACTGCCTTGGCTTTGGAAGCGCTACGTGCTTCGCCAGGACGTCGAGAGGGCGCCGCTTTATGTTTTCAGACGATGATAAGGGTCCATGACTAGTTTAATGGCGCGGCACTGGTCAGTAGCTGCATTAGCCGCCAAATAGTGCGCGAATGGTGTTGTCGTGGCCGAGCGTAGGGACGAGCGTTCCGTCACGCTTATTTGAAAAACAATGACTTCTTGTTTTCTTCCATTTGCTTGGGTTAGTACACGAGATACCAGGCGTTAGGAGGCTTTGTCTGCAGAATTCATCATCGTTTGTCCTTGTTCTCTGTTTTTGTACGTGAATATGCTTCCAGCTACAGTTTCTCTGCTGAGCAGGCGTGAGTTCCCTTGCGTCCATAGGCCCCACCGTGTCACCGGATCCCGGATGTTCCAGAGAGACAGACAGAGGGGCTAGACCGCGGACTGCCTAGTTTGTAGATAGCGGCTGTGGTAAGTGAAGTGAAGCTTGAATGACGATCAACGCACGGGAGCGCCCGGCGAGTGTGCGCAAGATGCGATTCGTCCGTAGAGCGAGACTTGTACGATTGCGGAACGGCGCGGAGTGCTTGGGCCTCGAATAATGGTTAGGTTGTGCTGGTGTCGCGGCGGAGCGAGTGGGTGCTTGGCGGCCATGACGTAGCCGCCAGCAGACCCTATGTCATCGTTCTGCAGTTCGTGCGCCGTTCCTCTCGCAGCCAGTCCAGTGCTCTCCCCCCTTAACTTGGCCCAGCCCTGCAAAACACATTTACATATAATCTTGCCGCATCCTCGCGCCGATCCCCGCCGACCAAGTCAATCAATTTCCTCTCCCTCCTTCCCTACCCCGTCCGTGCGGAGTCCACACAAAGCGATCTCCCAAGACACGCCAGCTGCCTGCGATCCTCCTAACTAACCCGCTCGCCGCCGCCGCTCACACCACGAGACACCGACCACCCAGCACCAACGCCTCAAACCCGCCCGCCATGCACCGCACCTACTCGATGCGCCAGTCGCGCGCGCCAACGGCGTCGCAGCTGCAGAACCCCCCGCCGCCGCCCTCGTCCACCAAGACCGGCCGCTTCTTCGGCAAGAGCAACTTGGGTAGGTAGTCGACCTCTTGTTTCCGCACACCCCATTCCCCACAAGGCGCTTTCGCATTGTCCCACTCCGGATCGCCGCCGCCGCGCAGACCTCGATCGGCCTCCTCCACCTTTTACTCCCCACAGCCTCGAGGGCGGCCGAAGCGCCAATTCCGTTCTCTGCGCGCGCGCGCATGCGCGCCGCGGCGGCGCTCTGGGACGCGGCCAATGCGAAGGCTTCCCGCATACCTTGTCGTTACTTCTGCTGCTTTTTTGTTGTGCTTTGCTGCTAGACGCTTGTTTCTGCGACTCCTAGGACGCAAAGTTGATCTTGTGTTGCGACATCCAGGCCACTCGTTCCGTAGGCAGACGGCCGGCGCCTGGGGCCCGGACCTGGCAAAGAAGCTGTCGCAGCTGGTGAAGATGGAGAAGAACGTCATGCGCAGCATGGAGCTTGTCGGAAGGGAGCGCATGGAGGTGGCGGTATGTTCCTCCCCATTGTCTGCGCCGGAAAATTGCGGGAGGGGCTGACGAGTTCGCGTGTAGCAACAATTGTCCATCTGGGGCGAGGCCTGCGACGACGACGTCTCCGACGTTACTGATAAATTGGGCGTGCTCATCTACGAGATTGGCGAGCTGGAGGACCAGTTTGTCGACCGCTACGATCAGTACCGCGTCACGATGAAGAGCATTCGCAACATCGAGGCCTCCGTTCAGCCGAGTCGCGACAGTAAGCCGACCCTACACAATGGATATCTCGGAGATGGAGGCTGACTGGGTGGTGAATAGGGAAGCAGAAGATCACGGACCAGATTGCGCAGCTCAAGTACAAGGAGCCCAACTCGCCCAAGATTGTTGTCCTGGAGCAGGAACTCGTCCGTGCCGAGGCCGAGTCCCTCGTCGCCGAGGCTCAGCTGTCTAACATTACGCGCGAGAAGCTTAAGGCCGCTTTCACATATCAGTTTGATGCTCTGCGTGAGCATTGCGAGAAGCTTGCTATTATTGCGGGCTACGGCAAGCATCTGTTGGAGCTGGTTGATGACACCCCCGTCACTCCCGGCGAGACTAGGCCCGCATACGATGGATATGAAGCCAGCAAGGCGTACGTTTTCTGGTTCCTACAATTTTGCCAGATGGAGCTAACAAATCCCACAGCATTATCCAGGACTGTGAAGATGCGTTGACCAACTGGGTCGAGCAAAATGCCTCGGTCAAGTCCAACCTGTCTACCCGCGCACGAACACTATCCCAGCGTCGCCATCAGCGCCGCCAGAACGGTGAGGGCGTCGACCTTTCCCACCAGGACCAGCCTATGGAGGGCCGCGAATCCGGTCTTTGGATACCCGCATCAGAGCATGCAGCACGCGAGGGCTATGAGGACGATGAGGATGAGGAGGATGACGCGCCCAGCACCATCGCGGCGAGCGAACCGCGCGGCCGCGAGGCTGTTGCCGCCTAAGGTTGTGAGGCGTCGTTTTCATCTTTTTCACTTCTCGCCATGTTCTCCTACCTTCGATTCAAGAAGTGGAAGAGTCGAAGTTTGGCGGAACGGTAGACGTTATACCCAAGGCATGAGGAATGGTTTTTGTAATATGACGGGTGGAGTAATCATGGGGCATCGGGTGGTTAAAGAGGATAATGCATTTGCGACTCCTGTAGGTCTAGTCTTTTGAATGATGGAAACGAATTGACTGCTACGATATGTCATATTGTTGTGACCAATTCCTCTGTGCTGCGTTCGAAAATTCCTTTATTTTTTGCTGGATCTGATAGGCGAATTAGAGTTATCTCTTTCACGTCAAAGTTTCCTGAGAAACGATCTGGATGACTGCAACGTTTATCTGGCGAGACCGATATAGGAAGCTGGAAAAAGTTTTATTTACAAGGATTTAAAGATGATGGCGAAGTGGCTGCCTGGCTGACATGCATATCCGGCCTGCATCATATCGACCCTGTTCCCCGTCAACCCGCGCTGCACGCCCCTGCCCCCACAGATCTGTGGCAGCGTCGTGACAGGCCCTGGGCCAGAGCTTTCGCAGACATGACTCGGGTAAGAGGCTCGTAACGTTAGTGTTTGATGGTGCCGTGTTACTCGTCCGATGAAGCTTCGAGAAAGGTAAGCGCTGCGTACGTCCCATGATCATCTGATAATTGATAAGATGAGACGTCTAGGTGCAACCCTCCCAGTTAAGTCGGGGTAGACTTGCTGACTCCGGGCAGGCTTCACGAGCAGCTGAAGGATCTCAGCAATTTGACACCGCAGGGCGCGGGCGCGCTCTACCCTACGCAGATTCGAGTCACCGCGACGGGCTGGGCTGGGCCCCACATACCGCATCCCGATACGGGAAGTAGCCGACGAGGCGGAAACGAAGGCTCAGTCCTTCGCTCGGCGGTATTGATAAGCAGGCGGCAGGGCGATCCCACATGCCGCTTTCTTTCCTCTGGATGCTACAACTTTACGACGCAGACCCTCTTTGTCGTGCTTTTCTCTTCCTATTGGATCTCTCGAGCCCCGCGCTTCCCTTGGACCTGGGAAAACCTTATCACCTTCACAAACCCCGCAGCTGGGGAAACGATGTCTGCGACGTAAAGACAAGACCAAGCTCTGACCTCACTACCTTAGCTGCCGTTGCCTGCCGCTCGGCGCATATCGGCGACAAGCCCATCTTCTTATGATGACGGCAGCAGAAACAACAAACCATTTTTCCGCGCAATCCGCAATGGCGCTACTCTTCACGACGGCGGCAGATCATGAACGCCACTCCAAGATGCGGCTTGCCATCACCGCCATCGCGCTCGGCCTAGTTTCCCTCCATGCCAGCGCCAGCTTATTCCGCACTCTGCGCATCAACAAGCTGCGCGCCAAGAGCGTTTCTGTCGGTGGCGGCGGTGATGTCGCGGCTTCGCAACACTACTCTGATCGCGATGGCGTCGCCACCGACGAGACTATGCGCAGCTACAGCACCCGCTGGCAGACTCTGCTGACGGCGCTCTGTGCTGGCGTTGGTGCTTGTGTGTCTCTAGCGCAAGCAGTGCTGGTCACGCTAGAAGCAGGAGATGTCGTGATAGCGTGGTTAACGTGCGCTATTTGGGTGAGTACAACAAATTCTTTTTTCCGAACACCTTGCTGTCGCGCGTATAAATCTTCTCTCTTCTTTAGTACTCCCATTCCCGGGGTACTTTATCTAATAATCGAGGAAGCACGTGGGAAGAGAAGGCACATGGGAACGCACGCCAGGAATCTCTTTCTAGGATGTGATGGCCTGCGATTAGCAGGTGAACCTTGAGTTATGCCGTAACATTTCCCTTAGAAATGTCAAATGCAAGGCTGCGGTCAGATGCAAGCAAGATAATCCTGAATCCCCAGTTGAACGCTGCTGGGCTGTTCTGAACCCTTTCTTTGTTTGAATGCACCACGAGCATCGCGGTGCTGACGATCATCATAGCTTCCTCTCATTTTCCAAAGCATCGATATCTCGATAGAAAAGGAGCCGGTCCGCAAATACAACATTGCCTTGTCCAACTCCCTAACCTACCTGCTCGGCTTCGCCGTGTTCTGCTACGTGGACGACCTCCGCGACACTTCGAGCCCCGTCAAGCTCGGCCTGGTCATCACTCGCGCCTGCGTCGCACTCGCAGGCTTCCTCATCTGCACCCTCTACCCGCGCAGACCAGACGTCACCTACGACGGCCGCCTCGTCGACGGCCAACGCACCGCCTCCGCCTTCAGCCGGTACACCTACACCTGGCTGTCGCCCCTGCTCGCCTTCGCCTCCAAGAAGGGTGTCCTCCACCAGGATGACCTGCCCAAGCTCGACGCCACCACGCGCTCGCGCGACCTGCACGACGACTTCGTGGCACGGATCTCGTCATCATCATCCTCCTCCTCCCCTGCCGTCCCGCTCTGGCGCAAGCTCATCCGCGCGCACTCGCACGGCTTGGCCATGCAGTACGGGCTGACGACGCTCGACTCGGTCCTGATCGTCGCGCCGCAGGCGGCCATGTTCCGGCTGCTGAAGCTGCTGGAGGAGCGGGCCAACGGCGCCGACGTGACGGTCGAGGCCAGCCTGTGGGTGCTCGGTCTGGGCGCGGGCATCGTCGTGCAGAACTTCTTCGAGAACTGGCGCTGGTGGGTCAGCTACGGCTACCTGAACGTGCCGATTCGCGTGCAGCTGAGCGCGTTGATTTTCGCTAAGAGCATGCGGCGGAAGGACGTCAAGGGCGGGCAGAAGAAGGACGAGGGCGATTCTGAGGGAGATGAGGAGGATGAGGAGGAGAAGGATGGCGAGGATGCGATGAAGTTGACCCAGCAGGCGACGGTCAATTTAGTCGGCGTCGATACGAAGCGCGTTGCGGACTATGTGACGTATCAGAACGGGTTTTGGGGCGCGTTCATCAAGATTATAGTGTCCTTTGTGTTCATCTATAAGCTCGTGGGGTAAGTAATAGGGTCCTTGTGGAACTTGGTTGCGTTGGTGCTGATAGAGCTCAGATGGCAAGCACTCGTTGCGGGTATCATCGCGCAGCTTGCAACGATTCCCCTGAACATGTACTTCGCGAAGAGGTACGCGTCTGCTCAAGTAAGTAAATTTCATAAGGAGGGCTTTCTAGTGGATTCACTAATGGTTGGTATTTAGAACGATCTCATGGTCGCTCGCGATCGTAAACTCAACGTCCTCAACGAAGCTCTGATGGGCATCCGGCAAATTAAGTTCTCTGCGCTCGAGAAGCAGTGGCAGAAGAAAATCGCGGACTACCGTGAAGTGGAACTCTCGGCAATCTGGCGCGTTTTCATTGCTGACACTTTCCTGATTTTCTGCTGGATCTTTGGTCCCTACATGCTTTCGGCCGTCACTCTTGCCGTCCACGCGCTGATCAACGACCACTTGTATCCCTCCGTGGCGTTTACAACTATCGGTATTCTGACACAGATCGAGGGAACGATGGCGTTCATCCCGGAACTGATCGCAGTTGGAGTCGACGCCTGGGTGAGTATCAAGCGTATCGACGAGTATCTTAATGCACCCGAGAAGCCGCAGAATACATGGCCTGGCGACCATGTCTCCTTCAAAAATGCCAGCGTTGCTTGGCCGTCGGACTCCGAGAAGAATGAGGAATCTTTCGTTCTGCGTAATTTGAATTTCACCTTTCCGAACCGGCAACTCAGCGTTATCTCTGGCCGTACTGGGTCTGGCAAGACCCTTCTTCTCAAGGCTATCTTGGGCGAGGTAGACGTCATTTCCGGCACCATTGAAGTTCCCCGGGCACCGCCTGCAGATCAGCGCTTCGACCACAAGGCCAACAGGAAGAACTGGATCATCGACTCCGCCATCGCGTTTGTCAGCCAGCAGCCCTGGATCGAGAACTGCAGCTTCCGGGACAATGTGCTCTTCGGTCTACCGTTTGATGCCGTTCGCTACCGCAAAGTCCTCTCCGCCTGTGCTCTGGACAAGGACCTGACGATGCTCACCGACGGCGACTCGACGGAAATCGGCGCCCAGGGCATCAACCTGAGCGGCGGCCAGCGCTGGCGCATCACGCTCGCCCGCGCGCTGTACTCGCGCGCCGGCATCCTGGTCATGGACGACATCTTCAGCGCCGTCGACGCCCACGTCGGCCGCCACATCTTCGAGAACGCGCTGACGGGCGAGCTGGCCGTCGGCCGCACCAGGATCATCGTCACCCACCACGTCTCGCTCACCCTGCCGAAGACCAAGTTCGAGGTTTTCCTCAGCGGCGGCAGGGTCGAGCGCGCTGGCACGGTCGACTCGCTTCGCCGCACGGGCGAGCTGCAGGACATTCTCGAGGAGGAGCGGAATGAGGAGGCTATCGTGGATGGCGAGGCGCATCTCGATCTCCCTAACGGCAATGGTCATGCAGCTCGGCGTCGTAGCTCGGCGTTCCATAGGAGGCCGAGCGCTGCGTCTATGGGTGAGAGTGGTGGCGATGCGCTGGTTAGGTACCTCTCTCGGACGAGCGAGCGGTCGGACTTTATCGACGATGGCGGGCATGTGGAGTACGACAACAAGGAGCCGGCCAAGAAATTCGTTGAAGAGGAGACGAAGATGAAGGGAAAAGTGCTTTGGTCCGTCTACATGCAGTATGTCAAGGCTGGAGGTGGCTACTGGTTCTGGGCTGGCATTGTGTTGGCGTTCTGCGCTATTCAGGCGTTGATCTTGGGAAGAGTGAGTCGGAACTTCCACAATGGTTCTGTTGCACAATTTTGATGCTAACTTTCTGATCCGCAGTCATGGTGGCTTACCATCTGGACCAGCCAGTACAAGACTCAGTCAGAGCCTGCCAAGACGTTTGTCGCCTCTGTCCTGCAGCACCCGATGATCCATAATGTCCGCACGCCATACCACGCCCAGACGCTCACCAGGAGTACGAAATTCTATGTTGGCATCTATGTGCTAATTTCTTGCACCATCTCCCTTTGTGGTGCAGCGCGCTACTTCTGGGTCTATTGCGGTTCGATCCGCGCCAGTCGTAAACTGTTTGACGACTTGACGTACGCTGTACTGCGAGCGCCGCTAAGGTGGCTTGATACAGTGCCGACAGGCCGCGTGCTGAACAGATTTACGGCTGACTTCAGCACTTTGGATCTCGAGCAGGCAAACGCTTTCTCGTTCATGCTGTTCAATCTGCTCATGGTTATAGGTATCGTGATTGCTGGGTAAGTGAGATGCTTCTTATCTTTGAGACAAAGCACTGATGAGTCCTAGTATGATGGTCACTCCAGTCATGATCCTATTCGCGATCATTTTGCTGGCCCTTTGCGTCCGCTACGCACTTTACTACCTCGTCGGGGCACGCGAGACCAAGCGCTTGGAGAGTCTGGCCAAGAGTCCTGTATTCGAGCTCTTTGGTGCCGCTCTCTCTGGCCTCGGTACTATCCGTGCTTTTGGCAAGACGGACGACTACATCAACGCCATGTTCGCCAAGATCGACATGCACGGGCAGACGATGATGTACATGTGGGCATTCAACCGCTGGCTGACCTTCCGGCTGGGCGTGGTCGGGGCCGCCTTCGCCGTGGCCATGGCGGCGCTCATCGTCTCTCTCAACATCGACGCGGCACTGGCGGGCTTCGCCATCGGCTTCACGCTCGAGTACTCGATCGCGGTCGTGTGGATGCTGCGGCAGTACGCCATCGTCGAGCTGTCGATGAACGCCGTCGAGCGCATCCTCGAGTACTCGGAGATCGCCATCGAAGACCAGGAGGGCGCCGACGCGCCCGCCCACTGGCCGGCCGAGGGCCGCCTCGAAGTCGACGACCTGGTCGTGTCGTACGCGTCGGACCTGGAGCCCGTCCTCAAGGGCGTGTCGTTCGCCGTCGCGCCCAACGAGCGCGTCGGCGTCGTCGGCCGCACCGGCGCGGGCAAGAGCAGCCTGACGCTTGCGCTCTTCCGCTTCCTCGAGGCGCGCCGCGGAAGCATCACCATCGACGGCGTCGACATCGCTAACGTCAAGCTCGAGGACCTCCGCTCTCGCCTCGCCATCATCCCTCAGGACCCCGTCCTCTTCTCCGGCACCGTCCGCTCCAACATCGACCCCTTCGCCGAGCACGACGACCGCGAGCTGCGCGAGGCGCTGGAGCGCGTGCACCTCGTGTCCTCCGCGGAGGAATCGTCGTCGGATGATAACGAGGGCGAGGATGGTGTGAACAAGAACCCCTTCTCGTCGCTCTCGACGACCATCTCGGAGGGCGGCTCGAACTTGTCGCAGGGCCAGCGCCAGCTGCTCTGCCTCGCCCGCGCCATCGTCGCCCGCCCGAAGGTCATGATCCTCGACGAGGCGACGTCGGCCGTCGACAAGGCTACCGACGCGCTCATCCAGAGGAGCGTGCGCGAGGAGTTTAGCGATAGCACGCTCATCGTTATCGCCCATCGTCTCAGCACCATCGCTGACTTTGATAGGATCTTGGTGCTTGGCGAGGGTAAGGTTGTCGAGTTTGGAAGCCCGAGGGAGTTGTTGGAGAAGGAGGATGGCGCGTTCCACGGGATGGTGGAGGATAGTGGTGAGAGGGAGGTGCTGAGGGAGATTATTTTGGGGGAGGCCAGGGAATAGTGAAGATGGACGGTAATGTGAGGTGGCTGTAGAAAAGTTATTGAGCGGAGCAGAGAAATTGGTCTGTAAAGTATTTTTTTTTTGTTTCTTGCTTGTGTATCTCGGTGTTCGTGTTAGATGAGAAAAGAATCCCAGGGCATTCATTGATAGAAGCTTCCTCAATGATTTTGCGACCCGAATGAACGGTCGCCGTAGTCGATCATCCCGATCAATCCTGTACACATTGCTGCCAGTTCGGAAAAAAAAAAAGGCGACTTAACACAGTGAGAAAAGGCAAAAAGGAAAGCTTATCTACGCCACTTCGGTCAAGCCTCGTCAATAGCTTCCGGTTCTCATAAGGACCCGAAGGCGATATTGGCCGAGGCGACCTGACGTCCACCTATGTCTTTTCAACTAGGGGGTCATCGCTTGAAAACCTTCTGCCCAGACCGAATTAGGAAGTGATTCCCAATTAGGCAATGCCTGGTGACCATAAGTGACCTCCGCAATACTCTAAGGCACCGATCGATCCGACCACTTATGGATTTTGATGGAAGGAAATTTGCACTTATCATATTTAAACTTCCTATCATGCCTAAAGGCCCTTTTTTTTTCTCCATCACTCGCTATGAAGCCAACGAGAATACGACGAGGAGATGCATAAGTTATTGATTCACTGTTGGTTGGTCCTTTCAACCTAACGAAAGTCGCACACGCAGCGGAGAGCACAAATGAACCTGACGCCGCAATGGAGCGTGGATGTGGAGCCGGAATCATGATGCTCCTTTCCATTCGACTATACGTAGAATTACAAAAACCTAACCCAGATGCGCGCCGTACGCATGCAGCCAGCAGCCATATTTTACACCTTTCCCTGAGCTCTCATCTTGCGCGCTCATCCGATTGTTTATATCACCCTGCACAGCACCATGCCTCCCAGCTTCTGCTCCACACACTCCCTCGCTTCAAAGATTCCCCTGTCCGTAGTGACGAAGAGACATTCTCCAGGCTTCGTCAGGCCCTTCACCTGGCCGGCCTCGTATCCTCTCACGATAGTGCTCAGATCATGCGAGTTGAGCCATATCCGCTTTGTGGGCTTGCTGATAAGCGTCATGCGGCTGAGAACAGGCTCGTTGTTCCAGTACTTCAGGCCCAGCCATAACCTCTGCAACGCCCTGTTCTTTGGGATCTTATCCTCCGTCAACTTCTCTGTTTTCACATTCACGCCCGGTCGAGGGTAGGCCTTCCACGGCTCCTCTGCCAGCACCTCGTCGGTGATTTCGCTCAAGGGCGGCTCCCGGAGCGCGAAGGATGGCGGTGGTACGGGGCCGCCCGGCTGGACGGTGGAGATGAAGCCTTGCTTCTGCAGGCCGAGGGCCAGCGTCAGGTGCAGCTTGGTGAGCGGGATGGAGGTCAGGCCCAGGCGGCCCTTGGACGCGTTTTGCAGATGCGAGCAGACATGGGCGAGTCCGACGAGCGACATGGTCGGCGAATTGTGGCGCGCGGCGCGACGGATTGGTGGTGGTTGTGGTGGTTGGGTTTTCGGGCGCGAATTGAGCAGGGCCCCCGCAGCGGGCAGCGGTGAATGGCAGCTGCGGTGGCAAGGGCGGCAGCGCAGAGCTTGGACGCGCGGTGTCGGTGAGCGGGCGGGCGGCTCGAATTGGCGATGGAACGATGAGGTCTGGATAGCGTTGATGGGCCAAAATTTCGGAGGAGCTCGCGACGGAGCGTCACCGCCTGCGGATCGGCGGCTGCTTGGCGGCGCGTGCGGCTGATTGGCCGAGTAGGCGCCTCGACCCGCGAGACCCTTCCAGCTCCAAGAATAGTGTCGCACAGAGTGCCCGCTTTCCACGAGCTGACTTTCTGGCACCTGAAGTTTGTCTAGGCCTCCCCCTTCTCTGTATATCTTCGCCCTCCGCTTGCTTTCTTTTTCCCACCTTGTTTCAGCGCCGGCCGCTTCGTTCGCAGTGATACCCCGCGCCCAACATGCCGCAGCAACCTGGCGAGCAGTCTCTCTGCACGCTGTGAGTCTCGCAGCTCTGTCTGAGCTCAGCAGCCTGATCTGACCCGCCGTAGCTTCGCAGACATCCACTACTACTTCAGCCACCCGAACGCGAAGCCCGTCCACCACCGCTTCGACAAGAGCTCCTACGTCTACCTCTACTACAACCCGACCGAGCGCCGCGGCCGCATTGAGATTGCCAATTATGCCGGCACTCCCGACCAGGACGCCTTCATGGGCTGTGAGTGCCCAGGTGTCAGCCCAGCCTGATCCCTGGCTAATTCGTGCTGCCGTCAGATCTCGACACCGTCCAGGTCAATCGCACCCATAAGCAGCCTAATCTCTTCACCATCACCGTCGATCCCTCCAATGCGGGGAGCACGCCCAGCTCACCTCAGCAAGACTACTCGCAGTGGCACCTTCCCGCCCCCGATCAGCGCAACGAAGGCAAATACATGTTTAAGCTGCACACCGTCGACATATATCTGTGGACCGAGAACGACGCGAACACACTCGTGAGCTTGCTGCAACAGGTTTTGCAACCCCATCAGTTGAGGATACTGGACGCTCCCACCCACAAGAGTCGGCACTCCGAACACTCCGAAACCATGAGCCCGGTCGTCAAGAAGCTCGAGCAGATGGCCGTCTCCAACCCCCACCAATACCGCAGCACCAGCGTGAGCACCACTCAGTCTTTCCCTGGGCCTCCAACAATGCCCGCATCGTCGTTGGGGGAATCTCCGCAGGAGCCTGCATCATACGCTCCGATGGCATACAACCCGGCAGCTCCCGCCGCGCCTGAGCCTATTTCTCACCGCGAGAAGACTCCGCCGCCTCCGGACGGGGAGATGGGAACGGGCCTTGCCGCTGCTGCCGCACACGAGGACGGTGCGGCGGCGTACGGCATGCAGCAGCACCAGCACCACGGCTCGTACCAGCAACACCAACCCTACATGCCCGGACCCCCGTCCGCAACCCACGGCTCCTTCCCGCCGCCTCCCGCCTTGGGCCCGACGCCCACGCAGATCCAACGCGCCTCCACCACGACGGGCTCGTTCCCGCCGCCTCCGCCGCCGCAGAACGGCGGCACCCCGCCGTACTCGCAGTCCTTCGCCCCGCCGCCCAGCGCCGCGCCTTACGGCCAGACGCCCACCCCGACCCACCCGGGCATGCAGCGCCAGGCCACCCTGCCCGCCGGCTACCCCGGCTATAACCCGCAGGCACAAACTCAACCGCAGTACGCCAACTACCCGCAGTCCCCCGGCTACGCCCCCGTCCAGTCCCCAGGCATCTCGACGCCGCTCCAGTCGCCAGGGTACGCTGCGGCTGCGCCCTCGCCCGGCATGCCGCCCCCCGGCGGCTACGCGCAGTACTCGTACGGCCAGCCGACGGCGCAGCCGCAGAGCCAGGCCGAGTCGTACGCCGTGCACGGCCAGCTGTACCGGCCCACGGAGCAGGAGGCTAGCATACGCGGCCACGATAGGCCTGGGCAGCCGGGGCCGGGCGCTGCGCCGCCGGGGAAGTTTGAGCAGAGGGTGGATCGGGTGGAGAAGGGGGTGAGTAAGTTTTTGAAGAGGTTGGATAAGAAGTTGTGATGTGACAGTGGAGTGAGAGATTGGTATAGATGAGAGTGGATGAAGGAAGGATTTTGCGGGCTTCTTGTGTTTTCTTGTTACTTGCTTTCGAGTTCGGTTTTTTGTGCGTTGCGTTCAGCTGCCGAATAATACCCCCGATTGCCTGTTATTTTGTGTGAATTTTTGTCTTTTGCGCGCTTTTGTATAGGATGTTGGGTAGGAGTAGGAGATAAATGTAAAATCGTTGGATGGTTTCCGTACTTGTCAATGCTGGGAAATGATTGGCTCATTTGTTGGAAAGCCTTGTAAAGACGATTGGTTGGACTGGAAGTGGGTGTGCTTTTTTGCCGCCGTTATTTGCAGGATGCATGTAAGCAGTGCCAAGATCCAGTTGCCTTCCAACCTTCAGCCTCGTCTCCTCTGCTTCTACAAACATCCCTCATGTGGTCGGATCTTGTGAGTCACAGATATACCGGCTGCGGTATCATTAAACTAACCATCATTATTGCAGTGTTCAGTGCCATAGTCTATAGCCAGTCCCAACGCCCCGGACGAAGCTCAGCCTTCCCCGTACCTGAATTATCAACCATCGAACCGAGATGAACATGTATCGTATATTTGCTGAAGATGGTATCTGAAGCAGAAACAACCTTTCGCTTGAGGGGCATACCTAGAAGCTTTTCGAAAAGTAAAGTCAAAGACCTTGTCAGGACGCAGCTATCCCTTGAGGATGCTATCCGGGTAACGGTTCGCTCTCTTGCATGCAACCCAGTGCGAAAGCATGAGACGGTGGCGACCTTGAACTTTACGAGTCTGCCCGCCTTACTGTCTGGCAAACGGGAGCACTTTTTGGACTTTGAGCTGGATGACAAGGATGGCCGACTCGAGTTCGATACGCATTTTGAGGGGTTCACTCCGCTTCATTCTGCACAGGACAAGGACTGTGAATTCGAGTATGTATAATTGGCGGCTGGCCATTGCGTTACTTCGCTCACCGATGACAGTATTGTCGCTATCAGCGGACTGAACGGACACGCATTCGGCTCCTTCAAGCAGAAAGAACATGTCCATATGTGGCTTCGAGACGATCTCCCGAGGGATTTTCCGAGAGCAAGGATCTTCACATATGGCTACGAGACACGAGGTGCATCAATTCAGAATGTCTATGACGTCGCAAATGCATTCCGATCTCGTCTGAACGCCATCAGAAGACATTCAACAGTAAGTAGTCAATCATTATGATAATTAGCCCAACCTGACATCACCATAGACACGTCCCCCAAGGGCTTTGGTAATTGTGGCACATAGCTTGGGAGGAATTGTTGTAAAAGCGGTGAGTAATTTACTGGGGTTTTTGTTTTTTTATATGCTAATAGTTGCAGGCGGTCAACGCCATGAGAGAAAGCTACGAGCCGCGTGATCGAACGAATCTCCAATATTTGCGTAGCATCTTCCTTTTTGGGGTTCCGAATCACGGTATGAACATTGAATCGCTAGTGCCAATGATCCACGAGAGTGCAAGAAGAACACTTCTCTACCCTCTCGATGCCAACAACTCCCCGACATTGCGTGAGATTGGGAAAAGGTTCCTCAAAGTCACTCGCAGAATCCCCGACTTCGAATCTTTTTACTTTTACGAGACGATGGAATCACCCACTGCAATAATTGTACGTTAAGTCCTTTCCAGGAGTAGGATAATTCACTAATGAAACCTTCGGTAGGTTGAGGGGCAGTGGCAAATGAGTGGACCACCGGCAGTATTGGTTTCGGTTTCTTCAGCAACTCATGGAACGCCTCATGATGACCTCGGTCACCGAGTTATCCCAGTCAATCGCACACACAGGGACCTTGTGAAATTCACTGGAGCCCATGACGATGTATATCAGACTGTCTTGGATAGACTGAAAGCGACATTGGAGGACGCTCAAGAATGTCTACAAAGTCACTGTAAGTTATCCGCGTCTCAAATTGCCTGACTAAATGCAAATAATTGTTTTCCAGGTCGTCGATTGAGTAAAGTAGAACGAAGTAAGATCCATGTCAACTATTAGGCTGAAAGCTTCAAGCATAATTGACACTATCCAGGCTGTCTCCAGTCGCTCGCATTTTCGGAGGAGGGCTGGAGAGAAGATGATATCATCAATGCAGAAGGGACCTGCTCATGGGTTCTAGATCATCCTAACTTCACGTCGTGGCTTGAAGACCCCCAGGGATTTCTTTGGGTCTTAGGAAACCCAGGTTCCGGGAAATCAACCCTCATGAAATACGTCGTGCAGCATCGAAGAGAGAATCAGACCATCGGCCTCAATGAAGTTGTTGCAGCATTCTTCGTACACGGACGAGGCCACGAGTTACAGAAATCTCCGCTGGGGCTGTATAGATCGCTTTTGCGTCAAATACTGCCCTATTTTCCAACTCATCTCGCGGATCTCACTACCAAGTATTTGGGAAAATCAAGATTGAACGAGGGAAGTGATGAACAAAGTATTTGGAGAATGCAAGAGCTTCGGCAGTTCTTTCTCAAGATTCTTCCCCAATTGTGTCATCGACGATCGGTGGTCATATTTGTAGACGCTCTTGACGAGATTGGTGAAGAAGATGCGGTGAAAATCATCAGAGACTTCGAGAAACTTACTACAACCCTGAATGATCCCATGGCAACACTCAAGATATGCTTCTCCTGTCGTTACTACCCCGTGCTTCGGACCACGACGAAGCTCTCAGTATCAGTCGAGAGAGAGAATGCTCAAGACATCTCCACGTTTGTCGAAAGCTATTGGGAACTTAAGGATTTATCAGAACCGGGAAGGAGCCAGTTGCAGAAGATTATAATCGGTAAAGCTCGAGGTATCTTCCAGTGGGTCACTATCATCCTAGGCCAGGTAACACGGCTGCGAAGGAGTGGCAAAACCACTCAACAGATGATTTCAATCATAAGCCAGGTACCAGAACGACTAGAGGGTTTGTACAGGTCCCTTCTGAATGATGGTAATCCGGACGACAGACCTCAAACTATCAAACTCTTCCAATGGATACTTTTCTCGAATCGACTCTTGACGATTTGGGAGCTTCGAGAAGCTCTCGCTCTTGACGCGTCAATGAATTTCAACACAATCGCCGAAATGCGAAGCAGCCCTCTCTACATTGAGCGCGAAGAAGACATGCCGCTAGTCATCAGCGGTCTTTCCAAAGGGCTGATGCAAGTCATTCTACGGGAAGAGGCGAATGATGTCGACGGGACCAGGCTAGGGCATGTCGAATTTATACACCAATCTGCTCTAGATTATCTCAACAACGGAGGGTTGGATGAACTGGAAATGACCAACAAGTGGACTTCCGCGGATCGGGGCAATTTCCAGATTTCACGGTCCTGCATCAAATATCTTCGAATGGACGAAATTGAATCCTACCATTTCAGATTTGGTCGCTACCGGGATCCAGAAGGTGCATGGTCTGACTCCGGAGGAGACATCAGAGGATCTTTCGATAAATTTCCTCTGCTCGAATATGCCTACGAATTTTGGCTACTTCACGTCACCAAGATCAACAATAATGGCATTGAACAGCTTGATCTTCTAGATCTCTTCCCTTGGCAACACGAAACTGACACTTTGCCAGAGCTCTTCGTCTTGACGCACCAGTCCTTTATGCGCTTTCGCGATATTTCAGAGCCACAACATTGGAGGAGAACAGTTCATGTCATGCAAGAAAACATGAGGCATAGCCCCAATTCCAATCCCTACTGTATGAAACACCTTTGGAGCGATTCTAGAACTCGAAATGAAGCGCCGATGGGACGATCACGCGGGAAGATCAGCCTCATCATCCCCGCATGCGAAATGCTATTTCAAGTCTTGGCTTTTGCTGGAATTGACAGCGCCCTGAAGGAGATGTTCAGGCGTCAGCCGTCAACAATTCAGTGGGCAGAATATAAGCCATGGAGTAGCAGTAACTCATTCTTACGGTCAGCGCCGGAAATTTAAACCATATGTATGTACAATGTTTCTAAATATGCAGCAACTACTTCCTCTCTTGATCCGCACGGAAAAAAAATAAAGAAAAAAAGAAAAACAGCTATGCTAAGCCCATCTTGCCATTTGTCCAAAATTATAAGAGCTTGATGAGATTCCTTCGTCCTCTTATAGAATTTCTACGTCATCACCTTGACCACCCGATGCTGGCGAGTGGATTTTGTCTTTCGTATTGCCTTCATTGTTGTCGGACAAGCATTGCCCATGTGTCTCAGGAATTTCAGGTTGAGACCTGGTCGCCAAGGCTTCCTTTTCCTTTGTGGTTGAAAACCAACGACTGCGCGGTTTTCCTCTGCAAATTTTCTTGTCTGCAATCCGAAGCTCGTCGTATTTGTTCCTCTGGCCTTCCCACCATTCGATTTCGCCGTTCCATTCCCTCGGGCGTCCTGGGAAGTATATCTCGCGTAGAGACTGCACGATGGAGGTTTTGGCATCAATGGATAGAGGATCGGCCTCAAGCGTAACTTGAAGATCCATGAGAGAATCCATGACTTTGTTTCCGAGGATCTCGTCCCGAAGGATCAGAGGGATAGGTTGGTCTTGGGGGTGCAGACTCTTCCCGGCAACGAGAGCATTCTGGGCCGTTCCGATAAGGCAGACAATAAGCAGATACCAGGACCTGGTCTGGAGGCCAGCTGCAAGGATCAGCAGTACTAGCCAGCCCGCTGTGAACGTAACGTAAACGAAGCAGGTCAGCAGAAAATCCCAGGGCATCCCGTGAAGTGTCCAAACGTTGGTGTTTTTGCCGGGGCCTTTGTCAGTGAAGAAGCCGACGTGCCGCCAGGGCTTCGCTTGGCAGGGGCCGTCGAACGTGGAGAGAGCCTCAAGATCGAAGCGCGAGCCAATGTTCCGCAGGAGGATGACATCTTTGTGGCCATTTCCGGCCGTAATGGCTATCGTCTTCTTTTTCTCGGACCTCGCCTCCTCGGGAAGTTTCTCGGCTTTCCACTGGGGAAGTGCGCCCGTGACGAGAGCCATGGCGGTGCCGAAGATGGTCAAGAGCAGGACGTCCGGGTGCCCGTATAGCAGGCATGGTATGGAAGCAACGGCAAACTGAAGCAATGTGCTGAGTCTGTGGGTGCCTTTCATGAAATGGGTCTGGGGTGGCAGCGGTGACGGCTCGTAAATGGCGACCCTGAGTGCGCGGCCAAGGTCGGGTCTACTTTTCGCTTTCTTCGCCATGTATATCTCGTTGTCCCGGAGCAAGCGACTGATGACCCAGTTTCGGTTCTCTCTTGCGTAGCCGCTTTCCAGGTTGATGACTTTGCAGGAATGATCCGGCAGGGGCATGAGGCGGCCTTCTCCTACAAGACGCACTATCGTCTTAAAGGAATATGCCACCCATCCAAAACTGAAGGATACCGGAGCCGGGCCATTTCCGGTTGCCTGGGCAAGAGCTTTCTGGACGATATCTCCGCCGAGGACAAGTAGTAGTGGCAGAACATAGCACGGATTGCGAAGTTGGGAAGATAAGAAGGAGTATACTTGACCTTTGTTCTGGGCATTCAAGAAAGGGGGTGATTGATCCGCCGTGCTGTAGTCATGTGGGGGCGTAGCCATCTTTGTCTCGTGACCACTTTCTTGAAGATTGCAAGGAAAGGAGTGCGATCGATTGAAAAGTGGCTTTGTATTTTCGAAGTAATTAAAGAGCCTCTAATTGTGAAGAAGTTGTGCTGGCGATTTGTATCAATAGCAAATTCAGCCCAGCAGCAGCTCGTTTTTATCCAGTTTGCTCACTGGGCAAGCCACAGGCCGCAGTGATGATCACCGTGCCTTAGTGCCTTGAGTACGCCTTGTCGCCTTCGAGAGGTCTGAGGCAAATAAGATATAAGCGTGGCATGGTAGCGCTAACAGGATTTTCTGCAGCCCTGGCGCATCTGCCCCACTCGACTCCGCCTCGTTGCAGCGGGGCGCAGCCCTGTTCACATCATACCGATTACGGCGACATGCATAGCGTGGTACCACTGCTTATTCATTCGCCCGCAAGGGCCAACCGGTAGGAAGATAATGCTTTGCACGAGCAACACCAGGAGCGATGGTAAGAATAATGAAATAATGGCTTTTATCAGAGTTTATTTTCCAGTGACTTTCTTTCACTGCATCACGGCTCTGAATCTGCTTTCCTTCGTCTCTTGTCCCTAAAATTGAAAAGAGCTATCCGGTCCCTAACAGATACTTCACACACACACACATATATATATAAATTTTCCGTTAGTACCATCGAAACTGAGGCTAATTTGGACCACGGGCCGCCTTGTGGGGAAAGAAAGGGGTTGGTTGGAGCGGCGGGTTCCGTCCGTCGGTTCGTCCCCCTTCGGCTCCATAGTTGGTCGCAGCAAAAAATTAAACAGTCAGAGGAAGAAATAGCTCTGAACAAAAAGAAAGCCGAGCCGATCAGGAATTGAACCTGAATCTAATGCCAACGAGTGTCTACTAGCTTACAATGAATGTTTGGCTAAGTGATCATAGAAGCATTAATGCTAGCCATTACACCATCGGCTCTTATTGATGTATAGTGAAGTGACAGTTTATCATTATATTACCCAGCATCAGAAATACAAGGCCTACACTACCTGGCTTTGCGGCCCAGAGCAAATTACACAAGGTGCACTGGTGAAGTTCTCTTTTTGTTTGTATCGCAATCATGAAAGCCAATCAATGCGCATCCCTTTCCTACAAGATTTACCACATCGGAGATACTAATACCTTATTTCTCTCCATTTGTTCAGCGTACCCTGCATTTCGACTTCTGCAACCTTTTGACTTCTTAAGCACTTCTTTCGGTCGGAAATTGCAGGTTCATTCTGATTGAGCACTCAGAAGCAAGCCTTTTCACAAAAACAGTTCAGTCATATCACTTCTCACAATCGCGCTAGTCGAGCTGGTATAATACTATTGCAGTAAAGATTTTAGATAGAGCTAAGCTAAACAACCAAGCTAAATGATCCACGTCCGCCTACTCTACTCGTAGTCTTGCGGGCGCAACGGAAAAGCGCAGTTCATCAACCAAGCCATCATATGATCCGTCGGATTGGCCAACCAGTCATTATCCTCCTGGTCCCTCCGAAACTGCCAAGTGTTTCTCCGGGCATGCCCGTATCCGCCGTGGATAACATTTTGCGTCGACCTCGCAATGTCCAAAGCCATTCCGTCCGGCATGTACTTCGCCATGGACATCTCGACGTAGAGATCGCGATGCGTGTGGCCGCGCGGGGGGTACAGAAGGAACTCGCGCCTCTGACTGAAACCCAGGCTAATGCTGTAGGTCCAAGGATCGGGGAAAATCCACTTCTGCTTCATGCTCTTGCTCTCGAAGATGATGTCGCCGATGTAAGTGTCGATGTGGTCGAACGAGAAGTTCGCGGTTTCGTGATCCATGCTGAACCCAGCATCGTCCCTCCGCGCCTGCCTCAGCACCACCTCGACCGCCTTCGCATCCAGCTCGACACTGTTCGCGCTAGCGGCTGCCGCCTTCGCGTACATCCCCCGCATCGCCACACGCACATTCTCCAATGCGTAGTACGCGAGGCTGGCCCGCCACACGCCGCATCGCCGCATCTGTGCGACGACGTTATCCGACACCCCCGCCCACGCCCACGGCGAGACCGTGGCGTTAATTTTATCATCAGCCGGCTTGGCCATGCGCTTCCACACCGGGTGCACGCACTCGAAGTAGGCCCCCAGCTCCTCGAACAGCAGCGCGCAGATGTCCTGCCGCAGCGCCTGCGGCAGTGCGCAGAAACGCGTCACCGCCGCCTGCCGCCTGGTGGTCATGCCGGGCGGCGGCGGTATCATGCCCCGCCGGCGTCGCTCGTCGCCCGTCGGCAGCGCGCTGTCGTTGCCGCCGAGGCCAAAGACGCGCCAGAGGTGTTGGACTGCGACGCGCAGGCGGGTGCTCATGTCGGGAGGGAGGGAGAGGGTGGTGGTGAAGTGCGCGACGACGGCGTCGGTGCAGGCGCGCATGGATTCGAAGTAGAGGATGCGCTGGTGCGCCGTCATGTTGTTGGCAGCTGCGGTGCCGAAGATGGCGGCGAGCGGGTAGAGCTTGGCCTCCGCGGCGTATTCGGCGAGCAGGTGGCGGATGAGGTAGGCCTCGTGGGCGGCCCAGAAGGGCTGGAACGGCGGGCAGGTGGAGAGGCGGTGGAGCTCTTGGATGGGGAGGTGGAGGGCGATGTCGCATGCCAGCTCGGGCGGGAGGTTGGACAGGATGGCTAGGCCTTGGTGCTTCTTCTCCGCCTTCATGGCCTTGCGGACGAGGGCGGCGGAGGTGTTTCTGAGGTTGAGGTGGCGCTTGAAACGGGTGTACGTGGCGTGCTCGTTGCAGTGGCCGGCGCGGCAGTCGAGGCAGATGCAGAAGTCGGACAGGTCGATCTCGTCCTGCGAGACGGCCCGTGGGAAATTCTTGACTACCTTCAGCATCTTGCCGTTGGGATCGAAAGACATGTTGTCGTTTTGGTCGTCAGTCGAAGTGTGGGGTGAAGAGGGAATCGTGAGTGAAGACGTTTGGAGTATGTTGTTACTGGTAGGTCCTTTTTCAAAGCCCGCCGTGCTCTACTTCGGTAAACCGGCCCGGCACCGAGTCCACGATATACTGTAGCCGCTAACTAAACAATTGAATTGTCCTCGGCTGTTCTCTATACTATTGTTCTTTATTCGCTGAACAGTCACGGGTATTTACTACGCTTCTTTGTTCCCTATCCACTGCCCATCACTTAACAATGTCACAATAGCTTCAACCACCTCGACCTCACTGGCGAAGACCGGAATGTATCCCAATCACCGTGGAAACTTGGGGATACTCGGGGGCGCTTCGGATAAATATTTCAGCTCCTATTGGCCCTAAAAAACGGAAGTCATGTGACTGTGTACGAACAAGGAAGGTTCCACCTACACAGTACCTTCGCCTTCTTCACGGGCCGCTACTCTTGTAGCCGCTCTTGTAGCCACTCTCGCAACCGTCCCTATAGTCGTTTTCGCGGATGCTCTCGCGGTCGGATGTTAGTCATTATTACTACCACACCTTTGAGAAGACTACCCAGCTCCCGCTTTGCAACACTTCGCTGTTGTTCAGTGCATAGATACCCCGTGACTCAATCTACTTGACGATCGCATTTATATTCATTTCGACATAGACAGGAAGATGGTCATCTACAAAAGGTAAATAACCGCGCATCAAGGCTGTATGTACAAGAATTGTAAAAGAGAACAAAAAAAAAAAAAGCATCCACCGAATATCGTCTGCGGATCCAGAGCCCATGAAACCATTCATGCATCTGTAGTCTACTCCACCACAAGCTCCCTCGGCCTCAACGACATAAAGCTCAATCCCGACATCCACCATACAGCGCAGCATCCAAGATAGGCGACGGCCAGAACGCGCCCATAACCCTGCAATTACACACACCGCCATTGTCCCTCGGCGTCAAATTGTAGACGTACGACTGCCCGATCGTAACATGCACACTCCCCTGCCACTGCCCAACATTCGTAGCCTTATCCCTAACATCAGCCGCAGACAGATTATCGTTATAATACGCGCACGTCGTCCCCTTCGCCTCCCCATCCGCATACGTAATGTACGCGTTAAACGCATTACACGCCGTATACCGGCCCCTGTCGTCCCGCAGCTGCGCCTTATTCCACGCCGTGTTGGCCTGGCACCCCCTCGCGCAGTACGCCGGATCGAACGGCCCCGCGTAGAACTCGTACAGGTAGTACTTGCTCAAATCCTCGATAGCTCCAGGCAGCAGCGCCGAGGGTCCGGAGAAGTTCGGCTGCGGCGCGGGCGCCTGCGGGAGCTTGTTGTAGCCGTTCGACCCGGCGATGACGACGTGGAAGCCGCCTTGGTACTGGCCGTCGTTGGTGGCGGAGGCGGCGGAGACGGGGAGGCCGTAGAGCGTGCATTTGATGTTGGCGGTTGAGGGTGGGTTGCTGCAGAGGCTCCCCGAGCTGTTCGGGTCGTCGGGCCGGACGATGGGGTCGCGCTCGATGTAGATGTTGAAGGCCTGGCACCACGGGTCGGCGTTGCAGTAGGCGGCGCAGGCGGAGGGGTCGTAGTTGTTCAGATTGTAGACGCCGCGGTAGCCGGTTTGCTGGGTGGCCGCGTTCTTGTTGGAGAAGGCGAGGGTGTACTGCGCGGGGACTCTGTTTGCTGCGCTCGAGGCGGCGCTGCTGTAGGCGTTGTTGCTTAGGAACTCGGAGTCCGTCTCGGAGCTGGTGCCGAAGGCGGTGCCGGTGGGCAGCGGGCAGCAGTCCCAGCCGTTGCCGCCAGGGCACTTCTTGGATGATGCGTCGGGGTCGTAGGTTGTGGCGGCGCGCTTGGCCTTGGCTGCGGGAGTGGCAGCGGCAGGCAGGAGCTCCGAGGCTAGGCTGGCCAGCTGGTCTGGGAGGGCTCCGGAGGGGAGTGCTGCAATGGCGGACTGTAGTACGGCAACTGATGCCGGATCCGTTGGAACTGCTGCGGAGATCTGGGAGTAGAGGGAAGGCGGGATACTGTTGGGCAGATTGGTGATGAGGGAGACCAAGCTGGGATCGATTACAGCAGCAGCAGCTGAGACCGCCACTGCAGATTCAGTGGGCTCTGGAGCATCAGTGGCGCCAGTAACAACAGCAGTGACGGTTGCGGCGTTGATGGGTTCAGCAGTTGACGAATAGACCAGGGGATCCGGTCCGAGGACGCTGGGAGTAGGAATATCTGCAACCGTGACGGGAACATCGTCAGGTACAGGTGCTGGGACGGCAACAGCACCCACTAGGGCGGCGGCGCCGAGGATGTAGGAAGATTGATGAAAATGCATTTGGAGAAGATGAAGTGATTGTGCTGATGAGAGGCACTTAGAATCCGAGGACGGCCTGTTTATATACTTTGTCCGCCATGGGCGCTGAGCTGTAGCAGATGTCCATACGTAACTCCATTTGTCCAAGATAGGAAATGGTTGTTCCCAGTGATCCTACGGAATTGTCCACATTACCCAACAGGGAAAGCGATAGAGGCGTAAGCCACCGTCGTTCACCACACGGCATCTCCGCCAATGCACGGGAGCGCCCTGTCAGCTCACTGTATCTTTCCGGGTACGCCGGTAAATGCAATGGGGTGTTTCTGGTTCCTGAGGCATTTGATTTGATAGCTACGCATAGTTCAGGCCAGTAGATGCAATACTAACATTCCAGTTTTTAGCTGGTGCAAAGCTGGATACAACAGCTGGAGACCAAGTTGTGAAGCTGATGCCGTGTGGTTGAGTTATTCTGCAAGCCGCGCTCATACTAACCTCCGTATTTGGCTAGCGATGCGAACCGGCCCCGGTCTTTGACCGTCCAGATTTGGAGATAGTCTTCATGCGCGGTTCCAAACTTAGCCCTCAGCTAAGCCACACCAAGCTAGCAAAGCAGCCTCAACGCCTTGCAGCTCCATAGAAAGCACTACATCTGCAACCCCGCACGCTGGGGAGTTGTGTCCCATCGTCAGGCCATTGTTCACCGGAAAGTTCCATACGAGTCACCAGAATGACAGAAGTCATTACTCAATATCTTCTTCTCATCACACGTTTAACAGAGGCATCAACATTGACATTTGAAACATCTTGCATGTGCCAGGGAATTACTGAGCCAGGATTTTATCAATCGAGACAACATGCTTCATTCTTGTAAGATTTGTTCGGCTAAGAACAAGCACTCATGCTGACTTATTTCTTCATTGAGTGCTTGACCAAACAGCACGGACTTTGGGTGTATCAATTCATGAGGGTATGGAAAACGCCTGTGCGGAATATCCGAGTAGACTCTGACCAAGGCAGTCAAATTCTTATCGCTATTTCCCGCGTCATATGTGTTTGCACAGGGGTTGAGCTACACAAAAAGCTCCGAACAGAAGAACCTTGCTTCCATTTTGTATGTACATATCATACTCTCCATTCCAGGCCCATCGCTTACTGTCGTAAAGTCTTTCTCTGCTCTACATCATCGGACTGGTTGGGCTCTGGGATGGTCTGCAGCCACTTCTCATCAGCTGCGTGGGCGCTTATACAATCGCCAAGTATTTACCAGGTCCAGCTATGCCTTGGATTGGATTCATATTTCTGATGGGTCATTTGTCTTTCTGCAATATCTTCCCCGCTTCCGGAGTCCATGGTATGAGTATGACCGGCGCTCAGATGGTTCTGGTGACAAAGCTTACAGCTTTCTGCTGGAACATCCATGATGGGCGGCAACCAAAGAAAAATCTTTCTCAGAAACAAAGGGACCGCGCAATCGAAACACTTCCACCCGTTCTAGATTACGCCGGTCATGTCCTGTTCTTCCCAACACTGTTTCTTGGGCCAGCATGCGACTTTGCAGAATACCGAGAATGGCTTACACGAGGCCAACTCAAATACTCCGGCCAGGGTATTTACGCGGCAAAAAGAGCAGCCTGTGGTGCTATATGGACATTGGCTTTCTACGAAATTTCAGAGCTGTATTCCCCCTGGATTCTCCTCAGCTATGAGGCAATGCAACGCCCACTCCTGCGGCGTATTTGGCACATGTACATTCTCGGACTATCCATGAGAATGCGCTACTACGGTCTTTGGTCCTTTACCGAAGGCGCTTGCGTACTTTCTGGTCTCGGATACAACGGCGTGGACATGGTAACAGGTCGTGTCAAGTGGGATCGCATGAAGAATGCACGCCCATTTGAATTGGAATTTGCGCAAGCCGCAGATTCCTACGTGCGGAACTGGAATGTCCGCACGTACACCTGGCTCCGTGATTATGTGTACGTCCGTTGCCTTGGTCTGGGCTCCGGGTTCCTCCCCAGAATGATCAGCTTCATCGTTTCGGCCATGTGGCATGGGTTCAATCCTGCTCATTACTTGAGCTTTGCGGCAGCTGCAATTATCCAGACCATTGCGAAGGGTAAAAACTTCCTGAATCATGGATGAAAATCTCAATACTAACATGGCGAATAGGAGCTCGGCGCCAGATACGCCCAGTATTCCTTGATCGACAAGGTGATCCTGCACGAACAAAGAAGTACTATGATGTTCTTACCTGGCTCCTCACCCAGCTTACTGTGGCGTTTATTTTTGTGCCGTTCATCTTTCCGGACTTTGGAACATCTGTTGTTGTTTGGAAGCGCACAATGGGCATACCTTGAATAGATGAATGAGGGCGTCAAACACAGGACAGCTTGTAAAAATTGAACAGTGTCGCCTCCGTTCAGTCTGCCAAACTGCAGCAGACACGTCTTCGCCACAAAGATCCTCATAGCACACCTCAGCTTAAGAGTCCAGACCAGTGTGTGGCCGATCAGGAGTGCGGCTGATGCCTCAAATGCCGGTAGCTGAAGCAGATCATCCCCACGTGTGCAGCCCCCGAGTTTATGCTCCACTTTCCCCGTCATCGTTCGCGCCTGGACTCGTGTTGTCATGCAGCCACTCCATTGGCTTTCGTGTTCCTTGCGGCTACACCCTTTCTGGTGCTCGCATCTCTGCCGTGTTGCTGGATTTGGTTTAGCCCCAACTCCACGGTTCATCCTTCCCGCTACTTGCCAAGTTTTCGCCCGCAACCACCAGCCTGGACCATCAGGGGATTTCCTCGGAGCGGACTTGTGGGTGAGATAAGGGCCGGATCTCGGCGGATGGCGTTTCTACCGCTTCGTCGCCCGCTGTACCTGATCTGCACTCTCGATGTACCTCTCTGTATATGTGGATTAATGCCTATTACTACGGTTGTTCCCTTATCAGCCTCACATTTCTCCTCGAAGTTTGCATTATCAGTCTCCATTGAATTTATGGTTATCTTCTACCGCCGATAGCAGCCCGTGTATCAAGTGTGGACGATTGTCGATTTGATCGACATTGATCAGCCTTCTACATTCCTCGCTTCCAAGGAGTGGCGCCATTTAGACGTAGGATTTGCTGCCGGGTCATGATCGACTACACTAAGCTCTCCTGCTCGACCCGGTTCTCTTCCTCACTATGCGTTTGTTGGCCCCAGCTTTCCTCACCGTGTAGCATTTTGTTGAGTTAAGCTCTATCTAATAGGCTACTTATCAACCACGCCTAAAAAAAAGGGTTCGCGGGTTGACAGCCGAGAGTAAGTAGTAAAGAGACGTATCATATTCAAGGCGAGCAGAAAGCGCAGGGTGCATGATCAGTATCAGCAACCGGCAAAGGAACCAGGACGTAGCAGACGAAGCATGAGAAGGAAAACGAGAAAGATGAGCTCCTAACAGTTGTAATCGCTGGTAAACATCCTCAACTCTGCCTCAAAAGCACGGGAATAGAACGGACAAAAGACAACAAACTCAGAAAGCAAAAACAAAGAAACATCAATCGGGCAGAGACAGGTACCAGGGTACTACAGATGCCCAAACACTCCAGATCTCTCTTATGAAAGGTTGTTTTGACGGTGAGGAAGCAAAGGTACAGCCTCACTCTTAAGCTATAGCGCAACAATGCAATGCCCATATGGGGTACAAAATCCGGGGTTTCAGACCGCTAAGGCCATGAAAGTCGGCAAGACTAACCCGCTCTGGCACCCTACTGACTTTGACAGGACAACGGGGTGGGACGATTTGTAGGACAGCCGAGAATCCAGGGACGCCCAAAAGCCGGACGCTATATTAGTGTGACCGTTAGACTATCCGTTCCGCACCCCCGCTCAAGATGATAGGCAGCCTGATAACACGGCAGCCCAAACATGACTCGATGACAGCGAGGAGAGCACGGGTGACTATTAGACCAATGAGACCACGACATACCGCCGAAGCCGTCCTAAAGTTATGTAACCCTTACTACAAAGGGGCATCGCGACCGGAGTTTCGGAGACACTTTTTCAGTTCAGCCGTGAGCCCCCGGCTTTGCTCAAGTACCGAATCGATGAGGCAACGGATGCACGGTCGCAGCGGCACTTGGAAAGTCGAAAGACGCCGAAACACGCCAAGGGGGGAGACGTCCCCTTTGGTAGTGTGCGTGCGTGGAGAATGACTCGGGAGGCGAATGGTGCAGACGCGTTCTCCGTATACAACTGTGAGTGTGGCTCCTGGCGTGCCTCACAAGTCTCGTCCGCCAATTTTTGATCATGTCCGCCTCGGTGAATCCGGACGACTACGAGCTCAACGATGAGCAGAAACATATACGCGAGTCGATGATCGCAATGTTCTGCGTGTCGGTCGTCTTCGTCGCGCTCAGGTGTTTCGTGCGGATTCGACTGCAGTCGCAGTTCAGTACCGACGATGGGCTGCTTCTGGTCGGCCTGGTAAGCAGCTCCAGCTCCCGGGGTCACTGTTGTTTCACTTGATGCTGATTTCGGACAGGCCGGGTACCTCGTTATGACTGTTATGATCGTACTCAGTATTACCGAGGGTGGGTTTGGGAGGAAGACGGCAGAGCTAGCGATTCAAACTTTCTACACGGGCGCTAAGGTTAGTACAGCCTCAGTCTTGGTCGGGGACCATGCTAAAGTCTAGATAGTACCTGGTCATGGCGCAGATAACTTACACGCTGGCCATGATGATTACGAAGCTGTCTATTGCGCTATTACAGTTGCGCATCATTGGCCAAGCCAGTGTGGCCATGAGACGAATCACCTTCGCATCTATTGCGGTGAACGTCATCATCGGCATGTACGAGTTTTTTGCACTGCTGTTCCAGTGCACACCTGTACGTCACGCTTCCACTACCAGTATTCTCCAACTGACATTCTGCGAAGCCCAAGAAGTACTGGACGCCGACCATGACGACGGGTCGCTGCGCAGATAGAAACGGCGTGGCGATAGGCGTCTATGTATATTCAGCCATCAACCTGGTGCTAGATTGGTACTACGCCCTCGCATTAGCACCTATGGTCTGGAAGCTCCAGATGAGAACGATAGTCAAGATATCGACCATCTTCGTTCTAGGCATGGGAGTCTTGTTTGTCTCCCCCTCTCCCCCCAGTGAGACAAAGCTAAACTTTGGCAGTGCGAGTGTAGCGAACATTATCCGGTTCAAAAGTCTAATTGGCTATGCCAGCGAAACCGATGTCCTTTGTAAGCTTAATTGTGGTGGTAACGTTTGTTGGGTTTCGCTGACTTGGACACAGACATATTTATTCCAATTGGAATCTGGACCTGGGCAGAAATGTGTCTGGCCCTCATTGCAGCGTCTGTTGCAACCTTCCGCCCTCTGATCCGCCTTCTACCGTGGGCACAATCTCACAACGGCTCGGACAAGTACGCGGGTAACAACACACCTTCACCTTTCACAACCTGGAAAACGTGGAGAACGCCTCGCCGGCGTCGGGATCCTATGGAGCTGTCGGACATGGGCATTACAAACGTGACGGTGCAGGAAGGAACCATTTATGCCAGCAACGAGCGTCAGGGGAACGGGGGCATCAACGACGCGGAAAGCCAAAAGTACATTTTGAAGGAGCAAGAGGTGGACGTACGAAGCGAGAGATGGAATAGGTTGTAAGAATATTCTGACAAGATGACGCAAAAGACCAAGACCGCAACCAAGGAGCATCGAGTCAGGGATTGTCACGCTATACCCCTTCGGCATATTGGCCGAACTACTAATCACACCACTGACTAGCCGTAATGGGGACGTTCGGAGTACCTACTCCCCACATAGGTAGTTAGCTACGCCGCACCCATCCGGTCCCGAGGTATAAGGTGGCCTATTCGGAAACGTCGCTATAAAAGCTTCAAAAACATCAACACCAACCATCCATCCACCAGCAGCAACAACAACAACAACAACAACAACAACAACAACAACCATGGACAAGTTCGCCAAAAAGACCTTCACGACCTCGCGGTCACTGACCTACACCTACTACGACTCGGCCCGTCCCACCGACGACCCGCACAAACCCGTCTTCTTCCTCCTCCACGGCTTCCCGGACAACGCGCACCTCTGGAAAGAAGTGATCCCGCACCTGCTCCCGCTCCCCAACCGCATCATCGTCCCGGACCAACTCGGCTACGGCAGCACCTCGCGGCCCACCGACGCGGCCCTCTTCAACTCCAAGGACCTGACCGCCGACTACGTCGAACTCCTGCGCGCCGAGCACGTGACGTCCAACGTCGTCGTCGTGGGCCACGACTGGGGTTCCTTCAGCGCGCAGCGCGTGTGGCTGTGGGCGCCGGAGCTGGTCGTCGGCGTGGCGCTGCTCAACGTCGCGTACATCCCGCCGTCCGAGACGCCGTTCGACCTCGCGGCCGCGAACGCGTTTTTCGAGCAGGCGACGGGCTTGCCGCGGTACGCGTACTGGGAGCTGTTCACGGCCGAGGATGGCGCCGAGGTGTGCGATAAGCACCTCGAGAGCTTGTGGCACGTTGCGCACGGCAACAGGCCGAATTGGATGCGCGATATGTTCTGCGTGCGCGGCGCGATGAGGGAGTTCTTGCTGGCGGATCGGAGGGATGTCGAGTTGCACGAGTATGCGAAGCCCGGGAACGGGTGGAGGGAGGAGTGGCTGCAGAGCGTGCGGGAGGGCGGTGGCTTGGCGAGCGCGCTGTGCTGCTACAAGGCCTTGGCCCATAACCACCATTACGAGGTCGAGAAGGAGTTGCCGAAGGAGCGCATCCCCGTCACCGTGCCGACCTTCTTCCTCGGGTGCGACCGCGATGATGTGTGTCTGTCGGCCTTGATCGAGAAGAACAGGGCCGATGGCCATGTGGGGCCGGATTTGACCGTTAAGAATATTGATTCGGCCCATTGGTGCCCTATGGAGAAGCCGGATGAGGTCGGTAAGGCCCTGTATGAGTGGCTGTCCTCGAAGTTCTGAGAAACGGCTGGAAAGAGAGGGTTTCAATGAAATAGAGAATTTCCATGAGATAGAACGACCAATTGATGAATGAGTCTATACGCAGAAAAGTGGTCTGGGATCAAAGAATAATACTTCAATATCAACATTTTGTGCTGTGCTTCAGCGACCCGTGTTTACAACCTTGAAAGAATCGCCATTCGTGATACACATGATTTGGCCCATTCGGCTCCTAGGCATATATCATGCTGAATTCATGGCCAGGATGTAGCATCCCCGCATCTTCTCGACACATAAAACAGTAATCAAGGAAGGAACATTCATGACAAATGAATCTTGGCCCAATAATACGCTGCAAATATTGTTAACCACAACCGTAAATAGTCGAACGAAAAGAAACTTACGCTCTCGCACGAATCACAAACATAGTTGGAATGCCGTTTGCCCGGAGCAATATCTGGCGGAAAATTTCGCAGCTTGAACAGAGATTCCGTCTCCGACAGCAACTTCTCATTGTTGAAGAATTTAGACAGGGACCATGGGGTCCACTCGGACGCCCTCTTGGGGAACTTTGCCTCCACAGTTGTCTCTTCCAACCCAGCAGCAACGAGAGCGGACATGACTTGTGCATTACCGCTAATCGCTGCCCAGTGCAGCGGCGTGAAGCGTGATTTCTGTTCAAGAAGATCAGCAGAACACGGAAGCTGAAGGATTTTCTCAATGAGTTCAAGAGAGGAGCCCATGGAGGCGTAGTGAAGGATATTTCTTCCTCTTGAGTCATTGGCGATTGGGTTGCAGCCCGCGTCCAAGAGCATCTCGAAAGCAGCAAGCTTTCCACCCCGTGCAGCCAAGTGCAGAGCAGACCTGCCCTCAAAATCTGGTTTGAAGTATTCGATAGGTCGTTTGTCGAGCAGGATCTTCAGATTCTCGGTTTTCCCACCCAGTGCGGCATTGTTGAGAAGACTCCAAGGACCTTGCATTAGGGTATCGAAGTCTGAAATAGCGTCGAGAAGCATCGTGAACACCTTAACGTTGCTGAAACAAGCGGCGGCGTGGACGGTAGAGTTATTGGTGTTATTTGTCACAGTCGGGTCGGCTTTGTGCTTCAAAAGCACCCGGACCACGTCTTCGAAACTTTCCTCGGCAGCAACACTTAACGGAGTCTCCCCCCAAGCATTTTCTGCCGAGACATTGGCTCCACATTCCAGTAAACACTTTGTCGCTTCAACATGGCCTTTTGATGCCGCTTTGAGAAGTGGAGTATCTCCCCACTCATCAGTGGCTTCGAGGGAAGCGCCATTGTCCAACAAAAGTTTAACTGCTGTTGCATGTCCCCGTCGAGCTGCCATATGCAGAGGAGTCAAATTTCTGGAAGATCTGACGTCAATGTCACACCGCTGGTCAATCAAAAGCTGGAGCATCTCTTGATTGCCCTTTGATGCTGCGAAGTGCATGGGAGCTCGGCCATTTGACCGTGCATCCAAGGATTCCTTTGCGCCATTCTCAAGAAGTATGGCAGCTATCTTGAACAGGTTGAACAACGCACAACAGTGGAGGCAGGTGCCGCCATACTTTGTTTTGATGTTTACAGTCGTGCCTGCGCCTTTTCCTAAGAGACGAATGATTGGAGTAGGATCTCCATCTCCCTGGTTGCATAGGAGAAATAAAGGCGAAAAGTTGTCTTTGCTGACAATTCTTGGGTCTGCTCCTTGGTCTAGGAGGAACAATACAATATCGACGCGGGCGGACCAACAGGCTCCACCAAGTGGGGTATTTCCAAGGTCATCCTGGATGTTAATTTCGGCTCCCTTTTCCAGAAGTAACTTGATGACATCTAAAGATCCATCTAAGCAAGCGGTAAGAAGCGGTGTGCAAGCTCCCAGATGCTCTCTCTGATGTACCAGGTCAGGCTTGCTCGTGAGTAGTCTCTTGACTGAAGCTTTCAAGTTGAATTGAGAAGCCCACACTAACGGATTTCCTCGTGCATTCTTTAGCTGTATCTTTTCAGGTGGGTGCATTTCCGGATCAGAATCAATCCTTGAAGCTCTCCATCCACGGAATGCTAAACTGTCGGGTTGCAAAATAAGATCTATGCACGCTGACACATCTTCATCCAATTCATCTCCCAGAGACACATGCCTCTCCCACCATGCCGATGCATAGGTCAGGAATGAACGTGGAACTCCTTGGTCTGATACCAGTTTTGGCTGCCACATTTTTGGGTAGGTCAAGTACCGAAGGCAGACTTTGGCGAGTTCCGTATGATGCTCCTTGAGCTTCTTCACTTCAGAATCTTCCTTCGCTGTTCTCGTGCATAGTTCTTCCACCAGAAACTCTTTGACTGATACATGCGCAAGATGTAGTGTCTTTGAGCCAGGCACATCGCTTCCGCCAGGTGAACGGATATCGATAAGCGATCCGCATAAGCCTTTGATCTCGCTCTTGATATACTCTTCATCAATAGCATCCGGCCATTCATCAAGGTTGATGTCGTCGTAGCCCGGCTTCACCAAAAGGGCTTCGGTGATTTCGGCCACCGTAAGGGGACGAAAGGCAAAGGCGATCAACCGTAAAATGCCCAAGGTTCTCTCCTTATCCACACGCTCCCTCCTTTCGATCTCATCCCAGATCTTTCTGTAAGTCTCTTTGAGCCCGCTAGGCATTCTGTCAACCATCTGCTGCAGCTGTTTCAAGGGTTTTCCCGGTCGGAGTTGGCCCATATTCTGTTGTTTGATCCAGAGAAACATGCCGTCGCTTCGCACAGCAAGCCTCGAAGCAAGATCTTTCCTCACCTCGTCGGATTTGCTATGGAGTACATCATTGATTACCTTCGAGGCCAATAAATCCAGGTCTCCTCTCACAAGCTCCTTTGATACAAGACATTCAAGCATCAAGATCTCCGAGGTATCTTGTGAACCGGACGACAATGCATGCTGTATATCCTCTTCGTTCCGGCTGGTAATGAGGATATTCGCCTTTGTCTGGGCTGCCACTTGCTTGATCTTTTGGAGAAACTTGGACTCTACGCGGTAGGTCCGATCGAATTCGTCGAATCCGTCAATGACAACAGCGCATCCCACACGCTTGGAAAGCAAATCCTTCCAGATCTTCCAAACTTCTGTCTGACTGGCGACTGTTCCTCTCTCGATGTTGGAAGAGTTCATATACTCATTCCAGATGGACTCGACAGCTGAGGGATCTTGGTGTATGAGCTGCCATATCCAAATTCGGATAACGTCCTCGAATTTGGCATTGGCTTGAGCGAATGAGGAACAGAAGCAGTAGAGGATAGACTGTCCTGATTTTAATGCTTCTGTTCTTTCTCGAATGATAGCAGCGCTCAGAACCGTTTTGCCCGTTCCAGCGGGTCCATGTATCCACAGGAGCTTGGGCATACCGACTTTGTCGAGCTCAGAGGTCCACGTTTTGTAGGCCTCATGATCAAAAATCCAGCCACAGGTTCCGTCAAGCCGGGCGTTGATGTGCGTGTCGTACTGCTGGTCGATTTGTGGGGCTCGGAGCCACTCCAAAATTTCACGGGTCTGAGCTCTACGGTCTTCTGTTGCGGCGTGTTAGAGGGAATAAATAAAACCACCTTGTGTGGCACCGCCTACCTGCTTTCTTCTTCTCCGCATCATCTTCTGGTGGCGATACTTTGGGCGGGATGAGCTCGTAGAGATGCCCAACGGCCTGTGCTACGCGATCGAGCTCACCCCACACCAGCTTATCTCGGCCGTATCCCCACGAAACCCCCTTCAGAGAAGGTATCGGCGACTTCGGTCTCCCAGCATCGCGTTTCAGTAGCAGCTGGCTCCCGGGTTTCACCGAGGCTCTGGGCCCCGGCGACCTTTCAACTCCCAACTTCGACAGCCGTTTCTTCAAATTTTGGGTATGTTTTCTGATGCTGTCCAAATCGTCCCCCACGAGCTCAAGTATCTCCGAGTCGTCCAGCGCTTCATCATGCACATCTTGCAGCTCATCGCCATCCGTTATGCCGACGCATCGTCTCCAGTTGTCGAGCTGTCTGGTCAGAAATCGCAGCTGCGTGGCGGCGTCGCTGGACTCCAATTGAAATTCTCGGGCATAATGGAAACGTTGCCCGAAATCGACGGCCCCGCTGATGGAGGAAGGGAGTGAGAGTAGAAGCGAGGACGCATCCATCCTGTCCGAATCATCTCTCGTGAGAAACGCAGGAGGGTCAGGTCTTGGTGGATGCCGATGATGGATGCATGTCCTGCCACTGTCAAAGATGATAGCTGCTGTACTCAAACATCGTGACGTGGCAGGCTAATGTATGTTGCCCACCAAGCTGTGGGGCCCAACGTGGTCTGCTGTTAGCGTCATTGGCCAAGAGTGGCATGGTCTGAGGCTGTGAAGTATCATCGCCTGTGCAACCTCAGGATGCAGTCTATGTAAGCGCCGACTTGGTGGCTGAAGTCGTGTAGTTCAGCCTGAGTGAGCAAAGAACTACAGCTATAGCGCCATGAAAGCCAATTTGAAATCTAATTGCTTTATGGATAGCCTCCGTACCAGGTGTAATTGTTTTTCTTTTAAGAGGGGATATGAATTGCTATGTATCGTTGCAGCCAATGAGCTTGCTGCGCGAATTTTTTTTTTCTCCCGTGTGCCACATCTGCACAAATCTGAACGGGTGATAGCCATAAATCTACCATGGATGATAAAGCAAATTGAGTAAAGTAGTGTCTGAAGGGACCTGAAGGTTGAATTGAAGGGGCATGACTCCGTTCCAAACGCATGTTGAAGTACTTAAGTTTTGCGTTTAGTCGATGCACCATTTCTGGTCTTTCGGCAGACGCCTCCATTCTACAGCTTGGTAAACCTCTCCATCCGTAATATTGTATCCTGATTCCCCTTCGGATTTGTCGACGGTATGGCGCAGCCGCATTTCATTCCACCAGTGGGGAAATCTTAAGTGGCACTGGCGATCTGAGAAGGCGCCACCAACTTGACTACTTCTAGCGAAAAGAACACCGTCTTCCTCAGAATAGATGTACACCAGTAAGACATGAACTAGCGTGTCTTCGTCCTCGACAGGCTCCATATGTGTAAGGATGGCAGCTTGAGTGAACTTGGTATCCTTTTCATCTCTCACGGGTTGCGCAAAGTGGCGGTCCTTAGCGGTGTCCATGGCCGTTTGTAGCGTTTTGTGCACCAGGAAGAGCCATCGGCCGACTTCGTCTCGGATCCAAAAGTCATTGCCTATAGGACGGTCAAGGGCATTAAGTAACAAAGCTCCTGAGCTGGTGAGGGAAAGGCCACGTGCCGTTGAAATTGCGCAGTCGTTGGAAAGACCGAAGGTGTCTACTGGCTCTCCATTATCGAGGAGCGTCTTCGGTGCCCAGCGGAATCCAGGAGCTGCCAGACGGGTATGGGTCGAGAAAAGCAAATCACTTGGGATGGCTGGGCAGATCTTCCGGAAAGCGAGCATCCGGTCTTCTGGCTCTGCTTCGAGGGTTGGGTCTAGATTGCAACCCATCACAGAAGCGAGACAGAGCGCCTCATCCGCGGCGACGCTCGTCCGGCGACCAGCCACAGCCTCTACGACGCGGTTCAATGTCCGTGCGTTGAAAGTATGAATACGTTCCTTTGCTCGAAAAGAGGCATGCGCAAGATTCACTTGGATCCAATGCCGGTATGCTCCCTGTGGTACCGAGGCTTTGCTTTGGGTGACAAATGATGGAAATATGTCAGAGTCAAAGAGCTGATCCTGGAATGCGAAGTACAGCCGCTTCGCCAGAACGCCTTCCTGCCAAGTCCACAGTCTTCGTATCCAGCCTGAGGTCAGGATCCGAGCCGCCACTTCCACGGGTGACGAGTGCTTGATGTTCACATGGTCCAGGCGCCCATCCAAAACGAGGACTGCTTCCGCTTCTTCGTACGTCTGCCTCATCATTCGGATGGCCAGACGCCTCATTGCTACTGGACGTACAGGACAACAAAGAGTGTCTAACCAGAATGCAGTGGGTTGAGGAATCCCCGGGATTTTCTCGATCTTCGTGAGAATTCTTCGCAATTGACACAACGCAATAGAGTTCTCCGCTGGATTTCCGAGCCCATCTGACCACACATGTGATATTGCAACGTATTTTTCTGACGAAATAACAGGATGAAGCTTCAAACAGCTATGGCTCTCCCCTAACCTTTCTGCTTTGATGACCGGAATGTATCCGTCTTCCAGTATGGAATACAGCTCGTTTGGGTCTACCAGAGCGTGCTGACAATTGCAACCACTCTTGACGTGAAGATGTTTGTATCGGCCTCGATCTATTTGATATGCATTGCATCTCTCGAAGTTGCAAGCACTGTGATTCTTGTGGTCCGGAGGGCCAAGGCGGAGCATGTAGTACACGAATTCAGCTCCGCCTCTCCTGCCAAGGTCCCCAGCCAGGTGCGGGCACCAGCCAGAAGATATAGGGTTGATCTCGAGGAAATCAGGCTCCCCAAACTGACCACTGATCTCCTGTATAGTCGTAGGAACGACATCGTGAGGTGTAAGGAGATAGAAGTCACCCGCGTGAAAGCCAGGTATCAAGCCGGGGTATTGTTGGCATATGTATTTGAGTATTCCGGACAAGAAGTGGATAAGAATTCCCAGCGAAAATGCAAATATTGGATCGAGAAAACTCTCCTGTGTACGAGCGATTACGTTGTATACCCGTTCAGCGAGCTTCAGGGCCTGTTGCCAATTTCGGATTGTGTCGCCACTGACCCCGTGTTTCCGAATTCGTCTCAAAAGACTGGACGCAACCTTTTCAAGGTTTTTAGTATGAATGTAAGAGGGTTTGCCTCTTCGCCTCGTGACAAAATCGTCCAGCTTAATGGAATCCCCAAAAAAGGAATGAAGGGACCCGAAGAAGAGCCACGTCTGTAGGAAACTCTCTACCTCCTCCAAAGTTCTGCGGCCTGAGGCAATGTGCGTGTTCCAACGCTCAGCGGCAAAGACATCGTCATCAGACCAACCAGCACGGGCTGGGTAAGAACAGAAGTCTCCCCGGTCGTACTCCGCAAGGCATGCGTATTTGATCTTTGGGTTCTTGAAAACAGGCTTGGGCGGTGCGAGCAAATGGTCCATATTGGGGCTATGTTCAGATGGAGTAGCTGCGGAAAGGCAGTTTCCGTGTTGAGGTATTCGACAAGGCTGGTGATCTTTGCTGCATAGCCCCCACTTCAGCTATGCCCTACACGGCCTCATGCAGGCCGCCACACAGTTTCAAAAATCGCGCGAGGCAGACACAGTAGATCTGCAGCCACGTATTACAGGTCTCACCCAGCCTCCACCCGGTGAACGAAATGCGGGTCGCCACTCTAGCTTGCTAAACGGGGCGGAGTCTGATGCTTGACCTCATCCTTCAGCCTTCACGGACGCAGCGTAAACTGAACAACTCATGCCCCCACCAAACAAGAACTATGATGGCTCACCTGTGGGCGTCATACCGCTTTCTCATGCCGCTATTGCGGTTCATCGTTCTGATCGCAGCGCTACTGGCGCGTGCGAACGGTCTCCCCACGCAGGCGAACGTGCCTTCGAGTGCTCAGAGCGCGACAACCACCAGCTCCCCAGAGCGCCGTGCAGTTGACGGGACGTCGAATCCGCTTGGGGCACTGGGTAGGCAATGGCAGAATCCAAGTGATCTGTCAAGCGTGTTGATGATCATCGGGGGGGACATCGTTCAGGTACGTGCATCGACAGCCTTCTTCCGCACGAGCAAGACGCAAATGCTTACCGTTTACTCTACGCAGAAAGCAGTAGCCCAACTTCGGGGCCGGCACATCGCGCCTGTCGCCTTCAGTTTCGGCTTCGTGTCCTACTCTTTCACCTCGCTGCTCTCCGCCATCGGCGATGGGCGGCTGATGCCTATGTCCGACTGCCCCTCGCACCTCGTCAACCTCTCCTCCGGCTATTCGCGCACCAACAACTCCTGGATCCTCGGACGCCTCCTGCGCGACGCGGAGAAGCGATCGACCATCAACGCGTCGCTGCACATCACGGTGTACAAGACGACGCAGGCGGGCGGGAAGCCGGTGTACGACTGGCTGTGGTGGACGGGGGCGGCGGTGCTGGTCGGGCAGCTGGGCATCGCGTGCGTACCGTGGGTGCTGGACGGCGACTGGCTGATCATGGCGCTGACGGTCGTGGGCACGGCGCTGGCGCTGGCTGGCAGCGCGCTGCCGCAGTGGGCTAAAGAAAAGTGGGCCTGCCGCTCGGCTCCTGAAGGTAGGTACTGCATCACCCGCGGCAACGGCCACACGCGTGCCATCATCATCATCAGCGAGCACCCGGACAGCTTGAACCTCGAGGACCTGGCCACGGCCAGAGGCCATCCCGTGCATCACACCCGCATGATTCTCGGCTTCCTCGCCATCTGCTGGATTGCGTTCCTGCTGTGCGTTGCCGGGCTGGAGGAGAATACCTGGTTCCTGCTTGGCGTGGGCTTTTTGGGCATGGTGCAGAACGTGCTGGCTGCTGGGGCGCCTAGAGATCCGAGTGCCATGGGAGTGCCCATGGATCAAGTCGACGAGATTTATGAAGGAAGGGTTATGGAAGTACTTCAAGCAGCCGAACGTAAATATCCAAAGGTGGGTATCTCGCTGTTGCCAATTTACTTCCCAGGGGAGCTTCGCCCGGATGAACAGAAATTCTTCGATGAGATGAAAGCAACGGTCAAGGAACGGCTCAAGGCCCCACCGTCCAGTGGCAGCTCTTCAAGAACGCTCACACCATCCAATTCGGAAAATCTCCTGAAGAACGTAGACTCGGAAAAACACTTGGCTATGAGCTAGGGACGTTGCTTAAAGGTGCAGGTGCGACCAACGAAAACTTCCATGCGGCAGTCGCATCCCTCTAATTTGCTCGATAGCCCCCCTTCCACACGATTCCGGTTCGTTCAACCTTGTCTCTCTGGAAGAAACAAACCGCTCCAGCATCTTATCACTTCGCTTGATGCTTTTGATCCATTCTGTCAGCGAACTGTACTGTCATTCCAAGCCATCCTCCAGCTTTACTCAACAAGACAGCAAAGACGTGCAACATACGTCTCTGAAAGAGACGGGAACAGCAAATTCGAACCCCGCACGCGTATTCATACCAGCAACTCGGGAACTGCGCAACCCGGAACACCACCAGCATGAGCGATGATCAAGATCAGAACGAAACCTCATCTCAGACGTCTAGTCATACACCAGGGCATTGCCATTGCCATTGCCATTGCGAGGACGACACGAGCAGCGAATCCTCAAGCGTCCCTTCACCGCTGTTGTCGCGGCCCACGTCGCCGGAACATGATGAACCCATGACGGTCGACAAGATCCTACAGCAGATCCGACAACTGGAGGCTGAAGAGCACGCCAAGAAAGACGGAGAACAAACCTTGCCAGAACCGTTGAGGGTACAGCTGCATATGGTCCTGCTGGATGTAGAGTTCTTCGGGCCATTGATGTGCCGGACATTAAAACCGCTTCTCGTGCTGTCTCTTGTGCGCCTACTCAGAGCACTCAAGGAACATGTTCGCAACCATCCCAGCTTCCACACCCACCGGGTTCCCCGGCCTGACAAAGATCTCTTGGAATACTGGGCGAACCTGGCCAAGTACACCAGGGCTTGCGTAATCTGGTTTTTGGTCTGCGTCCGCGCGTGTCTTGGATTCAAAAAGTACAGGTTTCTGCAACAGAGACTCTGTTTAATCGAGCAGTACATTCTATGGAATTCGGAACGACTTGGGATTTCTTTGAACGAAGCAATGAGTTGCAGCCTGGCGATGCCACGGGAAGGAACAGGATCTCCGTCTGGCCACCCACTCTTTGGAGTTAGATCGAAACTCGGCAATGTCTCGGCGGACTTTCGGCTCCTAAGCACTATAGGGTACTTGTCGCGCATCCATCAGAAGGCTTTTGCGTTCATTTACGGCGTCACTGTCGATGAGGCAGCCACAGCAGTACTTGTTCCTGGTATGGCCCATGTCTTGAACTTGAGGGGGACTGCGCATTTCAATCCGGTCGTTGCCGGAATACAGGCCTTTACTTTGATGGTCCTCGATAATGTCATCCCTGCGATATCCGCGTTCAGGGATATGGTAGCGGACGGTTCTATTAGCGAGCTTACAGCAGGAACGCTCAAGAAGCCTGGGAAGCCTAAGGAGTATACGGTGCTCGAGATATATATTTCGAGACTTTCTCGTTTTAAATTCTGGCGCCCGGTGGATCAGAAAGGTTTTGTACTCTCATATCAGGCTCGTTTCCATCCAGAAAGGCGGCGCTGTTTTCTCCTTTATTGTCCCGGCAACTCAAATGACCATCCTCAAGGACCACAGATTGTTGATGATGACCATCCTCAAGAACCAGAGCTGCGCGCCCTGGCCAGCGATAAGCTCGCTGCCGAAACTGAGTGGCCGCCGCTGTACGACGAGCAGCAGCTGGCCCTTGATGACCATCCTCAAGAACCAGAGATTGTTGATGACTATCCTCAAGAACCAGAGCTTGTTGATGACTATCCTCAAGTACCAGAGCTTGTTGGATCGTGACACGTCATTCTCGTAGCTAGCAGTGTGAAATAAATGATCTGTTCAATTACCCTTGCTTCATTCGTTATTTTCCGGATAAGATTTCTGGAAGAGAAAAGCTGGAGCAAGGGCTTGTTAGAGTAACCATGGACCCGGAACGGTGACTAGGGCACAGACGTTTCAGTCAGCGCGGGTGGAACGAAAGCCAGGGTCGATGATGCAGTGAGGGCTGGATCGGAAGCGTTTGGTAAGCGTGGCACGCACGAGGGATGCGAGACCGGCGGAGGTGACGAATTCGCCCTGCAGCTGTTATCTCCGATCGTGACATCTGCCCCGCGACGCGCCGTCCAGAGTTCAACGCGCGGCCCCACCACCACTCTACATAACCGCCTCGCTGCCACTCCTCCCGCGCAAACAATCCCAGCGCAGTCCTCGAGCCCTTCTCAGGAATGGCCGGCCTCAACGATGGCGGCGCCTTGCCCGAAGGCGTCAACTCTCTGCTTGATACTGACCTGTACAAGCTCACGATGCAGTGCTGCGTTCTCAAGTACTTTCCGAACGTAAACGTCACCTACAGCTTCACGAACCGCACTCCCCACATGCGCTTTACTCGCGCCGCCTACCGCTGGCTCCAATCGCAAATTAACAAGCTTGGAAACATCACCTTTTCGCAAGAGGAGCTCGACTTCCTCAAGAAAAACTGCGCCTACCTCAACGACCAGTACCTTCGCTTTCTTCGGACCTTCCGGTTACACCCCGACACCCAGATCAAGCTGTCGTTCAATGCGGACAACGACACCGGTGCGGACGGAGACATAGGCGACTTGGACCTCAAGACGGAAGGGCTATGGGTTGAAACGATATTGTACGAGATACCCTTGCTCGCTCTCATCAGCGAGGCATACTTCAAGTTCTGCGACACGGATTGGAGCCACAATGGTCAGTTGGACAAGGCGTACCAGAAGGGATTGAAGCTGCTGGAGAATGGGTGCATCTTCTCGGAGTTTGGCAGCAGGAGAAGGCGAGACTACCATACCCATGATGTCGTCATGCAGGGTCTTATCAAAGCGGCGAAGGAGGCAGAAGGTAAAGGGTGGGCAGGAAAAGTGACAGGCACGAGTAATGTCCATTTTGCCATGAAATACGGCGTTGCCCCCGTCGGGACAGTCGCGCATGAATGGTTTATGGGAGTCGCGGCCGTGACGAACAACTACGAGGACGCCAACGAAATTGCCCTCAGCTACTGGGTCGGCACGTTTGGCGAGGGTGTAAGCAAACCAGGCCGGAGGGAAATACTCAGGAGTGCTGACCGGTGCAGGTTCTGGGCATCGCTTTAACCGACACATTCGGCACACCTGATTTCTTGAAGGCATTCAAGAAGCCGATCCCTAGCTACACGACTGCCGAACCGGGGCCTGCGGCCACTGCGGCCTCAGCGGCCGGGAGCTCCACACTACCCGACACGGCAACGCTCGGGAACACCGAGCCGCCTATCCAGGCCCCGATTCGCAAGGGAAATGGAACCAATACGGACGTGCCGACATTTGCCCAGACGTTTACCGGGGTGCGCCAGGACTCTGGAGACCCCAGGGGCTTCATCAAGATGATGCGCGACTTCTATGACAAGGAGGGTATCACGGACAAAAAGGTCATCGTCTTCTCCGACTCGCTCAACATCGACCTGTGTCTGGAGTACAAACAGGCCGCCGAGGCCCAGGGATTCCAGCCAACGTTTGGCGTAGGCACGTTTTTGACGAGTGAGTGTGGCGCGGGTGCTGGCCAAGGCTGTATCGGTTGCTGACGATCCCACAGATGATTTCGTGCGCCAGTCCACGGGCCAGAAATCGGTGCCGCTCAACATTGTCATTAAGATAGCGTCGGCAGAGGGCAGGGCTGCGGTCAAGATCAGCGACAACATCGGCAAGAACACAGGCGACAAAGCCGTGGTTGCTGACGTTAAGCGGAGGCTGGGCTATGTTGAGAAGGAATGGGCGGGCGGCGACGAGCGGACGCGGTGGGGAACGGAGGGTGCTTCAAAGGCTGCCTAAGGCGCAGGGCTCTTATGCGGCTTTAGCAGTAAGCACTGGATAGAGCATGGCAGCAAATGTGGCGGCAGCGCCGTCTGCGGAGCTCATGATGCACCGTGGTTTCTTTCGTGTTGCGACTCGTGCGACAAAAATAGTGAGCAAATGAGCGACGGGTGTCGCGCCCGGCCGCCGCTCGCAGGCGCTGTGGGCGCCCTTTCCGCATTCGCCCCAGGGGCTGAGCCGCGACTCTGCCCTGTCCTGCCCTACCATCTTTCCTGTCACGCACTCTCTCAGCTCAGCCTCTCAGCCTTCCTTCGCGCTTCCAGAGCCGCGGATCCGTCGCTGTCGTTCTTTACTTCTTACCGGCGCTTCCTCTGCTCATTCCGATCGTTCGCCAGGCGCGCTCCACCCACACGTCAACTGCATACCACCCACGCTCCACGCGCCCACCCGCACGATACCTCCGCAGTCTTGCCACCCGGCCCCCAGGAGTCGCGTCTACACGCTTATAGTTTCACCATTTCACCATGAGTGTAAGCCTTAGCTCCGCCGCCTTAGAGCCCGCTCCTCCACCGCACACACTTCTCGAGCACCCTCCGCCTTACACACAGCTAAACCATGGCATCACAGTACGGAGGTTACGGTCAGGGCGGCTACGGCGGCCAGAATCCCTATGGCGGCAATGATGGAGGCTACGGCGACAAGAACGGCTACAGCAACCGTAAGATTCCGCCGCCCCCACGGCGCCTCACCGCGCGTTTGCGCCGTTACTAAGAGCGTAGCTTTCACAGAGCCCGACTACGAGATGCAGGCCATGAACAACGGCGGCTTCGCTCAGCAGGCCGCCGACCCGAACGCCATCCTCAACGATTGCCAGGCCATTGACCGCGCCCTGGACCAGATCGATTCGCAGCTCGAACAGCTGACGCGCCTGCACAAGTCGGCCGTCAACGAGCCGCTCGTTTACAAGAACCAGATTGACAACCTGAACAATGAAATCATGACGGGCTACCGCGGCCTCGTCGACCGCATGAGGCGGATCAAGGGCATGCCCGAGTCGGGCGAGCCGCGCAACAAGCCGCAGGTCGGCCGCGTGGACCGCCGGCTCAAGAGCACCATCAACAAGTTCCAGGAGGTTGAGAGCAAGTTCAGGAAGGAGCTGCAGGAGAGCCAGGCCCGCCAGTACAGGATCGTCCGCCCCGACGCGACCGACGACGAGGTCAAGCAGGCGGTTGAGGACCCGAATGCGCAAATCTTCCAGCAAGCGGTATGTGGCGCTGAGACATGTCTTGGGTCTGGCCAAGCCTCCGGGATCGGAAATGCTAATTGTCTCGCGTCAAACAGATGTTGCAGAGCGATCGCCGGGGACAGGCGCAATCCGCGCTGCGTGCGGTCGAGGGCCGCCACAAGGAGATTCAGAAGATCGAACAGCAGATGGTCGAGCTGGCACAGCTGTTCCAGGACCTGAACGAGATCGTCGTGCAGCAAGAGCCGCTCGTGGAGAACATTGAGCAGAAGGGCGAGGAGGTTCGCGACAACGTAGTCAAGGCCAATGAAGAGATCGCCGTCGCCATCGACAGCGCACGCGCCCGTAACCGGAAGAAGTGGTACTGCCTGGGCCTCGTTAGTAAGTGCATTTTCCCCACACACCTCCACACACCTGTGCTTTGCATCCACACCGCTGTTCTGCACGGTAGATCTTCCGGGGACGATAGTTGCTGATCATGCCACGCAGTCCTCATCCTCGTCATCATTGCTATCATCGTCGCCGTCGTCGTCGTCATGAACCAGAACAAATAAGTTATGATACCCCGAACCTAAGGAAGAGATGCAAAAAAGAACAAAAATGCGCCTCTGCGGAAACGATTTCTTTCAGTTCTTTCGTGAATCATAGGCTCATCAGAAACGGTGAACTTTTGATTCATGCATGGAAACGGAGGAAGAAAAAAGGTTTAAAAATGGCCGGCATTCCTTGACGCGAAAAAAAAAAATAATCAAACCAAAACACCCGCCAGAGGGTTGAATCAGGAAAGAAAGCATCCACGTAGATGTGACCCAGTGTACATTTTGAGCCGCTTTTATTTTATAATGCGGTCATCTCCCGATCATCATACAACACCGATTGCTCAGGCTTGGAAAGATGCAGGAATTGAGGGATAGATTGATGGGGGCCTTGTGCTAACGGAAGTTGAGTGATATCTTATGGGGGGGTTTCTTTGAGTGCTTTTCCTATCTTCATTTTCTCTTTCCTCATCACCATCAACACCACCGCGCCGCCATATCTGGCCTGCACGCGATGGTTATGAGTTTTTTTTTTTTCTTTTCTCCTCTAAGTGAACGAGAAATGGGAGACTTCATCTTTCATTGGGCGTTGGATTTCCCTTATTGCTTTATTCCCTTGCTCGTTTGTAGTGATATGTTTTTTTTTCCCTTTTTCCTTTTGCTTGCTTGCTGATTAGAGAGAGTCTGCTCGGTTTTGTGCGTGTTTGTTTTTGTTTGACCATTGCCCGGTTTTCATTGCTGGCGCAGGGAGGGCTGAGCAAACTATGCCTGTCTGTGTTTGATTGATTTGTTCATCGCGTAGGCAGTCCGGTTGCAAAACGAAGAGGTCGGCTTTACTACTTTTGTTGTTTTCGGGTTCTTGCGTTGCCTCTTTTTTCGGTACGTTCGATCTCGTGAGGGTAGTATGTCGAAGAGCGTACTTTTTTCTAATAGCACGATTTTAATTGATGTGTTTTGATCGTTGATGAGTTGGTAGAATTTTTGCATCCTCTTCCTTTGACGGCGATGGAGAGAAAAGCCGATGCGGTGTATCACGAGATTTTATGTCCTATATCGTACGGCAGATGTTGCAATGTTTCTGTGCTGGGCAGTTGAAGTGGATATCCAGATGTGAATTCATTTCCAAAGCTTTATAATGATATCTAAACATAGACTTCGATTACTGCGTGAGTAAATGTGTTATCTGTAATAGAGTTAGTTTCAATATTTTGCAACATACTGTGACATCACCACCAAGCATGAGAAGACCTTGTTTGAGTCGAGAACAGGAAATGACAAAGAGTTGTCATTCCATTTCGATTTGATGCTAGCGAGTAGAGGACAAGCGAAGGAAACGCTAGAGAGAAAAACAAAAACGCCACTAGATCACTGAAGACCACATGCTTCCGATAAGCCCAGCCAAGCCCATCTATCCCAAGGTATCCCACGCTATGCAAGAAAGAAGTGTGTTTGGGAGGAGAGAGAGGAAGGTGGTAGTCCAAAAATAGACCCAACAACCAAGATACCTGTCTGTGATCTCCATCCCCCGATGCCAAGCCGCAAAAATAAACGCCGTGCCCAATGCTGTGATATGCGATGTGGGGTATAGGAAGGGTCGTTGCTGTGGAAGGTAGTGGGTTGTGGCCATGCGCTGTCCCAAAAATAGAAACAAGTGGGGGCCGTGGTGGTGGTGCGAGCGTCAAGCCACGACCACTACCATCCATCTTTCGCGACCAACAACACCATCCAACCTCCGTAATTTTTTATGTTTTTTTTGTGTGGGGCCGTGGAGCTCCAACTCTCGCGAGTTTCTTGGTCTACGCAGAAGACAAGGAAAAAAAGGAATGCACTCAAGCCGATGAGGAAAAGAAAAAAAGATGATGCGAGTCGGTTCGTCCAGGGCGATGCTCTTGCGTGCAGCGGAGATCATCAGGCAGTCCCGGGGATCTGCGCTCCGATTGGCGACGTAGCGAGTCGCGAGTGAGATTTGAAGAGACGAGATCCGGAGGCGTAGGGCAGATCACGGGGCGATTGGATCGCCAGGATCTTGGAGATCGTTTCTTGTGGAACCGTCGCTTGGTCACTCTCCCTGATCTCCACTACAGTCCGGCGAGTGTGGATGTAGAGAGAAATGAAATAATACTGTAGCGGGCAGGAGTAGAGTGTGGAGGAGAGAATTTATTTCCAGTAGCCCGTGTTGTCGCCGCGAGAAGTCGAGTCGTAGGTCTGGCCGCCCTGGGTAATCTTGGGCGGTTGCGAGCCCGGCTTCGTGCCGTAGCCCCGGGTGGGCTTCATGGATGAGGCCGTCGCTGCGGACGAGGCGTAGTAGTGAGAAGACGAGGAGGAAGGCGAGTAGTAGGCAGCCTGGGCCTTCTTGGATCCGTAGGAGTAGGAGTCCATGTTGGTTGTTGTAGATTTGCTTTTGGCGGTGGCTTGGTTTAAGGTCGTGGTGGAGAGTGATGAGGTGAGTGCGGAAGAGGCTTGCTGGAGTATGTTGGAGAGTGTTGGACAGTGGCTTTAAGGATGCGAACCGGTTGGTGAATTGTTTGTTGGTGGTAGGGATAGCGGCAGTTGGTGAGAGAAGGATGCCTTTATAACTCAGGTTCAGACCTCAGTCTGACAGCCATGGCCAGGCAGGCTTCGAACAAAAACGCCAATGCGCATTCCAACAGGCGGCGCTGCCTTGGAGGGTGTGACTGTGCGAGGCGGTGTTGGTTTTCGAAGGCCGCCCCCAAAGGACCAACACCGCCTGCGCAAGGCAGACCCCATTGCGGCGTTCGAACAAAAACCAGGAACCAGCACTTGCGAGTGGCCTGGACGGCGAGACAGAGTCATAGCGCGCAGTTGAGATTACGGTGGGCTTTCGCGCAAGGCATCATGAGGGCGATTTTGCGCAGCTGCGCGAAAGAAGCGGAAAGGCGCAGGCTCCAACCACGAAAGATAACGAGCGATGACTGGACATCAGGCACGAGAAGCCACGCTTTACAGGCAGCACAATTGATTCATGACGCTGAAGGATTTAGTCCAAGGCTGCAAAGGCCAAAACCCGCGAACCCAAGGCCAAAGCGGTTGACCGTGAGCGGCGCAAAAGAGGCAGTGCAAGCTGGCTGACCGATTGCTGCCTTGGTGGACGGCGGGCTCCGGGGCTGTTCAGCGACAAGAACCACGCCGTTCGGGCGGCGCGCGCACGAAGCGGCGTCGGGCCGCATCAGAATAGCAGTCGCAGTGGAGCCGAAGAGCATGAGAATAGGCGCGGGAGAACGATCGAGGAAGGCTGTGGGGGGCGGAGAGGTGGTTTGCAGTGCGGCTCGGGGGTGGGGGCAGCGGCTAAGCTCAGCTGGGCCACTGCGACTTCCCCAAATAAATCATCGCTTCGCCGCCCGTGGTGGTGTGTCCAACACCACCTGTGCTCTTGTCTCTCCTGTTTTTATCTGGACCCACTGCTCGCCGTTGCAGGCTGCTATTTTGACCGCTGGCCCGCTCTTTTCTTGGACTCTGGTATGTATGAGCCAGCGCCGCTCGCGTGCGCCGTCGCAGCGGCACCTGAAAACCACTGCTAAAGAAAGACTCACCACGTGCGATCAGTCGAAACCGTCTGCGACCGCAAGCAGCCAACCAGAAGGCCGTCCCGCCTGTCGCCTCGGAGCTGGTTCCTCGAAATTTCCCGATTTCCGCTTGTCCTCGGCGTTCGCTCGGGTTTGCGGCAGAGTGGTCCCGTCAGGTTCCCCTTCTGGCTTCTGGCGCCAAGTAGTTCGCACATAACCCAACACAGATCCTCCGCAATCCACTCGTTCGTGTCAAGGGTCCTGTCCAAGATCTGTGTTTCTCTTCTCCGCATTTCAAATCTCGTGGATCGTCCGTTCCCTGCCGTCGTTGTTTAAGCTTAATCCCACTACACTGTCCGGCCAAGATACGTCACTGCTGCCCATCCCACATCAGCTATCTGATCCAGCCCTCTTACCGACTGCTTCTTGATCGACCTTCTTTAATCATTCGCATGTCACTTGACCCTCTCAATGACGGCGCCTGGAAATTCGAGAAGGTGGCCTGAATCGCCAACGACGCCATGCCGCGGCAGCTAAGCTCTACCCAAGCTTCGCGCCCAAGACCTGTGGGACAGCTAGAGACGGCGCGCGACAGTTCATACATCGCGTCTACCGCATCGAGTAAGACGGTCCAGATGGGGCCAGAGTAACGGGGCCGACCCCAGTTGACCCCGCGAAGCTTCCCCAGTTTTTTTTTTGCTGGTTCCGAGGTCTGTAGCCGGAGGCTCAAAACGTGGAGGACCGCAGGGCCGAGGTTGTCAGCCGCAACTTCCAAAGAGAGGCTCCAATGCACCATCGCCATGTACGGGCAAATGGAAGAATGCATCAGTGATGAGTGCGAGACTGATCTCATAGGCATTGCGATCTGATCTGCGATTTGTCCAGACTCCGGCGACCGTCACTGCGATCGGAAGCCATTATGCGAAGAGAAAAGCTCATGCGATGGCTTGACTTGGCGCGGCGCAAGACTTTAGCAGCTCATTGGCACAAGCTTGAGTGCGGATGGCGTTCGCGACACCGAGCGTGGCGCATCTTTCAACGAAACACTCAACAGCGGCAGGCAATTTGGACGAATCCTTCGAGGGCGCTGTGCCGCCGGCACGACCACGTTGCCCGCATGTCGCACGCCGATGCATGGTCAGCGACTTCAGCCGCAGATCCAATGCTCCTGCAGGGCCTCGGACGGAAAAATTGGGATGATCAAGGTGTGGAGGGACGACGAATGCCCCGTTCATCTTCCACGCAATGCGTCCCCTTACCACGCCACCCTCTCGGCGTAGGCGATGCTTGATTTTGATTTCTGTTCGCGATGGACAGCGGTGTGCAAGGAATCCCCTGCCAGCGCAGCTAGTTAGGGCGATGCTGTGTATTATTTCCGTGGTGTGGACACGAGGCGCGAGCGTAGGATTCGATGCGTGGAGGGGGAGTGCCAGCATGGTCGCTGAAAACAGCCTAAAGTCAGCCGGTGGAACAACTATTTTGGCTCCCTCCCTCTAATCCCGGCTGCCGTAGAGCTGGGACGAGGCCAGCCTCCGCACACGGCTCGAGCCCTGATGGGCGCGAAATTGTGATAGCGCCGTCACGGCCGCGACGGGCATAGCAGACAGCCATGGAAGGCGGGAGTACGAGTCGCGTGCCGACAGTAGCGCTGAAGAAACTTTCTGGATTACGCCTCAACGGGCATCCTCAACGTCGGCATGCCTGTCGTGCGGCGAGCACCTGAGAATCGGCTGGTGGGGAGAGGGGCGGCACGACAAAAGAGGCCAACTGGGAATGGATGGAGGGTCCGAGACTGCAGGGCAGCACGGAGCGCTGATGAGCCGGCCCGAACTCCTGCAGGTTTACGGGTCGAGGGTCGCTGCCATAACTGTGGTAGTGCGTCTCTCGCTGACGCAGCTCCCGTTGACCCGATAGAGAGAGGTCGCGACGGTTTCATCAAGGATGTGCGGAATAATCGACCGATGGCGGGGCTCGGGCGCAGCTAGCGAGGGTCTGTCGCCTCCGGAGGCTCAATCGCTCGCCCCGCCAGCGAGCTGCCAGCATCCGGTGCGTCCGCCAGCTCCCAATGCCCGCACGACTTTGACGTTTGCCGAGCGTCGTATCCGCCAGCCTTTGCACCGAGGGCGGAGGCAGCTGCACGCCGCCAACTGTGCAGATCCACGTGAGGCCCAGCGTGCTGCCGCGCCGCTCCGCCTGGGCGCTGGGCATTGGCTGTTCGTCGATAGTTTCCCATGTCGAAACCTTGCCTGGCAGCAGCGCCGGGTCCTCGTGGTGCCTGGGGTGTTTCTGGCGGTGCCGGGATGGCAAGCCAGCCTCGCGACCGTGCCCTCGGCCGGCGTCCCTGCGTGGGATGGAATGGCCCGCGGGCTTGACAAATGGGAATTCTCGCAGCGGGCTGCACCTGCCAGGAGGGCAGCTGGTCCACGTCCCCTGCTGCGGGCTGAGATGAGACGACGCCGCAGCGCTGCGGCACAGCGGGCAGCGAGCGGAGACGGCGACGGGGGCCTTGAGAACGGATTGGCAGGACGACCGGCTGGACGACCGGCAGCCGGCGAGGTGGACTGACGCTGAGCTTGGAGGCGTGCTGGGCGGTGCTTGGACGGCTTGGGTGAGCAATGCGGCGCCATGACAATTTCCATGTTCCCAAGTGCAGCGCGCCTCGGCAGGCAGCCTTCCCCAGACGATGACGGCGCAGAGGGGCGATCCCGTGCGCCCGGCTTGTCGCCCACTCGCGCGCTGACTGGCCGACAGGGTGCGTGTGGGTACGTGGAGAATGCTTCTGGCGTAATGAATCTGGTGCCGAGACGAGCCCACCAGCTTTACCCGCACACGGCCACCGCACCTCGACCCGCCCGCGCTAGAGTCTCCGCAGAATCGCTGTCACCATGTATTTATACGGCTCCGTGCCCCAAGCTGCTCTACCTCCCTCCCTGGTGTCACCCACGAATCGCGCAGGCCGGCCCAATTGGATATAAACGCGAAAGGACTCCCCGAGCCCCCTTGCACCCCAATCCCTCGACTCTTCATCGCCTGGCGCATAAGAGCATTCCGTCCTCCTCAGTCGCAGGCCGCCCCAAGCAACCATGTCTACCAACCCTGTAAGCCTGCTTACCTCGCGCTCTGCAAGACACAGCACTAACATCTCGCAGGACACCAAGGAAATCAACGGTACCAACGGTACCTCCGGTACTGACCATGCCGCTCTTCCGCCTAAGCAGCGAGTGCCCTACGACTATGGTGGCAACCCGCTGGCGCACATCGCGACTAACGATCCGTCAATGCGCCTTCCAGCTTTCGGCGGCGAGTTCCAGCCTGGTCTCTACCGTGCCCCCAAGAAGGACTTCGCCAACCCTGCTCCTTTGGGCCTGTCGGCTTTCGCTCTCACCACTTTCGTCTTGTCTCTGATCAACATGGGCACCCGTAGCATCGGCCACCCCAACATCGTCGTCGCCCTCGCCTACGGTTACGGTGGTCTTGTCCAGCTGCTCGCTGGTATGTGGGAGATGGCTGTCGGCAACACCTTTGGTGCTACCGCCCTCTCCTCGTACGGCGGTTTCTGGATTTCGTTTGCCATCATCCTGACCCCTGGCGGCTTCAACATTGTCTCAACCCTCGAAGCGCCTCTGGAGGGCTCCACCGAGCCCAACACTGCGGCGTTCCTCAACTCCTTTGGTCTTTACCTGATGGTGAGCTCTAAAACTACAAGAGACCCAAGGGGTGCATTCGCTAATCAATTCTCCTGTAGGGCTGGTTCATCTTCACCTTCATCCTGCTCATCTGCACTCTGCGCTCGACAGTGGCTTTCTTCTTCCTCTTCTGCACTCTCGACTTTGCCTTCCTCATGCTTGGTATCGGTTACCTGAAGCACGACGGCAGCGAGCCCCACCCCGGGCTCATCAAGGCCGGTGGTGCGTTTGGTATTCTGGCTGCCTTCGCCGCCTGGTACAATGCCCTTGCCGGTATTGCCGACTCGAGCAACAGGTATGCTCTCCCCCGTACCCCTATCTTGACCGTGACCAGTTGGCTGATACACCCGAGAAGCTTCTTCGTCATTCCCGTTGCCCACTTCCCCTGGTCCGACAAAGGCCGCGAGAGGCGCGGCAAGGTCGACAACAGCGCTGCGCGTGCCGAGCAGGCTGTTTAGACCAGACCACCCCGACATCTCTGTCATGGAACGTCGAATACACTCACATTTTCGACACGTCATTTCTTGTTTTATTTACCAATGATATACTACTAATGTGCTCCTCTTGGCTGGAGCCAAGGGGGTTGGGAACTATCCGGGACGTTGGGGATCAATTCTGAGAGAAAGAATGCCTCTGGCGTATGTGCGGAGGGGAAAAGGAAAGCGCTGGATATCCGCGACGGCAAGGGTTGCTTCGTATTCTTTTTTACTGTTTATGCCATCCAAAGATACCACAGTTCTAATATGGTTTTGACATACTCTGTCCTTTTTCCCTTATCTCTCTCTCCGTTTCTCCTGCGCGCTTTTTCTCTACGTCTCCTTCACCGCATTCGATCTGCGTTCGGCCGGCCCCTCTCAACACTGATGATGTCGTTGACGTGACTAAAAGCCTTTCCCCTTCTCTTCCAAGCCGCGCCTCGGCGCCTGGGCAGAGCATCCAGCCCTAACGCCGGTGACGGAAGGCGCGGTGCTTGGCCAGGGCGGTGGCGCCGCCCCCAATGGCCGCTGACTCGCGAGGCCCGGCATGTTTCCATCCAGCCTAGCCTCGCCAAGGTGGGGAAGCTGAGGGCAATTCCCGATTGCTACGACAGCACAGATTCCAGAAGCAGCACTTTTGTTCTTGGTGTGCGATCGTCGAATGGTGTGTGCGCACGCGCCGCGCAAACTGCGAAGAAGGATCCAATCCCATGCAAGAGGGCACAATAATCGGTTCACTCATCTTTTACGTCACCCGTCGTCAATAAAGACAACCAACGCCGTGTCCATTCGCTCGAGCGCAAGCACCCCACGTCACGCGCTCCGGAGTAGACCGTTCGCGCTCGAGGGCGCGCGCGTCTGACAGGGTTCACCCAAGGTTGGCTGTCGTGTTCGTTCGATAATCATCTACAGGGTCACTCCACATCCTCGGACTGCTAGGTGGCTTGTTGGTTTTCTCGGCTATTATTGCAGATGCCAACTTCCTTTTTCCTCCCTGGCGCTGGGGGAGTGGAGGGGGCCCGCGCGTACGGGCGCACGGGGCATAGGGTACATACACGTCGGTCGCTCTGCTCAATGCAGGCGTGTACACAAAAAACGGAACTACTGCAGTGCCGAACACAAGGGACGGCGTGTCTTAGACAGCTCCTGGACCCGGTTGTCGGAATGAACGGTATGTGCGCCTGTCGTGCACCAACGGCGAGACCGAGGATCATCTCGAAGACAGGGGCCTCGTGTTTTCGTGCTTCTCTCTCTTGTATTGCATTTAAGCTTCCAAGCGATGGGCGATCACATTTTTCTTGACTTGACTTCATGCGGACCAGACGATGGATAGTAGTGAATCCTGCGTGTAACGTCGCTCGAATCCAGATCTTTCTTTCCTTGCATGTGGATCTCTAAGGCTTTACCGGGTATGGGGAAGCGCGGCTACCCGGGGCCCGGCGGCGGGATGCCGCAGCGGTTCCTTCTTGTTTGTGTGGACGGGGCTGATCTGCGTGTAGTGCTTTTTTTTCCTTTTCTTTTTCTCTCCTACGCGCCTCTCATGCTGCGGGACCTGTCCGAAGAATTTAGGGGGACATGAACCAAAATGCACGTTTGATATAATGTTGGGACTATAGAGGGAGGTTGTGGCATGTGACGAGTCAAGAATTCGAGGTTAGAATAACGCTTGCTTGTCTCGGTAGCGTGGCATTCCTGCCCAAAGAGGCTTCCGACTCGCTGGAGCGCGGAGCAATATCGTGGCCCACTAGCCTGCGTCAAAACTGCGCGAACAAATCCTACGCTGTCACGGCCTCGTTCTTCCTTCCCGTTCAAGGTTCCCCCATGGAGCGGAAGTCAGGAACGGCAACCCACAGCCTCGGGACGAAGCGATTCATGCAAGATGACTCGAGAAGCTCCATTTTTTAATCGGCCTTGGCACATTGGTCAAGCTTTCGTCGTACAGACCCGTTACAGCTCCATTCTTGGCGCGCCCGTGTGACCCTGATGGGCAGGGTGAACCAGGACAAAACTCTCTCGAGCCTCCTCCTGCCGGAAGGCGTGCCAAGAAGAGGCATGTAAATGTTGCTTTTGCATGTCGATCCCCACTACTTTTCCTGCCCGCTGCTCGCTATTTCGCCTTTTGTAGCACTGGGCAATATGGACCTGCATGCTGAGTCGGTGGACATCCCCTTTGCCTCTCTCTCTCTTTTTTTCTCTTTCACATGCGGCATGGGCATGCAGTTCCTATGATCGACAGGTCACAGCGGCCGACATGGCGCGCTGCTCCTCCTCCGGGGTGCGGGTGCGCAGCTGCAGCGCATGGATGCCACCCTCCTTGGCCATCTCATCCCTCATGAGCGAGTAGATCATGCGATGTCTCGCCGGCTGCATCTTTCCGCGGAAGGCTTCCGAGACGACGTTGACCCTGGAAAGAAAAAAGCGGCCGCCCGCGGACCAAAAGTCTGAGCGCATTGTCTCTCTCCAAACAAGATGTGTATCACGGCGGCGACGGGGGAGCGGGTGGCTGGGTGGTGGTAATAGCAATGGAGCGGCGCAGTACGTACCGGAAGTGCGTCTGTGAGGTTGGCCGTGTGCGACGGTTAGCTTCAGGTCGAGACATGGTGCGGTGTACTGCTTTGCTTGTGGGTGTGGACGGAGCGGCCAACGCACCTCTCTGGACGTCACGCCTTGCATGGCTTTATGGTGGGCATGGAGGTGCGAATCATTGAAGATTTCGAGCGACGTGGGCTTGAGCGTCTCATTGATCTGTGGTGGGAGCCAGAGCTGTTAGCCGTGCGGTCCGGGTGTCCGGAGGTGAGTCGTGCCTTTGCGCGCAGGGAGTCCTCCATCGGGGTCATTGACTGGGCCATGGCTGATAGTTGGCGTCGCGCGGGGCCGCGGAGGAGAGCTGCTCGCTGCAACATCAAAGAATCCAGGCCGTTGAGCTGCGGGTGGTGGAGCGATGGTGGGGGAGACGGAGGGCGGGATGACGGAGGAGCGACGAATCGAAGGCTGCGGCGCGCGTCGCGCCGAGCAAAAGACGAGCTGCACACCCATGACGCGCTTCTAGATTTTTGCTCCGGATTCCCTACGGGCTCAACACCACACGCCGACCATCACCGCAGGCAAGCTGGCCTCGCAGTGCTTCTGTTGAGACAAGCTTCGGCGTCTACTTCTGCAGCCGTCGCCGCAGACCGGACCCCATTGACCCACCAGTTGATCGGGCACTGGGCCATGACTGCCGACGGTCAGCTGCACGTAATCAGGACACCCCTCCCTAGCATATAATTGATAGACCTGCCGTCGCCCAGCCTGCAGAATGCTCGTCCGAGCTGCCTGCCGCTTCGCAACACGACCGCCCGCGCCGCTGTCTTTCATTCCCGCCCGCCCTTTGCTCCCCAGAAGCCCGCCGCCGATCCTCCGCCAGCTGTTCCGCATGGCCTCGACGCTACCGAGGTTGCCTGTCTTCCAGGCCATCGCGAGTCACGACCCCCAGCGCATCGCCGTCGTGCACTCGCTGTCCAACCGCAGCTTCAGCTACGGTCAGCTGCTGCACGACGTCGCCCAGGCCAAGGACCAGCTGCGCAACCACGCCAATGGCAAGGAATTGGACGGCGAGAGAATCGCGTTCCTCGTAGAGAACAGCTACGACTATGTAGGTGCGCGCTGCACTTCCCTGGCGAGCAATTAGACTCTTTGGCAAACGCGCTGATTGGGCGCCCAGTGACGCTTCTCTCCATCCTGGCCAGCAACGCCATTGCCGTACCCATGTCGCCCGCTTTCCCCGCCCATGAGCTGCAATACATCGTCAACCAGAGCGCTGCTCTCATGCTCCTGGCCTCCGACAAGTACCAGGAGAAAGCACAGGAAGTCCTGAAGGAAGGATTGGAGCACCAGCCCATTTCTGCGAAGGTCGAGAAGAGATTCGAGGCCGCGCCGAGCAGCAGCGGCGTCGAACTCAATGCTGTTCCGGACGAGAAGGGCGGCATGATGCTCTACACGTCCGGCACCACCAACCGGCCGGTGAGGAGAAGCTCCAAACATCGCTAACGAGCTTCAATGGCTTACTTTTTGCACACAGAAAGGCGTCCTGATCCCCATCTCCACGCTGACGGCGCAGTCGCAATCGCTCAACAAGGCGTGGGAGTACAGCCCGTCGGACCGGCTGCTGCACCTGCTCCCGCTGCACCACATCCACGGCACCGTCAACGCCATCCTCGCCCCGCTCTTCGCCGGCTCCAGCATCGAGTTCATGTTCCCCTTCAACGCCAACCACGTGTGGGAGCGGCTGGCGGCGCCCTTCCTGCAGCCCGTCAACGGCGCCACGCCGCGCGACAAGATCACGTTTCTGACGGTCGTGCCGACCATCTACAACCGCCTCATGCACGCGCTCAAGAGCCTGTCGCCGGAGCTGCAGGACGCGGCGCGCACGTCCACCCGCCCGGAACACCTCCGCCTCAACATCTCCGGCTCCGCCGCGCTGCCGACGCCGACCAAGGCCGCGTGGTCGGACCTCAGCGCCGGCAACGTGCTGCTGGAGCGCTACGGCATGACCGAGGTCGGCATGGCGCTGAGCTGCGGCCTGGACTTCGCCGACCGCGTCGACGGCAGCGTCGGCTGGCCCCTGCCGTTCGTCGAGGCGCGCCTCGTCGACACGGACACGAACGAGATCATCGAGGACGGAGAGGAGGTGGACCAGTACGGCAGGGAGCGTCAGGGAGAGGTCCAGCTGCGCGGCCCGACCATCTTCAGGGAGTACTGGCGCAACCCCGAGGCGACGGCGAAGGAGTTCGTCGAGGGCGAGGACGGGAAGGGCAGGTGGTTCAAGACGGGAGACGTCGCGGTCAGGCGCGAGGTGCCGACGGCCGGCAAGAGCGCGAGGCCGAGCCAGGATTGGTGCAGGGGGAAGATGTACTTCATCCAGGGTAGGAAGAGCGCCGATATTATCAAGACGGGTGGCGAGAAGGTCAGCGCGTTGGAGGTTGAGAGGGAGATGCTCTCGCTGTAAGTCTCGTCTCGCCTTGGCCGCACGGACCAATTGGCTAACTGAGGGCAGACCTGAGGTCGCTGAGTGCGCCGTCGTTGCACTGGATTCGGAGCAGTGGGGCCAGAGGGTTGCTGCGGTCGTCGTCCTCACCGAGCAGGGTCAGACTGCCGGCAAGGGCGGCAAGCCCTGGGGCCCAATGGACATGCGCAGGGCGCTGAGAGACGTGCTGGCGAATTACAAGATTCCCACGGAGCTCAAGCTGGTTGACAATATCCCGAGGAACGCCATGGGAAAGAGTAAGTTCCAGACCTCGGAGCGGACATTCGGGGCTTACGACTAACACCGTCTTTTTCGCAGTCAACAAGAAGGCCCTCGTCCAAGCACTATTCGCCGGCCGGCCAAAGACGCCTCCTCCCGCACCGAGGAACTAATTTCGGGACACGCATTGGATGTCGTCCACCCAATTCTCCACACTTGTTTCCCAACGTTTAAATAGAATGATAGAGATTGGATGGGCGGATAGGTCCCCAAAAAAAAGTTTGGAATGTAAGATTATGACACGAACATCGGATGAGAGGACTGATTAGCTCTGCTGGCAGAGGATGAGAAGTGTAAGAGGCCGCACACAGAGTTGATGTGAGAAAACTTGCTTGGGCTCTGTTCGACGGCGGTGGCCAGAACTATTGAATATTCCACACCCCCGCATTGCGGATCCGCAGGCAGGCTTGGTGATCTCGGGCATGCCGATTAGCTGGCTCAGGAGAGTTTTGGCCACATCGATTCTTGGCCACCGGGTAGAACGAGCCGGGGTGAAAGGGAGACACTTGCCCGTTATGGCATCGCTGATTGTTGTATCAGCCAGCTGAATAATGGCAGAGCATCCGAAAGCTTTGAAGAACGATGGAGGGATACTGCTTAAGTACGTCTTGTCTTTGTTCCCCGCCAATGGTTACGTTTGATGGTTGAATGGGCATAGCTTGTTATCTTTGACATGACAGAAGTAATTTCTGATAGGTGCTATCAATTGGTTAAAGTGGCTATGAACAGCCATGCATTGACTACGGAATCACCCGGAAGAAGGTGAAGCAATTATACAGACGTATTTGTTAAGACACATACCACACTTACGTACGGGGTCATGCTCCAACTGCCAATAGGTAATCATATGACCAGTACAACACTAGAGACAATCTACTTTTGCCTCGGCGCAGAAAAAGTCAAGAAGACCCAGACCCACCGAGCCTATCGCGGTAAAGAACCAAGAAAGGAAGGCGAACCACAAAGCGATAGAGAAAAAAAGAAATTGGATGGTGCATACATACACATCACACGCACAACAAGGGGCGGCCCGCCCTCACACCGCTTCATGCGCCACAGCGACAAGCCTCATGTCAGCCTTGCGGCGGCCTTAGGAAGGCAAAACCGAAACGGTTCGCAATCACGGGGTGTCGGGAGTTCTTCTTCGCCGACGGAGCCTGATTTGTCGACGGGCCGCGGACCATCTCCGGTTGGCCTTTGACCAGATATCGTGCCGCATTCTCTTTGGCTGCGGGGAAAGCAGGAAGGCGGGAGGCGAGTGAGGCGACCTGTGGCGCAGGCTGTGGCTAGAGCGGTGCATATGCAACCGCATGGTTGTGATTTAGCTGTTCTCTCTGGTTCGTCCGTCACTGAGAGCGGTGCGGGAACTCTTTGATGCTACCACCCCGTCCCCCTCCTCACACTTCTGCCTTATGACCTTTGCAGCCTGTTTGGCACTTGGGGCTACTAATCTCCTCATTCAGAACTCTGCAGCGGAGAGAGCAAGACCATTGGTGCGTTCATGGAGATTTCGTGCCGGTCGGAGTGTCCGTCGGCCGGCGAGGTTCTCAGCATCGGCCTCGGCTGCCCTACCTGGTGCGGGTTTTTTTTCGAGCGTGACTATCTACTTGCATGCGGCGGGAGGATGCAGTGTTGCAGTTCGCGCCGTTGGGTGCTTTTACTGGTCGTTGATATCGTGATGTGCAGCGGGCTGAGAGAGCGCGTGGTAGCCTGGGATGCCTGGCTGAACTGGCAATCGTGATACTTAAATTGCGGCTGTTTAGCCCCATATTCAGACTTGGGAGCTCTTCATTCGAGCTTCATTGATTCCTTCTCGTTGTCTGTGTTGGATCGGGGCTGGGTCGCAGTTCCCAGCTACGTCCACCGTCAAAAGCCATGGCTCCTCGCTCAGACCCTCAGCAATCGCTGGGCAGGACTAGCCGGCGGTCTCAAACTTCAAGCGTAGCAGGTAATGGACGTATCCCTTTTCGAAGAAAGGCAACATTAGCCACGCATGGCGCCGCTAACACCTTCTTCCAGCGGAGTGTGGAAGTGTCTCGCGTGGCAAATACCCCGGCAACACTTCCCCGCAGTCCTCCAACGACCATGCAGATCCAAGCCCAATCACTTCACAGCAGCGATCTGCACAGCCACAGAGCAACGATAGCCGTGGCGACGGGTATGCTTGCCTTTCCCCCCCTTGCGAACAATGGGGTAACGTGCCGACTGACCCTGCGCATTTAGCCCGGCTTCTTCCGCATCCTTTCCTGCAGCATCGCACAACGGTCGGTCGTCGTCAGGTGGGAATTTTGAACTCAGCCACATTGGATCTTGGGCGCAGGTAGAGAAGGAGCAGGGGTTTGAGGTTTCTGGAGAAGAGACGCTGGCTCTTGGCTACTATGATGGGCGGAAAAATGGCGAAGAAGGAGGGACCAATCGAGACTTGAGGTATGGTGAAGAAGATCCTTGGAATGTGTACCAATATTACTCACGGTGCGAGAGATGATGTCATGCGATGGTTTCTTTTCCAGCTGATCATTTCCAGCCGGAGTGATGGTGAGCTGGCTTTCACTCCTCTCAAAAAGAGACAGCACTTTCATAGCATATTCAATAGCCGTTCGCTTCAAGTTCTCACGCATAAAGGGTCTTGAGATGTTAGTCAGATGCCGGGAAGCGAGCTTTAAGCGCTCAGTCAAATCACTTCTCCCAATCACGCTAGTCAAGATGGCAATGTTGCTGCTAAGATATGCTTTCTCTAAAGATACAAAAACGAAAATCCCCAAAGGGCAAAGGCTAAGCTATTGTAGTGAACATCATCCACTCTTCCACTTCACTGAGACTCGTCCGGAACCAGCTTGAACGCGATCTCCATCAACGCCTCCATCAATTCAGCCTTGTCTTCGTCAGACGCATGCTGCTGATCAAACTTGTACTCGTCGCCGTTGGCCATCGGGCCACACACAGCTCCCACAGTGGTGTTCGGGAACATGAGACCCGAGCCAAAGGCACGAAAAAACCTCCTGGTATTGAGCGTCCACCCGTCCGGCAAAAGCTGCGCCAGGCCGAAGGCGATATAGTCATCCCGTTTACAGAAATTCGGATTACCAAAGAAAGAACCATAGAAATGTTCCGCGGGGGTCTCCAGGTAGATGGTGCCGGTAGCATCGTAGTCCGTATCGATCAAGTAGCCCCACTGATCGGTGGGGAATAAGGGGCTAAGCGGGTGATGCGACTCCCAGGAATCGGGATCCCAGACGGTCCACGGCGGCGCGCCCAGGCGCATCTCGTCGACGGCACGGCCGACCGCGTCGGCGTCGACGTCGTTGCAGCAGCAGCAGCAGCCAGTACCGGCCGACGACGACGACGCCGCCGCCAGCGTGAAGGCGCCGCGCATGGCCGCGCGGATGGTTTCGTTGGCCAGGAAGCCGCAGACGTGCTTCCAGGCACCCGATGCCCGGAATGCGGCCATCATCTCGCGGGTCGGCATGTCGTCGTGCCCGTCGCCCGGCAGGTCGTCGTGCCCGTCGCCCATAGGTACGGGCACGTTGTCGGCGCGGCGGCGCTGCGCGAACGGGTGCGCGCGCTCGATGTGCTCGCCCACGTCCGCGAACAGCGCGAAGATGTCGGCGCGTTCGGCCTGCGGCAGCGAGCAGAAGCTGTTCATGGCCTCCTGCCGCATGCGCGCTACCGACGAACGGTGCGGGACGCCGACGACGCGCCAGAGGCGGAGGACGGCGGCGTGGAGGCGCGCGGAGAGGGCGGCGGGCAGGTCGAGGGTGGTGGTGAAGTAGTCGGTGACGGCAGCGGTGCAAGTGCGGATGACTTCGAGGTAGAGCAGCTGCTGGTGTTGCGCGAGGACGGTGCCGGTGCTGCCGGTGAACAGGTCGGACGGGAAGAAGTGGGCTTCAGCGGCGTACTGGGCCGCCTTCTCGCGGACGAGGTGGGCCTCGTTGGCGGCCCAGAAGGCCTCGAGCTCGGGGATGTGGCGGATGCTGAAGAAGGTCTGGGAGGGGAGGGCGAGGGCGACCTGGCAGGCCAGCTCGGCCGGGAGCTGGGCGAGGACGCTCACGCCTTGACGCGTGCTCTGCTCTTGCTGCTGCGCCTCTTGGATGCTGTTGAAGCTGGTGCCCGGGCCTTCGTGCTTGGGGCACGCCCCGGCGCGGCAGCTAAAGCAAAAGTTGAAGTCGGAGAGGATGATTTCCTTCTGCGGGAGTGGTGTTAGGACTTTCAGCCCGACATGGATGGCGACGTCTCTGAAGTTGTACATACTGTCTTTTTGGTCGTCGGTTGAAGTCTTGTTGCTGTTTGAGATTGTCAGAAGTGTCGTTTGAGTAGATACTCTGTCGGTCCCGTTCTCAAGCCTTGCGGTGTTCTGCGTCGGTAAAAAAAGCATCGTATCGAGCCCATGATATACTGAGGTGGCCAGGCTGAACAATAGGATTGTTCTCGACCGCGCGCTTTATCGTCTGAACAATCAAGCATCTTGTTCGACTATTTCGTTACATTTCTGTCTGCCATCCTTGACTTGTTCGTCAACAAGGTTGAACGCGTAAATTTCACAGCGAAAGAGATCAAGTGCATATGGACCTAGCTGTCTCGGTCCGTTTGGTATCATTCGCCTGAACATTGCGGATAGGAAAATGAAAAGGCTTTTATTGTAATCTAGAGTTCACGAGCATCCTGCTTTGTTGTGACCTCAAGTTCAAGAGTATCTGCTTTTGTTGTGATCCCAAGATCGAGAACATCCTGCTCTCTGAACAATCACCTCCATGTATCCATCTTTCCAAGAGTCGACGGAATGCGTAGGATCCAAGGTGAGATCAGGCGGGCGGATAGTTGGGCAAGAGGTTCGCCCCTAACAGAATGTTAGTGATGGATTGGAGCATTAAAAATAACAAGGGAGGCTTACACTGGATATAGTAGGTCCAGGTCTCGGCATTCCTGCTCGCTACCTCCCACGGTAGTAGTGCAGCCATGGGCAGGCCATTGACATCTTCACTGAGAAAGGACCTCTGGGCTTGTCCTCGTACTGGCGCCTCTCCGCCGTACACCGGAAGGGTCGTGGTTTTGGTAAACAGCACCATCGCCAAGTCCAAAACCCCGGCGTTAGGGGTGTGCTCGAATAACGTTGTAAAAGCTGCTGGGCAGATATGGATGACTTGGACATACTGTCTGCCAGGACGGACCTCGGAATACGCCATCGTGGTTGGGTTGCACATCTGCAGTCGATCGATGCAATCGATACGTCTGTAACGGTTATCAGTGCGTAACTTCTCGGCAAACTTGATCAACATGTCCACGACATAGCATCTGGCCTGCGCCGAGTTCGTGTGGTAGAAATGGATGAACCTGAGTGCGTCAGCAGCAGTGGGTAAACTCAACATGCACCACGTACCAGTCCCTGGACATTGAGGCCTCGTCGCTGATCAAAGCATGCCAAGCGCCGTCTATCGCCATCTTCGTCGCCCATTTCTGTGCCTGTTTCAAGATATCTTGCTGTTCTATAAGGCATCTCTGCTGGGCGATGAGGAAATCAGTCTTGGCGAGGTCGGAATGTTTTGCCTGAGCAGCTAGGCCCTGGGCGGCCAGGGCCCCATCGACGTCCTTCACCAACAGCCTGTTACTGACGAGACGCACTGATTTTTCAAGATCGTGTTGTTTGCTGTGCCTGGCAAGCGTATGCGTGTCGATCTGGTAATAGTAGTCGCCACCAGCAGAAAGGTCATACTATATGAACATCAGTAGCACCTGCTCGCCTAGTAAAGAAGCACTTACTGAGTCAGCAACATCGAATTGGGTAGATTTGCATTGGCCAACAGGGATGGTGATCCAGTCCTTGTCGGTGCTGACATTTCTGTTCGTGAAAACCTCGACGCCTTGAAAGGGAACCTCGGTGTTGTCTGTGGCATGTGTCAGACTCAAGCTCGAAAGGTGAAATTGGGTTCCTTACTGGCTGCGTAGTAGACATTCGCTTTGGAGATAGTGCGCATGTCCAGAATCGATCCGGGCCGAAACACATCGATGGACATCATGGCGTTGTTCGTGAGAAGGGCCTCGACCGCAGTGGATCCCTCGACCGTATGTCCTCCCACCGGGGCAATGCTAACGTCGACTTGGGGGTCGAACACAGGCTCCTTGAAGTCGATTGCGATGGCCGCGCCGCCGTCGGGCGGCTCAAAAAAGCCCTTGGGGTCAGCACACTTGAAGAAGCGCATGATCTTGAGGGCCGCGACATTGAATTCGAAGCCAAAAGGTGGGAATTCGTCCTGGCAGAAGACCAAAGTGCAGTTTGCCAGGGCCATGAAGGCCACAAGCAAGAGTGAAAACTTCATGGATGTGAGAGAGTGTGGGCAAGAGAAAAAGAAGGACGGAGAGAATGAATGAAGAGTGTAGAATCCTGGAGCAAGGAAGACTTATATACCTACGGTGGCAGCAGAAAGCTCAGGTGCCGCTAAGCGAGGACCCACTGCCTAGCCCGAAGCGGCATCCTGTGGTTGAGGCATGCCTAAAGGAGCATCCACGTGCTACTTCGATCGACTTCCACGGCAACCAGCCACCGCTCGACAGCACAGGTTGGGTGCCACAACGCGCCTCACTTATCTCGTCACCAGGGTGAAGTGATGGCACCGCACCGAGGCGCGGTCCTTGCTCCGGCGATTTGTGCCCTTGTCGAGGCATAGCAGCTCAGCTTTTTGCGCCTCACCTGACCTCACTCCTCCAAGCGCCTTCAGCAGCAGTATGTGGTAAACACTCAAGGTCGTTAGTCAAGCCATAGGCCCTAGATGCACGCTTCAGTCTTTCGCTACCTGCTGCTGTAGCCATTTCCTTGGAGAGCGTCGTAAGCAACCCCATTCGCCCATGAACTTGCGCGCCTATGTCCAACCACTGCTGACCCCAACTCGTCCCGTCGGGAACCACGACCACATCGCCAGAAGCTTAAGCTACGTGATTGCCACCCGCAGAGAAGACGCACACGCTTGCATAGGGGCCACCGGAGATGCCTGGACATGGCGAGGTGGACGACATGCATTAGCAGGCCTTGCGGTCAAGTTGTCTGCATTCATACTTCCGACTTTCATAACAACAATTTCCCCCCGCTTCAGTCCGTTGAGCCGTATCATTTTATTGCGCTGCTTTTCTCCTCCACCGCCCTCCACCTCGCCCGCTCCTCCTCGCTCAAATGCCCACCGGGAAAGAACGTATCAAGCATGCTCCTCCCCACCTTCGGATACCTCTCTTCAACCCTCAACAGCGTCTCAAAAACCTTCGTCTCGCCAATAACCTCCCTAAACACCAACGGCACGCCCACCGCCTCCGGCCGCCGCCTCGCCCCCGCCACATAAACATTCTGCGCCATCCCCACCGCGCCCACCGCCACCATAAACCCCGCGTACTCCCTCACCACCCCACCCGCCGCCGCAACCACCAGCAGCGCCACCCACAACCCACTCAACCCCACAACGGCCGCCACACTCCCCCTGCTCCCCGACAGATCGAGGTTCGCGGGACCGGCGGCTAGGTCCTCGAAGTCCAGCCCCCGCCCCTCGCCCAGCACGACGAGCGCGTGCTGCGCGCCGTTGCCGCGGGTCAGCACGACGGCCTTGTCGCTGTCTCGCCGGCACGCCCACTTCTCGCGCGCCCACTGCGGCAGCGCTGCCGTCGCGGCGGCGAGAACCGTCCCTGCTGCCGTCACAACCAGCACGCTCCAGGCGCCCCAGACGAAGTACGGGATGGCGGCGATGCCGAGTTGCAAGACGAGCGTCGCGAGGCCGCTTAGGTACGCAGCGTCCCGGGTTGGCAGAGCGGGGTGGTGTGCGGCGGCGGCGAGGACGGTGACGCAGAGGGAGGCTTGGATGGGGCGCGGCGGGGGGACGGGGGATGATGCAGAGGTAAAGGGGAGCAGCATGTCCTTCTGCTTAGCTTCGTGCTTGCGGGCGGCCTTCTCGCGGTTCTCCTGCCAGCGCGCGTCGAGCATGTGCTGCAGGTGCTGCCGCGTCTGCGAAGGCATCCAGTGCTCGAAGTCGCGCACCAGCCGGCCGATTACCCAGGACGTGTTGGTGCGCGCGTAGGCGCTGTGGCCGTTGATGACCTGGCACGAGGTGTCGGGCGCCGGCATCAGCTTGTTCTCGCCGATGGCGGAGAGGAGCGCTGTCACGGCGAAGCCGACCCATCCTGTTGTTAAATCTGAGTCAGCTTGGGTAATTTTGGGAAGTGAGGGAGTAAGCAAGCTTGAAACAGTGGATGGGAGCAGAGTTTCGTGCGACGATGTCGGGTTATGGATTGTATTGGCTGCCTGATAACGTGTTCAAGTAGGTATGGACCAACTCTAGCCAGTCGTGGACCATATTAGGCGCTAGTTGTTGCGTTGGTGTTGAGTAGGTCCAGAAACAATCTCTCATCCATCCAACCCAGCTCTTTCCACATACAACAAACAGGCACCCGAAGCTCCATTAAAAATATGCGACTTACCAAAAGAGAAGGCGACAGGTGTAACAAATGATTCAGTGCCAGAAAGCTGTGCCAGCGCACGGCTAATGACGTCACCGCCGAGCAAGAGCAGCATCGTAAACAAATCGCCTAGATTCTGCCATTGCAGAGAAAATTCGGCAGTGGGAACATCGAAAGCGCGGGTTAGAAATTGGAATGGAGGCATTGTGAGAGTGGTGTGAATCTGATCAGTTGATGCTTGAGGTCAGCCCAGGCGCGGGGTCGCTTGCTTTTAGCTGCCGCCGCTAGTAGGCTGTGTTACCATGATTGTGGCTGACTGCGGCGTTGTCTCGCCACATTACCTATTAACTTTCTCGGGTCGTATGTTGCGGCATGTGCGGCATGTGCGGCACGTAAAGGGACAAGGCAGAAATAATAAGTGTAGCGGTGAGGGGAAGTTCACGCTGACTCTCTCTTGGCAGGCAGACATGATCCTTCAAGGCACAAACCTGGTGGGGAATTGAAGATTCATCTAGCGCAATTGCGCTGCAAGGAGAATGAAGCTACTGCACGATTGTGGGTCTGTAAAACGTAGTATAGTGCTGATCTTTCATTGTGGATCATTGAAAATATACTCAGCTCTCTGACCACTGGAGTATTGCCAAGTGAGCTGGACGACTGCAGGCACAGTGGACATACGATCACGTCAGATTTTGATCACTTCACCGTATCTTCGCAATTATTAATGGTCGTGCGGGGCTGATTACTATCCCAAAAGGACCAGTGCGTGTAGATTACATACCCGAAGACAAAGGTGTCGGCTCCTCAAAGCGACTGGTCTTTCAAAACAGACCCCATGAGATGTGTAACGCTGTTTCAAAGACAGTTTTCCATCCAGTCCGTTCTACCCAATACACCATTTCTGTTCCCGGAGCAGAGACTCCCGCACTAATGGATTTGAGGGGTTTACGACCCCACCAGCCGGAGGGTGGCTGTGTTCTCGAAGGCGATTTGCATCGGCCAGCAATTCGTATCTCCCGAAGACAGCGTCACCTTCTCTCCTAACCACAGAAAGGACGACGCAGGAGAGCCTTGCTGCGCCATCTTCGAAGAAAGATGCTTCAACTCCGTCAGACGACTTATCGAACACGATCCCGACGTCATGCAAGGCGGCCAGCTCCCAGGCATGCCTGTCCTTAGCAGTAACATGAAAATATCGCACCCCCTCTTTTGGTTGACCGGCACTGTCGACTGTGCGTCTGACTGAGATCCAGAAGCCTTCCGAATCACCTCCAGGCAGCAAGCCTCCAAGATTCATAGTGAATCCGGGAAAGACTGTCAGCAGGCCTTCCTTCAGGATCTTCACAGGCGTTTCTAGGGTTCTTCCGTAAGGTGTATCGTCTACACTCATGCAGCGCTGCAGAGCCCAGCGCCAGCCATCCTCCTGATACCGTTCACCGGACAGGAATATGACCTCCTGAGCAAAATAAGAAAGCATCTTGTAGAAAGCCCTCATGCGCTCCGGAGCATTTCCGTCGATGTCCAGGATCGGTTTGGGATCTAGGTTGACAATGTTGGCGAATACAACGGGCCGATCAACATCTCTGCTCGTATCTCTGGCTGACACGTTGCTCCAGCTCATCGATACTAGCTCATGAGGCTTAAGTATAATCTCGTTGTCCTTGCCCATCGGGACGGCTTTATCAAGAATTTTGTGGAACGTTGAGTAGGCGGTCGTGACAGTGCGAAACCATTGGAACCAGAGGGAGTATGCATCGTGCGCCACCGGGGCTTGCAGCGCGTGAAACTTCCCGTGGTGATGCTTTAGCCATAGCTTGTCTGCCATGTCGGGGACATTGACGATCTTGTCCTTGAAGACGACATAGAGGCGCCTGCGCGCGGCGAGCCCTTCCTGAAGAGTCCACAGCCTCCGCATCCAGCCCGAGCAGGCCAAAATCCGCATCATGACCTCCTCCTTCGGTAGATCGCTCACGGCAGTGCTCTCAAGCTCAGCATCAACGACCATCACTCGGTGCGCTTGAACCATGGGTCAGTGTTGCAAGAGCCATCCGTCCCCTGGTGCTCACTTACCTCTCTCATAGACCTTCTTCATCCCTCTGATCGCCATCTTCCTGGTCTCCTCGTCCAGCGGGACACACAACGTGTCTACCCAAAACAACGTATCTTCTCCAGGATTACGAGCCAGCCTCATGGCCGCATGCAGCAGATGCCTCCCACTAACATGCAGCGCACTGACAGGATTATCCCACGCCCCCGGCACATTCGCATGCTCCCACAGCAGCCGCGCCGCCTTCGCCTCGAGCCTCCGCAACTGGCACGCCGGCAGCGAATTGACCTTCGCGTTGCCCAACCCGTCCGACCAGACATGCGACAGCGCGACGTAATTCCTCCCCGGCCGATGCGCGACGACTTCCAGCTGCAGCACCGCTTCCTCCTCCCCTCCACCTCCACTAATACGCACGAGCGGAATACCCCCCCTCCTCAACACCGCCTTCACGTCCTCGACCGGCACGACGACGTGCGCGCACCGACACTCCGGCGGATAATGCTTCGTCACATACGTCCCCGCCTCGACCTGGTTGACGCGGCACTTCGCCGCCGTGCACAGCGCATGCGCGTCATCCCCTCCTCCTCCTCCCCCTCCTCTCTCCAGCATCGTCCGCGGCCGCCTCAACTGCAACGCATACGCCTGCGGCAGCACAGAGCGCAGATTCGAGAAACACGCGATCTCGCTCGGACACCATCCCTTCTCGCTCCTTAGCCGCTCATCCGCCCACGCGTCTCGACACGCCCACTGCGGCAGCAGCACAGCGCCGAACTTGACCCCGAGCGTGTCCCGGACGAGCAGGAACAGCGTCGCGTGCAGCACGCGGATGGCGAACGCCATTTCCGGCCGGAGCAGGCTGCGCACGTCGGCGTTGTTGAGCAGCGAGCCGAGTCGATTCTCGACGGATTCCCATGCGGGTTTGGTGCAGGCGCCGAAGATGATGGCGTCATCGGTGGCATTTTTCTTGCTGGACGAGGGGGCTTTGAGGGCGACGTCGACGTAGCGGTGGAGCAGCGCGGTGGTGAGGTAGTACCGCTTACCGCCGTTATTAATGTCGAGGCGGAGGAAGTCGTTGTGCTGGATGCTGGGGCCGAAGACGGCGTGGAGGACGCCGAAGTACAGCCAGCATTCGAGACGGGGCTTGTGGCTTTCCGGGATGGAGAGGGTGGACGGTTTGTTTGTGCCGCCGCCGCTGCTGGAGTCTGCTGGCCTCCTCCAGCCTTGCCGGGAAGGGTAGTCGAGCCAGGGGCCGCCGTCGTAGACTGGGCCGTGGTACTCGATTTTGAGCGGATCTGGAGGTGGCCGCGATGTACCGAAAAGGTGGTCAGCCATTTTTACGATACTGGTAAGTCTATTAGTAGAAGAGTACGGCTGGGGGTTGAGAGCGGTATCGTGTAAGAAGCTAAGGTGAGAGCTGCTTTGGCCCCCATATTGGGTATTTTCGCTAGAGCTCTGTATACCAATCACATTCCTGTAAGTTCGGCTATCATGCTTGAATTAGTCCTGGTGACCACAGGTTTGCTCCAACGGTGGCACATGTATAGTAATTTCCCCGTTAGTGTGAGTTGTTCGAATGGAAAGAGCGGCCAGGATATTATGGTTCTATGTACACAGCATGAAAGTAGTGGCCACTTTGAACTATCAGCACAACAGCAACCTCTGAACTCGAACCGCAGCGAACAATATCGGGAGTAACTCAGGTGCATTCTAATGAGCCACATACGCCTCTCAGCTTCAATTTTCTTGAACTTCATCCGTCATGTCGATATTATCGTTTCCGTTAAGTTGCAGTGTTTGTAAATCTCATTAGCAAGCCCAAGCTTCCACCTAAGGTTCGGTTTAAGATCTCTCCGACTTTTTTATGACCTTATTTTGGACCTGTCGGCTATTGGTCGAGGGTTTAATTTTTTTTCTTGCTCTGAACTTTCAACACAACAGACGCATTGGTATCTCACTCCCAGGCAATGAAGAAGAAAACATTAGAAGTGGATCAGGTGCACTTTATGCTACATACCGAGATGTTAGCGACTGTGTCCAGATAGGCGCTTCAGCTTGCAATATTCATTGTTGCAATACTCAGTAGGTCAACTTCTTAGTTGTTAATTTAGCGCTAGCTTATAAAGACCATCTGCGAACACGATCTTCCACCTAAGGGCCTTCGGGCCTATGGTACGGAGTGCTTGCACTCCACCACCCTATCCCCGCCCAGGTAGGGGGGAAAATTCCCGAAAGGGGTTTTGCAGAGTACATCCCGCCTGCCCTCACCACCCAGGCGGGTGTCTCGATTTTTTGTCATTTTCTTTTTAAACCCATCGATAATTGGCTGGGTCTGTGTTCCTGTCATTTTTTTTTTTGGTTCCTTTTCTTACTTTTTCGGAGGATTAGAATTAGAATTCCAGTCGAGAGACCAAGCTGATCTATTCAAACTTACCCAAACTTCAACACTTATTGTTGGTGGCATATCCACGTACCTCTTTCTCAGAGAACCAACTTCTTGGGTATGAAATTTAGCGCTCATTGATAAAGACTATCAGCGAGCGTCATCTTTCACCTAAGGGCCTTCGGGCCTATGGTGCGGGGTAAGTTGTGCCCCACCACCCTACTACCTTCACTTTGTAGGGGGGAAAATTACTTGAAAGGGAGTTTTGCAGAGCGATATCTTGGGGTGTGGTCACTCTGGGATAGTCTCGATTTTTTGCTATTTTGTTTTGAGAGTCTCGACTCTTGATTAGGTTGGTGTTGACGTCGTATGTTCATTCCTTTTTTTGTTTTTGTCTTTTTCTTACTTTTTAGAGAGTTGGAGTCCCAGTCAAGAGACCTGATTGGTCCGTTCAAACTTACCCACAGTCAGTTCTTACTGTTGGTGGCATATAGAAGTACGATTTCCTGATATTCCTCCTTCTCACGCCGCGCGGCAGGCCGCGTCAGCACATTTCATAATGCCAAGCTGATATCTGAGGCAGATGCGCCTTCCCCTTTCGCTCACCCGGAGACGACGGTTCAAGGAAAACATTGGCTGAACCTCGGAAGAGGCGTCAAGTACTGGACATCGATTCATTGACCACGCACATGCATGCACGCATAAAGAACATGAACCCAGTCGAACAAACAATAATATACGGACGCGCAACCAATCCTGCCATCCGTTCCCATCCACTGCATCCCCCCAGACCTCGTATTCCCACCGGGCCAATGCACAGTATCAGCAAAGAGACCGCGAACAATCAGGGTGGAAAAGTGAACGCCATAGAACTCCTTGCTGTCCAACATCCATTGTTGGAGAACAAGAAGGGATGATACCCTTCTCCGGTCGTGTTTCGTTTCCGTTTCCATACTCCTTATATTTCGACCTCTGTAAACAAAACTCCCCTTATTCACCTCGTTGAGAAGTCCATCAGCTGAGGCACTTGAATAAACAAAAAAAGGAAAAAGAAGAGTAATAAGACAACACGCTTGGTCAACCAACAGCTTTTTACGCACGCACGCCGGCCATTCGAATAATGGGAATGTATTCTTAGCCTCGGTCCTTCAGTGTTCCAAGAGAGGAGAATAGAAGAAGAGAAGGGAGAAATGGAAAACACGGGTATCTCAAGAATACGCGTTTTTCCGGTCAGGGTATTGTGCTGTGTCCAAAATCAATAGAAGATAAGGGAAGCGGAAAATCTTGTTTCGTCTTTCCTTGTTCATGCGCTTGCATAGACCTGGCCGCCCTCGACGATGATTTGTTCGTCCAGTTTCGCTTCGGTGTCGCCATATTCTACCCTCTTCCACGTGGTGATGCGTGCTTTGTTCATGTCGACGTCGAATACGCGGACCCTGCGGTGGTAGCCATCGTAGCCGCCGTAGCCGCCGAATCCACTGCCACCGGCGTAGCACATCCATAGCTTAGGGTCGTCATCGACCTTGCCAAGGGCGCAATAATCGTTGACGTGGTCGTGTCCACATGAAACCGCTAGCACGTGGTTCTCAACAAGGGCGTCGTAGAAATGGCTGTTGAACCCTGGGGCAGTGACCCCCTCCTTCCAGGTCCCCACAATACTGTTCTCCTTGAGAGCATATTCAGGGAGCGGGATATGGATGAATGCCATGTCCAGGTGAATGTGGGTATAGTGCTTGTGCGCATCCTTGAGGGAATGAGCTGTGTCCTTGAACCAGGTTATCTGGTTCGGCTTAAGCCAGTCGTAACCGCGGAATTTGGCTTCGTCGGGGGAATACGCGTGCGTGTCGAGGAAGTACAACGTCATTGCGGAGTGCTGCGAATTGCCCGGTGCCATAACCTCGACATAGTAATTCCCCACACCTTCAATGGTGTTCGGTCCGGGCTCAGATAGCGAGTATGGGAGGGTCGTGAGGAGGGACATCTGCGCAGCGCGCGAGAGGGAACCCTCGTCGTCGTGATTGCCAAAGATGGCAGCGTACGGAATCTTGCGTTTGATAAACAGTTCTGCAAATTTGAAAATAGCCTGTACTCGGGGTTAGCATTGCTGATCTTTAGTATAACGTCAAGAGAAGCTTACGGATTGAGCGTCCGGCGCGGTGTCTCCATTAACTTGGTCACCAGACAGGACAACCAGATCAGGCTTCTCCTGGTCCAGAATCTTCCCAACGAACTCCAAGGTCCGGCTGTCAGCGTCGCATTGGCCTCCGTTGTGGTCCTTCGGCTCCGGATCCCTGCAGGCGCCCAGGCCGGTGCTCAGATGGAGATCCGAGACTTGCAAGATCTTGAACTTGCCGTCCTTCTTGATCCTGGGTACGGGCTTGTCGGTCTTGTGAGGCACGCCGCGGCGGACGCTGATGCGCGCCTCCTGTGCCTCGCCCGACGTGTCCAGCAGCAGGGGAGTGTCGCGGACCTCCCAACCGGGGCGGGGCTCGACGGCATCGGCGCCGAATAGAATGTCGATAGCGGTGATGACCTTGTCCGAGTCGGAGTCGTGGCGCTTGCTCGAGCGCAGCAGCCAGATGCCGGCGGGACGCGACTCCCACTTGGCCGTCTCCTGGCCCTTCTCGCCCATTGAAGGGTCGAGGCGGCCGACGCGCACGTCAAGCACGACACGATCGTCCTGGTTCAGCTCCTCCTCGCGCTTGCGCTTAACGTGCACGTACGCCTTATTGAACCATCCGGAGCCGAGGTACAGATCCTTCTCGATACGGTGCCATTTGTCGGGATCGAGCTTGCAGCTCGACAGCGGATTGAGGGAGGAACAGGTTTGGACGTGTATGTCGGTGATAATCAGGCCCGGGTGGTGGACGGGCAGGTGGTTGTGGATGCTCTGGGGCAGCACGCGGAAATGGTTGTCGAAGAAGACGAGGATCAGCACGATGGTGGTAAAGAGCAACCCCAGCTGGATGCCGGTGCGGACCTGTGACGATTTAGCTTTGGGATTTGATTAGCGGACGGGTGGAAGAGGTACTATTCTGCGGGTCATCCTGGCTACGGGTCTCGTGAGCTCCCTGAGGCGGCGAAGCTGTAACGGGGGAAGAGTGCTATGGGGGCGAGGGGGCGAGAGTGGTGTTTCAGCAGACGGCTCGATGGGCGATGTGCTCCGGGCAAGCCATCCTCCCGCGCAGCTGCTCAAGGAGTGGTGTGCCTGGGCAAAGGGCTAGAAGCGCAGCGTGGAGAGTCAGAGCTCACGGTCTGGTCCTATGAATCGTGGCCGTTCAGCACTCGCGCCAGTTTAGCCCGCGATCCCTGCCCGCGGCCCGCCGCCAAAGTCGATGCCGCCTGCCAGGCGCAAAACGGGCCCGCGACCGACGCGACTTCACGCTCGCGCCCGCTACCCCAGATTCTCGCCCGCAGATCTCTGGAAAACACCGCACACTGCCCTCAATGCACCCACTGGCCCGCCTGCACCAGGCGCTGCTCGCCCCCGCAGTCCGCCGCCAGTGCTGTCGATCGTTGGCCACGCACGCCCGCTCCAAGGTCTTCGCCGGTAAGCTTCACCCGCCCTGCGTTTGCCGTCCCGCGCTGATCCGCCCCGCTAGAGGGCGATATCGTCCTGCTGCGGAACAGAAACCGCCCCGACCATGCCGGCGTCCTGACCAAGCCACTGCAGCCCGGCGTCGTTATCGGCACCCACCATGGCAACATCCCTCACGACGACATCATCGGCAAGAGCGTCCGCGACACGATCCTGACGAGGGTCCGTGACCCGGCCCAGTCCAGGCAGACCGAGTACCGCATCCAAGAGCCAACACTGGACGAGTACGTGCGCATGTCTCCGCGGATCGTCACTCCTGTTCGTTCACTACTGCGCAATTGCATTGTCGGGAACGTGCTAATGCTGCTGTTTTCTAGATCTACCCCAACGATGCGTCATTCATTGTGAATCTATTCGACATCCATGTGAGCCCCGCTCTGCCCGGCGCTGCCCTTTCACCGCCATTGGAGATTCTGGAGGCCGGAACCGGGCATGGCGGTCTCACGTTACACCTTGCCCGTGCCATCCACGGCGCCAACCCGCCGCTGCCCGAGTCTCTTCGGGTGGAACATGCCCCTCCCACAGACGCCGATCACTCTGCCGAGGATGTGACGTATGAGTCGACGACCATCGACCACATAGCCGAACATACGCTTGAGTCTTGGAAGAAGAAGAGAAGAGCAGTCATTCACACCCTGGATATCAAGGAACGACACTCGAAGCACGCGCGGAAGATCGTTGAACGGTTCCGCCGGGGCATGTATGCCAATGACATCGACTTCCATGTCGACGATGTCTCATCTTGGATCAAGGCACGCTTCTCAGCGCAGACCAAAGGAGATGCTAATAAGCAGCCCGAGCCGTTTTTGTCCTACATTTTTCTAGATCTCCCCTCAGCAGAGGACCATTTGGAGATTGTATCACAGGCCCTTCACATGGACGGCGCTCTGGCAGTTTTCAACCCAAGTATCACGCAAATTGCGGACTCGGTGAAGAAAATCAAGGAGCTACAGCTACCATTTGCACTCGACAGGGTTGTTGAGCTGAAGGGATATGATACCGTTCGGGAGTGGGATGTTAAAGCCGTGCAGACCAAGGCGGCGAGGCAAGCAGCCCAAAACAATGTGGAAGATAAGGAAGTGGATGCCGAGGAGGCAACTGCCGAGAATGCTGAAAAGGAAACCACTTTGGCCGAGCAGGCGGTAGAGGAAGCGCATGACTTGGAAAGAATTGAAGCCGAACAGGCCGAACAGCTTCAGAAAGGTAAAGATGATGATTGGAAGTTGGTCTGTCGCCCCAAGACCGGCTTGACGGTGGGTGTTGGTGGATTTGTTGGCCTTTGGCGTCGTGTCAAAACTTAAATATGTATTCTCATGTAAGTTACGCCTGTGTAAAAAAAAAATAGATGTATGTAAGAGTAGTAGAGCTCTTGAATATAAAATAGCAACTCCACGCTCGCCTTTTGGTGGTTTGCATGCAGCACTCTGGAAAGCTCCGATATCTCCGGCGCCGTTCCGGCAAACGTCAGATCAGATCTCAGGTCAGCCCCACCATTCCAGTCACCGTGTCGGCCTCAGCCTCAATCTTTAACTTTCTCTCCTCCTTACTCTCATACGATCTCAAGATGGCTGAGCCAAAGCACTTGACCGGCGACAAAGCCGCCATCGAGGAGTTCCTCAGCAAGTTCGACGTGAGTCCGACATCGCACGTTGGCCCGCAGCGTTGCGTTACCTTGACTAACATGTTTCCAGACTTTCTTGTTCGACTGCGATGGTATGCTTCCGCCTCATTCCGCACTCGCGCCTCCCCTCGCGCATATTTGCAGGAGCCCGCCGACCGTATCCCCTCTCGATCCGAGCCGGCGCATAAGGAATAAAGTGCGGATATTTAGCTGATCGTACATGAAGGATAGGCGTGCTATGGTCTGGCGATCACCTCTACGACCATGTCCCGGAGACGCTGGAGATGCTGAGGAGCAAGGGTAAGTCTAGATCTATGGTCGCGTTAGGTGGGGAATCCAGAGGCTCATTCACGTTCCAGGCAAGCAGCTTGTCTTCGTCACCAACAACAGCACCAAGAGCCGCGCAGACTACAAGCAGAAGTTCGACAAGCTCGGCATTCCCGCTAAAGTGGTACGGTCGCCCATATCTGGACTGTAGTAATGCGTACGAAAAAGCGCCATGCTTACACTCTACCGCTTGATTTTAGGAGGAAGTCTTCGGCTCGGCCTACAGCGCCGCGGTGTACATCTCGCGCATCCTCAAACTGCCCGCGGGCAAGAACAAGGTTTTTGTTCTGGGCGAGTCTGGCATCGAGCAGGAGCTGCGCGCCGAGGGCGTGCCCTTCATCGGCGGCACCGACCCGCACCTGCGCCGCAACGTCGACCAAGCCGACTTCGAAGCGATCGCGAACGGCTCCGCGCTCGACCCGGAGGTCGGCGTGGTGCTGGCGGGCCTGGACTTCCACGTCAACTACCTGAAGTACTCGCTCGCGTTTGCGTACTTGAGGAACGGCGCCAAGTTCCTGGCCACCAACATCGACTCGACGCTGCCTAACGCGAAGACGCTGTTCCCCGGCGCTGGCTCGGTCAGCGCGCCGTTGGTTACCGCGACTGGCACGCAGCCGCTGTCGCTGGGCAAGCCTAGCCAGGCTATGTTGGACGCCGTCGTGGGCAAGTTCCACTTCGATCGCAGCAGAACGTGCATGGTGGGCGATCGCCTGAATACTGACATCCAATTCGGTATCGAGGGAAAGCTGGGCGGTACGCTTGCCGTGCTGACTGGCGTCAGCAAGAAGGAGGATTTCCTGGGTGAAGGCGATGGAACGGGCGTGAAGCCAGCATACTACGCGGATGCTCTTGGCGACCTGTTGGTGTAGATCGAAGGATGCTATCCAGTAGATGCTAGAAGATAGAGGTAGATGAAATTAGACAGTGCATGGAATGCAAATTGATGCCTGGGGCATCCTCTTCGGCATTACTGGCCCAAACTAGCGCGATGCGGCACCCTTGTCAAGACGCGAACGCGCCTCGCGTCTCCCAGCGCGCGCCGCCCGCAACATTCTAGCATCGCGTGCCGCAACTCCACTACGTCCCACTCTCCACCACCGCAAACATACATATCCTCCCTGCTCTTCGCCACTTGTATGCTATTGCTCGTACTAGCATTCTAGCAAGATGCAGCGGACATCCTTCACGCGCATTGACCCCAAGCGGCGCGCAGACGTCGACTTCAAGAAACGCCAATTCGCAAAGCCGACATGGAGAGAGCAAGAATACAAGCACAGGCTTAACTTCTACATCTTACCACCCACCGCAGAGATTACACTCGAGGAGTTTGAGGAGTGGGCAATCGCAAGACTAAAGGGTAAGCAACGCTGCCATTCTCTCACCGGCTTCACGCTTGAGGACCACCATGCCGCAATCAACGCGTAGTGTCACACTTCTACATACAATTGGCGGTTGGAACAGCTCTAACTCACATATCATGCAGTTCTCTCCGAGCTCGAATCATGCAGCTTCCGCAACCGCTCGCCCGAAGAGACCGCCTCGTATATGGCACCCATTCTGGAGAAGCACCTGCCGCTGCACAGCAACAGCAGCCGCAGCTCGCAGCTGGACGCCGAGCGTAAAAAGGATCACTACTCGCACTTCATCCTCCGCCTCGCCTTCTCCGCGACCGAGGATCTGCGTCGCCGCTTCTCGCGCCTGGAAACAATGCTTTTCCGCCTGCGTTGGCGCGAGGAGAACGTGAACGAAAGGCGTGAGTTCGTTGACAGCTTGGATATGGGCGGCCAGTGGGAGAAGGTTACTGAGGAGGAGAAGAGGGAGCTGGGCCAGGATCTGCTCAGCGCGACGGCGGGGGGCGGGTTCGGGAAGAGGACGGAAGAGGAGGGCTGGTTCAAGGTGGATTGGGAGAAGGTGCCGGAGCTGGTGGAACAGAGGAAGGTGCTCATCAGGAGAGGAGTCGCTTATGTTCCTGTGAGGGAGCAGGCGAGCTTGATTGTTGCTGAATACACGAGGAGGTTGGATGATGCGCTTGAGGTAAGTAATGCTTGTGCTGCACCCAATCAGGCGTTCACGATTTCTAAACACGATCTTGTTGAGTTGAGAACTGACATATATTGTAGCTGACCTCTCGCGCACTGCCCCGGCTGGACGAAGATGACCGCCTTTCCCCTATCCTCTCTCACCTTTCGAATAACTTCACCGCCCCGGATACCACGTATTCATCCGATACCTCCATCGACGGCCTCTCCGCTCCCACTGCCGCCTCCGTCGATGCGCTATCCAAGCACTTCCCCCTCTGCATGCAGCACCTGCACCGCACCCTCCGCCAAAACTCGCACCTCAAGCACTTCGGCCGCCTGCAATACACCCTCTTCCTGAAGGGCATCGGCCTCTCGCTCGAAGAATGTCTGATCTTCTGGCGGCGCAGCTTCAAGCTCATGACCGACGAGAAGTTCAACAAGGAGTACCGCTACAACGTTCGCCACGCCTACGGCGACGTTGGCGGCGACGCCAACCGCCGCGGCCGCGGCTACACGCCCTACTCCTGCCAGAAGCTCACCACCGAGCCCCTGCCCGGCCCCGGCCAGACGCACGGCTGCCCGTACCGGACTTTCGCACCGGAGAATCTGGTCTCGTTGCTCCAGCAGACGGGCGTCAATGACGGGCAGGTGCTGAGGGAGGTCAGGGACGATGTCAAGAGGCAGCGGTATCACATCGCGTGTAACCGCGTCTTCGAGTGGAAGCATAAGGGTGAGATTAAGAAGGTTAAGGAGGAGGGCACGTGGGGGGCCAGCGAGATGGATACGATTTTGCATCCGAACGAGTACTTCAAGAGGAGTTTTCTGCTGGGTCATCTGGGAGAGGATGGGGGCAGCGCGTTGAAAGAGGGGATTAGGTCGCAAGGTTGAGGACTGAGTAGTGTGATGGGAATTTTGTATTGGAAATGGTGTTTTATGGGCTGAGCTTGGATGCCACGGCGTTCTGGTACCGGATGAAGTGTATGGTCGGGTCAAGATTTTTAGGTGGTAATGCTATACGTCTCTCTCCATGCTGGTTCATGTTGAGTCTTCCTCACAAGACACCGGTTTCGAGTCACATGAAAGGCTTAGGGGATAGATCATGGGTCCTTCAACAATGACCCGTGCCCAGTGACGCATGGCTTTGCCTAGTCAGTTTCGGCCTTTGAAGCCAATGATTTTCTATCATATAAAGACGATCATAAAGCGCGTTTGAAGTGTCTCCGCCTTAACAATTGTCCTATGTAACAAGTTTAGCTGTTTTTCTTACTTACCATCTCAGAGAACTCGCCCTCTTGTCTTTGGCTGCCGCACCACCCATCAGTCTTGATTAAAGAAATTATGAACGGATTTCATAATATCTGTGATTATTCGTGGTCAGCTTCAGGACATAATAACGATGGAACTCATTAGTCATTAGTGATGATCATTACCAAAAGTCTTGTTTCATATGTCCGATAAATATGATGGAGATATTTACATGGCTGTTAGCAATTCTTTAAACTTTCAGACGAGTCCGATGACCGCTGGGTAGTGGAAATGATGAACTCGCGGTCGAGGATCGGGGTACCCATGGCTTCTTCATCAGTCATATGAGCTAACTCAAGAAGGCCAATTCTTACACGGTGAGGAGAGATTGAAGTAGAGGGCGAAATTTTTTTGAGCCCTCTCAATGATGATCGCAACAAGTGGTAGTGTGTACGACCGTAACATGTGCCTCCAGTATGGCAGCAGCAGGGCTGTGCTAACAGCTGATACATGAAGAGCAGCACGTGCAGTTTGCAGTAGCATTCGAGGCGCTGAGGCTTCGTTCTATTTAAGCCAGTGAAGTTCCCGACGAGCCTTTCCTGACTTGATGTCCACACTTCATTTGAGCATGCGGTTACGGCTTACCTCTTCAAGAGATGGACACAAAAACTGATACTTTCCCCTCCTCCTGGGGGTCTCCAGGTCAGCAGATGTTCTTCCAAGAACTTGTTCAGTCAAGCCGTCAAGTCGCTCAACCTCGAAGTTGTGTGGTGGCACGCACTATTATCTGGCTCTAATTTTCACCATTCTTTGCTTTCAATGCTGCTGGCTAAGTGGTTGAAGTTTGAGCAGCGTCTCCTCGGGTATTGGCAGGCTGACAGCTAAAGCTCCCAGACCAGCAAAGCAAGTATTTTGTTGGCCCATGGCATGGTACATTTCTCATCAAGCGCCTTTGAAATCAGTTTACAGAGTACGTTACTGAGAACCAAGGTGAAGTAGGTTATATATTGTGTACTTGAAATCTTGCGGCTCACGACACGCAGCTGATGTCATGGGAAAGGCGAGCTGCACAAAGAAGTGCTGCGGCTGCAACACAATGCCCATGACATTGAGTCAGACATTGTTGGTTGAGGTCAGAAGACACATGCTGTGGATAGTGTGTAAACGATTTGCGAAGAAGCGCATCTCTATCACCGTAGCTACTTAAGTGGCCTGTTTCAGAGCCAGCTTCCGCCTCCTTATTCCTTGATTTACAAGCTCTACTAGATGTGAGACACACGATTAAAGCACAACCAATACTCTGTTTGTGCCCCCCTCTTCGCGATTGAGGCATGGGGGATCTGAACGCTGAGCCGCTTGGCTCAGTGGAGGAAATCTCGGGCATTCGAGCACTCTCAATCGTATAAGTGCATCATTAATACTTAATGACGCATAGTTTCAGCTCACTGTGTCTCGCAATAGTTTTACCGTAGCATCAAAGATTATTAATTCATCATACTTTGAATATCGAAGAAACAATATGAAATTAATTTAGATGAACGAGGTGGTAAGGTAACTGAATGTCTGGCCCTGGTCTGCACTGCTTCGGATGAGTAAATAACCTCGTAAGCGATTCAGCGGAGGAGAGATGTAGATAAAAGGTAAAAGCAATAGGATTAGTTGAAACATCAACGCAATTACAATATGCAGATTAAATCTCAATGCGCATCAAGAATGTGACTTCCTTCTCGTCATCGTCTATGGAAATGGCAGTTCAGTGTTGAAGTTTTCTGACAGATAAAAGTGACGGGAGGATGTTGTGGATCTTCTTTTCTAAAACAAAAAACAAAACAGAGGGGAGAAAGAGGGAGAGCGAGTCGAAATGAACGTGGCACGGAGATAAAGTGAGAAGAAGCTTGGAGGTTGGTTCGCTCCGAGACCATTCTGCAGCTCTGATGCTTCTCTCAAGGAACAGTTGTTGAGCCTTTTTAAAATCTTATACTGCAACCGGGATTCTCTCTAAAACCGTTTTACGGCCATGTGAGACTCTATGTATACCGCCTACCTGCACAGGTCCGGAATTTTGAAACTTTCTTGATTAGAGAAGGTCAAATGGCCACACCAACTGGCTCTGTGCACGAGATTCGGCTTGACCAACTTCGATTATATCTTTCGATTCTCCACTAAGTTACTAATACATTTTCGGAAAACTTTATCAACTCCTTTTGAATGGCTGTGGGATAAAGATCAACTTGGAAGGTAGGGAAGCCAGCCAAGGTCAGTTTTTCCACCGTAGCGCATGCTGAAGATATTTGTAAGCTGATTTTCCGTTCAATTAATTGATCAACAGAACTCGTAAAGAATTTGCGGTTCCCTTGTCTTCTCAAAAGGGTAACTATCATCATCATCCAACTTACCACTCCATCATTGACTACTTACGAGCTTCTAGAGGCATGATTATACAAGAGAACCCACAGAGACAACACCCACCAAAAAAAAAAAAAAAACAGTGTAGCATTCGGGTTCTTCATGTAAGGCTGTCTTATCCCGCCTTAAGAGCCACACGCTGAGGAGACGCTTGACCTTGCCTTTATCGCTGGGGCGCCCACAGAGAGGCTATATATGGACCACCGCTCCATCTAGATAGCCCACCGCGTGCAAGCAAAGTGAGCACATCTTGTGACGCAAGTCTCATGTGCTGGAAAACACGTGGGAACAGCATCTACATATGCAGGGATATCGCACACGATTGACTCAAGCACAGCAGGTCACAAACACCGGAGACCCCCCGACCCAGATTTGCAGACAGCACCGCCCTTATATAGCCGGTCTGACTCTCGCGGCTTTTCAACCTCCAATGCTTTGCCTCTCCACTTCATGACTGAGGAAATACTACACAAATTTCACTGTTTCTTGGAGGCAAGCGAGATCGTACGCTGTCACAGTACTATTGCGTCGTTCACAATCTCTTGCTCACCTCCCTCTTGCCCATTGACGCCTCGAAGCCACCACAAGCACCGTTCTTGCCCAATACTGCCGATACAGCGCCACTGATACAGCGCACCATCATCTCATACAAACGATGAGCCGCACCATCGACATCCATCCGCCCATTGCAACCGAATGCCAGCATAAGTTACTGCATCTCACAGAAACGGCGAAAACAAGACGAAGTATAACTTCTTCAGTGCTTCTGTTCTTCCCCCACTGCCAAAGCAGCCCAGCTTACAACAGGAAAAAAAAAACACTCAGCCCTCCACAAGCCTTATATATAACCCGAGCCGAGCCCAGACCATCAGCGAGCCCTGCAGAAACATCAGCTGCTACTACTGCTGCTGCTGATGCACGCTGCATGCGGCGGCCGCTTCAGCGGGGAAGACATACATGCAGCTGCCAGCAGCCACAGCAGGCAGCATCAGCTGGTAAGATCTGACGCGCATATGGCGGCGGCCCGAGTGCCCGGGGGTGTGCAGCCAGCCAGCCAGCCACGCAGCTGCAAGGATAGTGACGCAAAAACGAATGGAGAGCCAACACATGGGGTAAGATGCACGACAGTACCGCACTCGGCCCCGGGCGTGCCCGTCGTGGCTTTTTTGCGGAGGCTTGCGGAAGGCTCCCCCGCAGCCATCCAATGCACATGTTCCAGAAATACGTCAAAGCACTCAGAATATTTTTCTTTGAATTGATCATGTACTATGAACCAAAGGTGGGTTCAAAAAAAAAAGAGAAGAGGCCTTGTCAAGATTTCCCGTTGACCTTGCCCAAACCTGCACGCCAGTGTATCCCATATATACACCGTGCTTGAAAGTCCAATGATGCTTCCGGGTATAATCCCCTGTCATAAAGAACGGCATCACCCCAATGCCTTTTATTCCCATAGTTCCGAGCTCCTGATCCATTCGGAGTCTCACCCATGCCAATGCTGGAAATGGAACAAACCGCCGCCTTCTTTCAAGATTGATTTTGCTTCCAACCCAGAAAACTGACTGCAAAGTTTTCTCCAACCATTGGGCTTCTTCCACAACATTGGAGGAAGCCGCTGTTCATCGAGAATGGGACGTTGTACGCTTTGCTTTCGTAGACATTCGTCATGAGGCCATCGGATGGAGAATTATGAGTCGAAACGAAGATAAGTTGAACCTGTACAATCCGGGGTATCCTGAAGAACCACGTCAGTTTCTGCACTACCCTTACTCCAGGAATATTCAAGAAGGTATGCTCACTTCGAAAACGCGCACACATTACGAGAAGAAGAAATGATGACTGGAAACCTCTCAATCACCAAAGATGAATGAGAAGATCAATGGCCAGTCAAACCGCTCTCGCTCGTAAGCGAGCTCGTAGGCGGACGGGTGCTGCATGGGGTAATGGCGTCCTTCTCGTCCGCGACCGCTCGCTCCTGGTGTGAATATGATCCGCCGTGCCTTTGCTCCGGCTGCGGGTCGCTTATGCTTGAGTTGGGCCTTGGCTTTGGCTGCGGCGCTCCATTCATCTCCAAATCAGCGTTCAAATACCTCTTCTTCTTCCTGGTGAATCCGGATGAAATTAAGTAGTGCACATCTGCAAATGCGTCCTTGGTCTGCGACCAAGATGTGCTAACGTAGATGGTGCAGTTCCAGAAACCCTGCAGGGGCAAGACGAAGGCGGCGACGACGTTGAGCGCGAAGTTAGGATTGTCGGGGTTGGCGAGCGCGTAGACGCGGTTCACGGTCGAAGGGATCCAGACAACGAAGAGTGCGACGAACATCAGGAAGGCCACCTTGGCGTAGCCCCAGGCGGCATCGCTGGCATGTCGATTACCCGAGCCGCCGCCGCCGCCCTTGCGGTTGGCATTGCCCGAGCTGGTAGGGCGTGGGCCCTCGAAGTCGAGAAGGAGCTCGGCAGGCATAGGAGCACCTGCGGAAACGGAGGTCGAGAAGACGTTCTTGGGGTCTCCCTTGCCGCCGGATACAGCATTCGAGTAAGGCCAGACAGCGCTGTTGGGTTCGTACTGGAAAGGCTGGTTATCGCTCGGCTCGGAGTTGTTGCGGTAAGTGCTTTGTCCAGCTGTCGTGCCGCTCAGCTTCCTTGTGCTTGAGAAAGAGCTACGCGCATCAGCCTCTATGTCACGGGGCCTCAGATGGTCCTCGGACTGAATGGCTTCGGAGGTGACGACAACCTCGGTAATGGCGGTGACAGCGTTGGCGGTAAAGGGGTTCTTGATCTGGGGGAATGATGCTGACTGATCATTGCTGCGTGAAAAGGCACGGAGGGCTTTGCGCTGCTTGAAGATGACTCTTCCCGTGTAGCCGTAGATGCCGATAGTCACGGCAATAACGACCCTAGAGTAGGTTCCTGTCAGCAAAAGCTTCAGAAAAGCGAATGGGAGAGGCGATGTTACCAGACTGGACCATAGAAGAATGCAATGCGCATCCATTCCCAATCTCTGCCTACCCAGCACCAGAGCTTCATTCAGTTAGACTAGTCTATGCATAGACACGTGGGCGACTTACGACAGCATCTCCATAGATTCCCATTTTGAGGGAAGACTGGTCCAAGGCAAGGTATATCAGGGCGGGGATGAAACAAATTCCGTAGCTAGCGATGAAGTATCGAAGCTCAAGGTTGCGCAAGTCGATGGCATTGTAATTCCTACACGCTTGTTCAGCCAATGTGAAACCAAGAATGTCTCAAGAGTGCCGCATCTTACTTGAAGAACGTAAGGTAAACGTTCAGGGCCATGCAAAAGGTCCAGAGGGAATCTGCAGGCATGAACCTTTGTAGGTGTTAGCATGTTCACATGTGAAACGAGATTGAAGGATTGTAGGTGAGGTCGAGGCATGGTGTGGGTAAGTGAGGGTAGTAGAGACGACTCACATCTGGATGAAGAAGCCTTGGAAGCGGCACAGAGACCAGGATGCGCCATGGCTGGGAATGCCGCTGACCGAGATGACGGTGGCGATGTTGGTCAGAATGTTACCGATCGACGCGTAAACGATGAGCCTGTTGATCGGCTTTCGGAATGTCGGGAAGAAGGCGAAGGTGAGCAGGATGAAGAGGCAGCTGACCAACGAGACGGCCGAGGTGGTGCGGGCCATGCTCTCGAGGACGAGCTCCTCGGTTGGAGTCATCCTGGCGGATGGTGAGAGCGATTGTCTGGTGTGCGCGATCAAGCGGTGGGCGAGGGCGGAGGGGCGCAGACAGGGTGGAGAGGAAGGAAAGGATAAGGTGGATATTCCGGCGCAGGGCTCCTCGCTTAATTAACCCTGGACAAAAGAGGCAGCGGCGCGGGGATGGTGATTAGGGTTGGCCAAAGTAAGCTGGAGGAAGGTGCGGCTGTGCGATTGCCGTATTGGTCTGCTGGCTCTCGGCGTTTAACCCGCCTTTGGCGTCCAACGACTGAGCTTCGAGGGTGGCGGAGGTCCCTTCTCCATGCGTGAGTGGAGATCTGGAATGTCCTTATCCCAGGGACCGGAGGGTGCACGGGTGTCTGCCGTGCTGGTGCCCCGTATACACTTGACTCGGTAGTCGAATTCGCGGCGGGATCGGATGCCGGATTACGAGATGCGGACCGTAGTGGATCTCCTGGTACGCCCTATGACAGGGATGGCCGCTGCGAACGAGTGTGTGTGCACTTGCAGATCAAATTAAGACGAAAGGAAAGCCGCGGACAAGGCAGAGGTTGATGCCTGACTTTCTGTTTGCTTGGACAAACGCGAGCAGGGCAGCACGGCGCGGGCCAGGGAGCTGGCAATCAAAAGGATAGTGTTGCGGTGACGAGCAGTAGGTCCTAGGGCGCAAGAGTGGAAGTGAGGGTTGGCCGTGGCACGTAGCACAAAGCACAAAAAGATGAGGTGACGGACGAGGCTGGTCGTGTCACGGAGAGTTTGGCTGCACGCCGGCAGGTCGGGCAGCACGCGGGCTTGCCTGTAAAGCGGACAAAAAGAAAGTAGAGGTTGAAAGGAGCCGCGACATGGCTCTGGCAGGGCAGACTATCGATTATTTTACACAGCGACCATCGTCTCCGCAGCGCTCGGGGTCCGGGGCAACTAGGCCCAGCCAGTCGGATGGCTCGCCTGCCGCCACCAGGGCTCGAAACGCTTGTCGGCAGAAGCGCAGGGCCTGGAGCAGGGCAACGGTGATGCGGCGTCAGCGCTGAATCGATGCGGCCGTGCGGCGAGCCTGACATTGATGAGCGGCGATCGACGCCCGGCAGCCTGCCGGCAAGGGGGCTCGGGGGCTCGAGCGATCGGGTCCTGCTATCAAGCATCCCTTGGCGAGTCGTGATGGCGAGGATCAGAGACGGCGTCAGGTGGTGGGAAACCGGCGGTCCGGGAGCGCACACAGGGGCCTGCCTGCAGCCTAACGCCCAACATCAGAGCTCATCTCAGTAGTCCAGCCTGGGTGCGTAAGCTCAGCGCAGCCACCGGCAGACGGGTGCTCGGTCAACTTTTCCTGCAAACGCTTGATGACACCAGTGACGCTCTCCCGCAGCGCTGCAAGCCTCCCAACGTCGCCGCCGCACGATCGTCAGGGCGCCGTTCCGCCAGAAAATCGCACTCTCTTGGTCCACCGTCGCACATGGGGCGTGAGGCCCGGTTCCAGCTGTGTATCTGACCGGGTAGCTTGCCACCCGCGGTCCCGGCGGAGGTATGTCCTGGTGCTATCGTTGCAACGGCGGCACCTTACTCGCGCGGTAGTCATGACTGAATATGGATGCTCGTGTCGCACTGACTCTTGCCAGGCACCGGTCCGGCTAGCCAGCTGCCCGGCGCCATGTTCATGTCCCGTACGAATGCTCTGACGCAAAGCGGCCTCGTGTGCTGCTGCGGATCAGCCTGCCTAGTGCTCACCATCATCCGGGCCGTTTGCTGTCGCCCTGCAGAGCTACGCCTATCAAATAACGGCCCCTGTGCAAGCGGCAATTGGCCAGCTGTGCCGCAGAGTGGAACACGGCGGTCAGCTGCAGCAGCCACTGCTCAGCCTTATTGCGCGCAGCTTAGCCGGCGTTTGTTCTTCCCGGTAAGCGACGTTTTCTTCATGAAACCAGTTGTGTGAGGAGAGCACAGATGGGCAGTGGTCCACTGACTCGGGATCGCTTTCTTCCCCTATCACCTCCCCCGCACTGGGACCCACTGCCCGGGTACCCCGCGAATTGCCTTCCGCTCGTTCCTTCTTTTGGCTACCCGCTCCGACACTTTTGTAATTCCTCCACCACCCACTCCCAGAAACACTCTCGCCCTTGTCTTTCTCGGAAACGCGCACGCCCATCCTCATCCCTACGTGTCTGATGCAACCACGATCGACGCCCTGCGCTGACCGATTGGAACCGTTCGACCTGCGCCTTGGGGCCGCAAAATCGCTCGCGCTGTCCTCCATCTTCGGCTGAACTTTTGTGGGTATCTGCTCGGCCCTTTCTCTACACCTTTTCCGGTGTCTCTGGTCAGCTATCGGCTTCAGCTACCCTTTACAGACCTGGCTGAAACCCTCGAACGATTTGCGCCATTGGAAACCATCGGTCCGTTTTATCCAGAGTCAGGCGGCATCTTGACCGACAGCCTCGTTTCCACGTGCGTCGCCATGCTCTGACGCGGTCCGCTCCATGCGAGCCCCTGGACCACGCCATGCTTAACTTCAATAGACATCAACCTTAGCTGTCATTGATCCTTCACAGCAGCCCTCATGCTGCTTCTTGCATGGAGCCTTCCATGTTCCCACGTGGTTGGCTACGCCCCACCCGCCGCCTACCCACGTTACCACTGTTCTTGTTCGGCATTGCCTCCGTTCGTTTCTATTGAACTGCAGAAAATTCAAGATGCGACGGTCGGCTTTCCACAACCTGCCCCATGTCCGCGTCTGAGCAGCAATACGCAAGCCTCCAAATTGTCCTGTTGCAAGATGCGCACACGCGCAGCCCCTTCTCGGCACTGTTTCCTCATCCGTCACTCACCCTCAGCACCCTATCTGAACCATCCCCTCTCTCAACCCCTTCGCCCTCTCAAGCCCCCTTCTGAACATATATCGGAGCGGGGGTAGCTGCACCGCGCTCTGCTCGGAGCGTCTTCGAACCCCGCCATTCGCCTGATCCTCACAGGCTTCTTGTTGAGCATGCGCAACCGGCACATTGCCTGCAGCTGACCATTAACCTCGGCAGATTTCTGTGGTGGTGTGATATTTGCCAGGTAGCAGTCGCTTCAGGATGGATCGATCTGGATCGTCGACGCTGTCGCATGTGTTCGTCCGGGGTGTTGGGGAATTGAAGAAAATGGACGGAAATCCGGTTGGTTCCGGATGGGATCGCATTCCTTGCACCCTGGCCGTTTACCCCTCCAAGATGCATAGGCGAAATTCCGTTTCTGAATCGCTCACCAAGGAGAGCTGGTGATTGGGCGGCGGGGAATTACGACGGTGCATGGGTGGCGATCCTTCTCGCTGTTGTTATCATGCGTCGAGTGAACTGCACGTTCACCTCTTGCGCAATCTAGCCCGTGTTGTAGATCTCTACAGTGTCTCATGCCATTCACGAATGACTAGGCATTGTGCTGTTATATACGCCCCGGCCGCCTATTAACACAGGGACATGGACAATGTCTGGATGCATTCGTAATCCACATCCACGTCCGGATAAGAGATTCCACTACTCATGTAAACGCCCAGAGTAAGCAAACCTCCACTGAGCAATCTCTCTACTCTATCATACCCTTCACAGCCCCTGCGCAATAGACTTTGGAATATAGTGCCCTTTCCTTATGAAGATGCTCAGCCGCCAGCTCGCTTCGGAATATACGATATGGATGGCGCATATGGCGTTTTGGGGGCTCAAACGAGTCAGAAAGGAGATGCCAGCGAATTTCATCGCTCGATGAAGCATGTTTGCAGTTGATGCTCTGCGCCATTTTGTATCCTTTTTGCGGAGATCAATGTGCTGAGGGGTTTTTCGAGATAGGGGAGATTTGCAGGGATGGTGTTGTGCTGATTCAGAACACAGACTGACCTATATGATTCACTTGTATAGGCCATAGTATTAAGAAGCGTAAAGTCTCGTCCATGACGGATGGAATCATGTGAGTCTTTTTTCCACACTTTCTCGACGACAGGCAGGTATCTGACGCTGAGATTTCTCTGGAAAAAGATATCTACAGCTGATTTCCATTGTCCCATGAATGTTGCCGAGCTTTTCGTAGTGAGTGAACCTCAACCGTTCTCCAATGAGTACCATCACCATTTTAGAATAATAATGGCACGAAGTAATCTGCGCATCATAAGTAAAAGGATCAAGAGATGGCAGAACTCAGCCCCTAGAAAGCGGAGGCACAGTGCATGTTGTTTTGACTCTTTGGAATAGTAGCTCAGAAATTCTATGAGCGATGTCCGAAGGAACCACACTCTGGAAGCTCACAAGAAATATACTAGGTCTGGGCGATGGTTGCAGCTGACATCTCGCTAAATCTTTCTGCCCGCATAACTATATCCGAGATATATTCGAATATTCAACACGTGGGTTAGAACAGACACGTTTATAACATAGTATAATATATGGATAAGTAGATATTATACGGTGGCAAAAACGAAGTCCAACTTAGATCATATTAAAAATACTCAACCAGCACTTGCTAAGATGCAAGAAACTCTTAGACCGTACGGGTTAAATTTCCCATGAATTTTTTACTTCTTTTATCTTTATTGATAGGTTAGAGCTTATTTGCCACTAAAGTAAGAAACTAAGCATATATTTGATTTTCGTTAAAGTTCTGTGGGGCTGTAAAAAGTTTAGATTGAAGTAAGAATGGGTGGGAAAAGTTTGATTCTATCCTAGTGAGTGGCGATCGGATATCTCCGATTCGATATGAGTTAGATCTAGAGTTCACTGCTAATCTACATTGAAGATTCTACTGAGATTCTTCACAGAGGAGTCAGACTCGGTTATTCTGGTCAATGAGAATGTGTGGCACAATCATGCTGATCAAAGAGAGATCAAATTATTTTTTTTCCCTACACAATACTGCTGACTGCAGTCACTGAGGCTCTGGTATCAACCGTAATCCGAAAGAGACCTCGCTCTACACTTCCTATAGAAGTGAAATAGATATAGTACCAAGTTTTGGCACTACCCAGACCGGAAAGAAACAATAGAAAACCACAATCCAGTACACCAAGCCGTTTTCACCCCCGATCTCCACCAATACAAGCCCAAAGCGCCAAGAAGGCAAAGATGATAGCAAGTCTCCGCTCCGCGCATTTATCAAGCTGCAAGCTCAACCAACTTTCAAGTTCCCATATCCGCAAACCTTTCCGCCAACCTCCACGAATGTAGCAGGGACGAGAGTCTACTCCAACGGCCACCTCCGACGGATGTTCAGCGGGCGAGGCATGAGCTCCTCCACCTCAGACTCGGAGCCACTTCCAGACACGTAGCCAGACGCAGGCAACTCCGGCAGCACCAACCGCTCCTCCTCCTGCTCCTGCGGGGCCGCTGCCGGCGGCGGCAACGGGACGAGGTCATGGTACGCCGGCAGCTCTCCCTGGCGCGGCATCTCCTCCTCGGGACCGATGATAAGCTGGATCTCGTGCTGGTGCCTGACGCCGCAGTCGTTGCACTCGCGCGTGAACGACACGCGCCTGACCAGCCTCTCTCCCTGGCCCACATCCCGCAGGTCCTCGATGGCAAAGTACTCGCGGTGGACGTGGCGCCAGGTCGCGGCGCGCGGGTTCTCCGCGTCGCGGTACGCCTCCAGCCTCTGCCCATCGACACGGAAGCCCTCACCCAGCAGCCTCTTGCCCGGAAGCCTCGTCTTCAGCAGCGCGCGGCAGCGCAGCTCGAAGTTGTCCTTGGAGCCGAGGCGCACGAAGGTCGCGGCGGCGGCCTCCTGCATGTCGCGGCGGGCGACCTCGACGGCGTCGGCGGGCATGGCGAAGCCGGTCGTCGTGCAGCGGGGCGGGGCGGGGTGCCAGAGGACGGCGAGCAGGCTCTGGTCGTTGATGAGGCGCGCGGCGAAGGCGGCGAAGGCGCCGGCGCGGGCGAGCTTGGTGCGCACGCGGCTGAAGCGGTTGAGGCGCGAGAAGTCCTTGAGCGTGGCTTCGAGCTGCTCGATGGCGTCGAGCGGGACGCGCGCGCGCTGGAGCAGGTTGCGGAACTTTGAGGCGTCGCGGAAGCCCTGGCGTTGGGTGCGGTTGGCCGTCGATGTTGCGGCGGCGCTGGGGAGGTTGGTGAGTGGGTTGTACTGGCGCAGCGCGGAGCCGGTGGCCATCCAGCGGGAGGCTTGAGCCGGCATGGTGCGGCCGAGGGGCTCGTAGGGCGACGCGGTGGTGGTTGAGAGGAATCGCGCGTTGCTGTTGTAGGGCTGGTTCTTGGGGTGGAGAAGTGGGCCGTGTTCGAGTGGCTTCGGGGAGTACTCGTTGCGCATGTATGCGAGCGCGAATTCCTTGATGTCTTCCATGGTCAGATCCTCATAGTTCGGAACGTCACGGTTGTTCTGGGCAGCATGGCGAGTCCGATCGACAGGACGTAAGATAGGACCGAAATCAAAAAGCGTCGGCATGGTGGTTGGATGACGTTGCGGCGCTTCTTCAGGCGACTATCAAGGAGGAGGCAAGAAGAAGAGGCAGCTCGTGGCTGTCAAAGTTCTCGATGGAGCCCGTCGGATCAACCCAGGGTGGAAGATCAGGCTCTGGATTTGCAGGTGTCGGAGAAGTGGAGGAGAAGCAAGTGGAGGAAGAGTTTATGAAGGCGCTGGAAGCTGTAGCACTCCATCTTGCTGTTCAGTCAGTGACTGTAACAATCACAGGATTGAGTGTTTGGGTTGAAGTGTTATTGCGAGATGTTGACTGCAGAGAAATGAGGTTTGTATAGGAACAAACCACCTCGAACAAGAACTTGATAGGAACTAACGACAACTTGAAGTAGACTAAGCAGCTGTAGAAGCTGCTTCATTGAGAAACTAAAAGAAGCAGCACAGCATGAAACTGGATCAGTAAAGGAAAACTCTGAGGCTGAAGATGAGAGACTCTGGGCAGAACGGCTTGCGAGGTCGGCCTGCTTAGTCACACAACAATGGTTGGACAGGCAGTTGAAGTGTTAATTCGCATATGAATGCACGTGTACGTGAACAAAGGCATTCAGAAAATAGCTTTAACCACCTAGACTGTTGCCATACTATGCGGGCCGACCTCACATGCTTACCTTCACCGACATAGTTGCTTCAACCACTTCAAGGCCAGGAATCGCGAGTAGTATCAATTCAAGTCACCGTGTACCTTAGTCATTTTCGGTATCGAGCTTTCGAGGACCCGGGCCAAAGGAGCGCCGTCTAGTGTTAGCGCACGGTCCGGCCATGCTACAGCCATGATCCTTCGACGTTGTACAGGGAACGATCACCACAGATCACAAAGGAGCTCGTTCATGCCGGTGAAGGCGCGCCCAAAAGAAAGGCGGTCAAAGTTCCAGAAACTGGATGACGTTTCCGATCCCATTTCACTTAGGCTACTTCGTGGAGCGAGAATGACGTTGGATCTCCAGATCTCATCAGGCCCCGATTTCATATCGTAAGCGATAACTACAATGGAATATGCCAGCTGAAGGCCCATGTACGGAACGCCTTACGTGTCATGAATGTAGGGCTGCTGGACAGTCGGATGAAGCCAGCATTAGCGAAGAAGACCTGAGTAGGAATACGAAGTGCCTGATCTCGAGTTGTGTGCTGTGCTTCTTGGAAACCGTTGAAGGTGCATCGTTACACGAGAAAAAAAAATTGGTGGTGCTCGTACGTTAAGGACACTAGCCAATGACGTAGTTGAAGATAAGCATCAACAACCTAGTCGTAGCCACAGGTGTCGTGCTTTCAGATTTCAAGCAAAATCTCAACTGTAAAGCTATCCAACCATGTGGTTTAAACAAAGGAAAAAAGAAAAAAGAACTTATTTAGTGAAGGCGTGAATCCTTAGGCTTAGAGGTTTTTTTGAGAGTGCTGCCGTAAAGCTCACGTCACTTCAGACCGGTAGTTAGTGTGATGCACGAGCTTATGCCGGCGCCTTGGCAGCGCATCTCCTCCAAATAGCTGACTAGAACAACTCGGGCTTCAGACAATCACAGTATCCATATACTTTTTTCTGCCTAGAAGAGACACCGGTAAGAACCACGCGCACTGCCGAAAATGGTATTGCAGACGGTGAGGAAATGGGTGCTGCCACTCACAAAACCCATGTGATGCAACAAGCGGAAAGTAAGTGATTCCTGCGCAGTGAGTGGAATAAGGTGCGATTTGCAGGCATTGAATTCTGAATCAGCCGGTTGGGCACCGGCAGCTTGGCATGGGACGGGTGATGGGGATGGGAGACATGTCCCATGTGGCGGGCTGATTGCGGTGGCGATGCAAGTGCAGGAGTACTTCAATCGATTTCACAAAGCGGGGACCAAGACCTCCCTGGGCACATCAGACACAGTAGGTTATGCAAGCGTGGCAAGCTTCGATGACAGGGAAGCTTCGAGGACCCGAGCCATCGGGGCCGGATGACGCTTCGAAGACGGACGGAAGCCAGGGATGTTGCAAGGACAGCGGAGAGACCCATGATGGAGGCGAGGTCGCGCGGGCGAACTACTTTATTTCGACAGCGGTACGGATGGAACCAGTGGCGCGGGTATGAGTTTGGGCGCGGGAACTGCGGGAATAGCGGCATGGGCCACGGAGGGCGAGGATTCACAGCGGGGAGAGGGAAGGGCCGAAATTGCAGCGCGGGGGCAAATCTGCACGCGGTGTTGAGGGTTGATGCGGGGCGGTGAGGTATACTGGATGGATGGGAGGCACAGGGGAAGGAGGGCGGCAGGCCGGCAGGCAGAAGAGAGGGGCATGGGCATGGGGCTCCACATGATCGGCCACGGCTTGGCGCGGGCGTGGAAGAAGGCTTTTCGAGCGTTGGTTTTTGAATCGCCTCGGCGGCTACAGGCAGCGGGAGGATCGTCTAGCGAGTCGACTCGACCGATCAGCTGAAAATCGGGCGCGGTAAGGTTCTCGAAGCCTGCCTGCTTGGGTTGGGGCAATGACGCGCCCAATGACGTGCGAGGCCTTTTGGCTTTGAGAAACACGGCGGATGGGTGGGAGGCAGATCAGCGCGTGAGCGGCCAGGCTGGCTGCAGCGTTGCGTAAGCCGCGACCTCGCGCTGACGGGCAGCGGGTACTCGAAGGCTGGTGGCCGGTATGGACGATCAAGCGGGCGATCCACGCTGAGTGAGTTGGCAGCAGCATCACTTGATCCACCGCTGCACGCACTCGGCAACGGGTGGGCGTGTCTCTGCTGGCGCCCGGGGCCCTACGGCGCGGCGCCACTCGCAGCGGCCTTCTCGAAGCGTGGGTGGAAGGCTTCCAGGCGTCGAGTCCTGAGCTGCCTCTTCGATCTCCACGCTCCAGGCCTCCGACGGCGCGCGGCCCTTGGCCGGTGACAAGCGCTTGGCCCTCACCCCCCCCCGCTGTCTTGCAGAGCTCGCCGCACCCAGCATTCCGCCCTTTGTCTGCCATTCCTGCGCCTCCGAGACAACCGCCGCGCTGCTCTTATCCCTGCCCGCAGCGCCCGCCGGCTGCAGCGCCCGAGCGAGCGAGCTGCTGTCGTGCGCCCGAAGTGCAGCCCGCATTGGCCGTTGGCCGGCCAGTGTCGCCGCAGTACAGCAAAGAGCCGTTTCAGGCGCACCTTCCCTCTCTCCATCCGCCGACTGGCATTTTGCCTGCAGCCGCATTGCAATCCCTGGTTCGCAGCGGCCGCCTCGGCCCACTGACTCGCCGCTCGATCAGCTCTTGACTTTTCCTGCGAGCCCACTCCGAGCCCGTCTCCACTACGGCACCTGCGCCAGACCAGCGAAGCTGCACCGACGGCGCCACGCAGGCCCAAGCCATCACCTAGCCAGCGACACGTCCCTCAACGGCCGCCCGTGAGCTTCGCCTTCGCTGCGCGCGCGCCGACAACCCCCAAAGCCCGCTGCCCGGCAGACGTGTCCATTGCGCTCGAACCACAACGCATACGGAGCTCGAGACGGATCCGAACGCACTCCGCGACGCGCCCAGCCCCAGCGCACCTCTCCCCGTGCCTGCCCTCCCAGTCCCACTGCGACAACACAACCAACCCACCACCCATTGATTTGGCGTTTTGCAGTCGCCAACCGGAGCCCTCCCGATCGTGCGGGGGGCCATAATCGCACCGGAAGGACCATCGCGCGCGCGGAGGGAGACACGCGACGATGGATCATGGAGCGTGCAGCGTCATCTACCTGGACCGGCGGGCGCACCCCGAGCGTCTGCGGAGAGACAATGTGCTGGCAAGCCTGAACCTCCGGGATGCCCGCGGCCAGGTCTCGTCGCCCGGCTACTTCAACTTCGCCCGCTCCGCCAGCACCCACGAGGTCCTGGCCAACGTCGAGACGTTGCTGTCCATCTTCCACGAGAGTACGTGCACCCCAGTCCCTAGCTGCGCCGCAGCCCCAATGCTAACCCGCCCCAAGTCGACATCCAACGCTCCGGTTCCGCCGCCCTCGACCGCATCTGGCACCTCTACAACGCCTCGAGCCTCGATAACGCGCCCATCATAGTGCTGATCGACCTGCCTTATGACGAGGAACGTCGCATGAAGCGCCTGTCGCGCGAGCCGCGGACCCCTTCGCCCACAGCCTCGCGCACTCCTGGCCAGGACCTGCCCGAGCCCGAAGACCTGTATGGCATGCACCTCCTCAGACACATCTCCGCCGAGATACAAGATCGGAGATTACCCAAGCTCGTCATCCCCGTCGTCCTGTTGAGCGGCCTGGACCGTGAAATGGCATCCGATACCACCTCGCCTGGCGCCAGCGGGTCACGGGTTTTGACTGACACCGTGCGCCTGACCCGCTATCTGGATGCTGGTGCCGTCGACGTGCTGGCCAGCCCGCTATCAAAGGACCACATCCACGGCCTGGCCGTACACGCTTACCGGATAAACAAGGAAGTCATGCGGGAGAAGTCGAGTTTTCTTGCCCAGTCCAAGGGCCGCAAGGTCTCCTGGGTCGGCGTGAACGAAGCGAAGCCCTTCTCGTATCTGCGAGAGGCCATGGTCTCTAATTTAATGGGCAACATCTGCTGTCCCGATACGGCACGAGACACCATAGATCCTAAGTAAGACGTCCGACCCCCGCGAATTGGCCTGCATCTGCTAACCCTCCCCGCCAGCGACATCGAGGTCAGTCCCGAACGCCGGGAGAAGATTGCCCGCGCCGTGGGCACCTGGGGTTTCTCTGCGCACGACTGGAATGATGACGAATTATTATTTGGATCGCTGGTAATGATTAAGCACGCATTAAGCATGCCCGAAGTGGAGCGCTGGCGCATGCGCGAAGGTTCGTTATATGTTTCAGAACTTATGCGGAGGTTGCTAATATTAAGTCAGATGAACTGTTGATCTTCCTGCAAGCGAGCCGAAGCGCTTACAACGAGTTCGTCCTCTACCACAATTTCCGTCACGTCGTGGACGTGCTCCAAGCTCTGTTCTATTTTCTCCTGCGGATCGGCGCACTGCCCGCGTACTCCTCGGACCCCTCACATGCTCCTGTCGAGCAGCCTCCGATCGCCTCCCTGCTCAAGCCCTTTGACGCTCTGACCTTACTCATCTCCGCAATAGGACATGATGTTGGTCACCCGGGTGTCAATAACGCCTTCCTGGTGGCGCTTAACGCACCGCTGGCTCAGCTGTACAATGACCGCTCCGTGCTGGAGTCGTTCCACTGCGCTGCGTACTCGCAGATTCTCCGCAGATACTGGCCCGCGGCCTTTGAAGATGTTGCTATGCGCAAGCTGATGATCAACTCGATCCTTGCAACTGACATGGGTCTCCACTTCAAGTATATGGCTGATTTGGGGAACTTGCAGGAGAAGCTGGCTCACAATAATGGTGGCATTGACGGGTGGAGCCCGAAAGTCCTGGAAGAGTATAGGGATTTGATATGTGGCCTGCTTATCAAGTGTGCAGACATTAGCAATGTGGTATGTCTGCTCACGAGTGTCACTGCCTTTTTGAAGCAGCCCGTGCAATGACTTCGAGTACTGCCCATGCTTGTTGTTGATTACTAACTGCGGTTGTCCTTAGGCACGGAATTTCAACACCGCAGTCCAGTGGGCGGCCATTCTCACGGACGAGTTCAGCAATCAAGGGCAAATGGAGCAGGAGCTGTCACTGCCGACATGTCTCTTCGGCGGGCCGCCCGTTCGTGATGACATCATCAAATTGGGCGAATCCCAGATTGGCTTCATGAACATCTTTGCCCGACCGCTCTTTGAGTCTGTCGCCGACATTCTACCCAACATGCGCTTCAGCGTAATTGAAATTATCGAAAATAAGGTTATATGGCAGAAAAAGATTGAGGAAGCTAAAGAACGGCTCCTCCCGCAAATAGACGGCGGGGTGGAAGGGGCCGGCACATCGATTCTTGATCAAGCTCGGAGTCCCTTGTCGACCAGTCGCGTGGACGTGTCAGATCCCAGGCCAACAGTGCCCGAACGCACCGAGTCAACCTCGAGTTCGCTGAGAGCTCCGAAGCAGAAGCCGACCTTCCCGCCTCCGCTTAACCTGTCCGACGCGCCAAGGCGTGCGTCTCCGGCTTTCAAAGCAGCGACCGAGCCTCGTCGCTCATCGGTCGCAGCACTGCCAATTCCTCGCCATTTGATCGAAGGTCAAGGGAACAGGAATCCAAACTCGCGTCGCGGCAGCGCCGATGCAAGCCTGACAACCATCCTGGTAACACAGAACCCGACCAAACCCTCCGAAAAAATGAAAAAGAAGGGCCTGCGCTTACGCTCGCAGTCGCCTGGCAAACGCCGCAACAGCCGTCAAGGACTCGGATTCTTCCGCCACAAAGCCCAACCTTCAACGAGATCAGACTCTCCTGTACGTCCTTCTTCCTCGTCCGCACCGCCCGTGCCTTCCTTACCTCCGGTGTCGAATGACTCGACGGCGCATGACCGGCCACCCGCCAGTTCACTTCAAACTGATTTTGTCATCCAGCCCCGTGTCCCTGGAAGCCCTTGTTTCCCACCGGCAAATGGCGCAATTCACTCCAACAAGAACCTGCAACCACCCCAGTCCGGGGCTCACAGCCCTGTCAGTCCCATCTCGGTGGACTCGGACTATGAGATTCCGCCTCACATGACCGCCCCTCCACCGGTGTCACCGAAACCCAACTCGGCCGACGGCCAGCAAGGTGGGGACGAAGCGCCTCCCTTGCCACGCTGGAAGGCAGCAGGGTCGGCTTTCAAGGCCCGGCACTCCCGAAAAGGTTCACTCACTCCGTCCCTGACTGGTTTCGAGGTCCAGCCCCCGGAAACCAGCAGCAGTGCGGACAAGAGCGCACACACGATGAGCGAGTCGCCAACGCTCCATACGCTGGAAGGTGTTGGAGAGGGCACAAGTGGTAGACCTAAGAGCAGAGGTGGCGTCTTTGGCAGGTTTTGGCGGAGGAAGATCAGAGGCGACAAGTCATCTTCTGGAGATCTTCAGCAGGACAAGGACTTGGCCGTGCAAACGCAGGGTTTCCAGTACCCTCCGCCCCCGAAAACACCTGTCAGCTCAGGAGCCGCTGGTCCTCGCCGTGGAAGCATGCCCCTTCTACCCGGCTCGTACCCAAATACACCTCCACACCACCATCAGTCACGGGACAGGTAGTGTGTTGTTCGGTTATCTGAATGGGAAGCAGAAAGGAGACTTAAAAAGAAAAAAGAAATTGGCATTTGTTTGCATGGGACTTCTCTCATATTCTCTTCCGAATGGGAGGATGGGCCGCTATCTCCCGCCTTCTTCAAAGTCGCTCTCACACCCCGACCGTCATTCCAATCCTCTCTCACCGCATATCAGGCGGGCGGCACCCACCCACTTCGTCCATTACATTGTTTCGGCGACGTTCGACAGGAGCTGGAGCACCCTACCTAATACAGCACTACGAGAGGACGACTTTCAGGTATGGAAGCGATACGAACCACGAAAAGACACGAAGACGTACATCACAATCCATTAATCAGCAACGGGTATGGATCGGCGCTGAGGATTCCACTTTCCAATATTGGAGACAACTCAACACGCCGATGCACTAGCACCTCCGCTGCAGCTTTTTCAGTTTCAACCTCTTGTTTGTCCTGACCGGGACCGGCGCATACGTGGCGTTTCTTGGGGCGAATTTTTGTCTCGGTTGAAAACGGCGACTGTTGCTTTTTGCTTGGCGGTGCGGGCCGTGCCGATGGCGCAAAAACCGAACCCCTTATTCCTTCCCCTACCCTTTCACCGATTACTTCTGACAACGGCGCCTGACACCGCCTTCGGTCTCGCCTCCGGCGAATCGCTCGATGCGAAGAGTCAACCTTTCCTTATCTCGCTCCGTTGCCTGGACACGGAAAGGATCGGCTCCAACATTACCCGATCGGCAAGTTCGCAAGTCAATCGTCATTGCACCCGAGCTTCTTTCGCCCGTTTGAGCTCGAAGCGGTATTTCGCGTCTCACTTCCTATAGTGACGCTCCTTTGATCGACTCTCCTTATTTCCGGTGAGGTTTTTACCAATTCGGTTGCCATCGGGCGCCCAATCTGACCTGCAGCGTCGTTTCCATTACCACTTTCTTCTTCACGTAACCGCGCTATAAAAAGCGCATAGGGAAAATTGGGTGGGTACATGGATATGAGCATGTTGTAGACATTCTTGCGGCCTTCTATGCGTTTGTTTAATTTCCGGGGGTTCTGTTGCAGCGGGAGCAGAGGATAGTGAGTGTGTCACCTCTTACCCTGCTCGTTTCCTTGCTCTCGGCCTCGAAGCCTGTTTTGCTCGGATGACACCTCGAAGGGATGGTCTGTAGCATTCCAGAGTCTTTGTTCCTTGTTCCTCTTTTTATCATATCGCGCTCAGTTGTTCTATCGTGGGCGTGGGCCGGAGCGGGCTTCATAGATACCATTGCGCGTAGGGTATATTTCCTTCCGTCTTCTCCTTCCCTCTCCCCTCTGGCTGGCTGCCAAAACATTGTTTCTCTGTTTTTCCTTGTTTCTGCCGTCTGTTCTCGAACTTTTCCTCATGAGACACAGATATGGTTGCCTGTTTAGTACATTTCTTTTCTTGAGTGTTTTGACTGCTCGCCTGTTGCACTTGCGAGCGCCACAATGCGAGAGAAAAGCAAGCCTGATGGAGTGATTGATGGAATGCAAAAAGAAGAGATGGGGAGAAATATGTTGCCTACTGACCGTCGCATGCTTGGCCTTGTGTTGTTGTTGTTTTTCCTCTTTTCATAAAGCTCTACTGCTCCGGTGATTCTTTTCTTGCGTTGTTGTTCATGTACGAGATCTCCATCTCCTCCCTCTCCTGTGCTCGTCCGCACGACGCGCACGCGCGCGTTGAGCGTTTGTCTGCTTTTCTTGATGGGTGAATGAAAAAAACATGCGTAGACCGCGTTATTGTCCTTGTGTTGTCATCATTGCTACTCTTTTTTTCATTGCGTTGTTTCTCATTGTTTTTTTTTTTTCCTTTTTGCCCTATCTCTCCCTCACTCTCTTGCCTTCTGTGCAAGGAGAATAGCTGAGCGAATGATGTAAGGGACCTGTCCGATCTGTGCTTTTTTTCCTTGTCTTGTGTTCTTTCCATTACTGTAAGTGGACTAGTGAATCGCGGGAGCTTCGGGGGCATAAAAACAGCAGCTGGTACAGAAAGTTGAAGCTATCATAACACTGTGATTTTTCCTTGTTCCTTGTTGACTCAATATTGCTGGTGGGAGAGGAAAGAGAGAGAAACATAAAAAAAAATGAAAAGAGGTTTACACTTTTTCCTCATGTTTATCGTGGATGTGGTATGCGATGTATGTGTGTGTGTAATGAATGGTTGCTTTTGGTTGATGTGTGTACCCCCTGCGCGGGGACCATCTTGATTATATTAGCTTAGTGTTTTGCATGTGCATTTTGTTTCTTTTCGATATAGTAATGGGATCCTTTCCAATCCGTTTACCTTTGACCACTTCTATAGTGCTGTTGTGGCGCGGCGATGTTCATGCATAGCGTGGGAAACCTGTGCTTCGGAATTATCCATTGCATAACACGAAGCTAGCTTGCATAAATTCACGTGCTGAGTAAAAGAAGACGGTCTATTGGTGAAGAAGTACTCTTTGTGATTTCCATCCCCCTCCTTTTTACTTTTGTTTTTTGTTGAGCCGTAAGGGCGTATTGAGTACACCGAGACACAAGCATTATGAGCCGTTGGCGCTGCATAGATTTTCCAAATTTATATTTCATCTAAACAGACTGCTATCCAGGGGACTTTGATCATGACTTTACTATAATATCTTCATGAGTCCAAACTATGGGAATGGCAAAAGAATAAAGAAATCAACGTGTCCATTCGGATTGGGAAAATTTTAGCGGAGTCTGACGGCAAGTCTGTCCTGGGTCAAACTTCCAAGGCCCACACCTCCCCTTACTTAAATATGGCGGGGTAATGGGCCGTTCAAATATTCGCTACCAAAGAATACTTGGATCCCGCTTTGTTTCTCTTCATTTATAAGCACGTTCCTATGAGCGTTGTGGCCATGTCTGACATGGTTGCTCACTTCTCTGCCCCTTGGGAGGCTTCACGGTGCTCATAAGCAGTGTTTGCACGAGCAAGCAAGGCTTTATGGCATAACATGCAGCTCCAATGGTTCGGTAGTCTTCCCTTGCTACAAGTTGAGCAAGGGGAAATGGGAGGTAATGATTCTGAAAATGATGAGCGGCAGGAGGCCTACCGTTGGGATGGGTTAAGTCACATTTGCAGACTTAGTTTCAACCCGTTAAGAGAATACCGAGAAACACGTAAAACTAGCTTTATCATGTCTATAGTTGTAGTAGCATGTCTGCATGGTAGTAGAAGTGATCTGGTGCGAAATTGCTAGATTGAGCGGGTTTGGCCGAAGTGAAGGGGCTACAGTTGAGGCTTATCACATTGGTTCCCCTCCAAGAACGGTTCCTATATTGGCACCAAAAGTAAGAAGATACATCAGTCACGGCGGCCGGATGAGAAGGCGTGTATAGAGAGATGCAAACATGACTCTCAGTTCTCCAGCTATAGCTATTTCAGCATTACGGTGAGTCACCGTGGCCTTTTCACATGCCCATAGAGTTTCAGAACGTGGGAGAACACATTAAACAATTTGCAATCACGTCAAGTCACGGTTTTATATTGGCTATGTACGAAGTAGTGCCCTACCCAACAAGGCGAAAATTGCGATTTCCGAAATTCAATATGGCACGAAGACGTTGAATGGCATAGTTGGCTCGGTACCAACCCATGATGCCAATCCTAATGCCGCAGAATAGCCCGTTTGATTCCGCTAGCATGCGGCCGCCAACATGTGCGACGTCTTATTTTGAGTAAAGTGGAAAGCGCTAAAGTAAAGCGACCATCGGTCGCTTGGCCATCCACAGTGCTCAGAGACCTTGAACGAACAACCGTCAGGCTATTGATCACGTTCCTGATGCATCTGAACTTATCACCCCGTACTGGCTGAGTGAAGATTGATCCATGATGGATCCAGTTAATAATGTGATGGGGGCATTTACCGTTTTTGATAAGAATGCCGACTTGACATCCAGAAATACAGGCAATTCTTTCAGCATGCACATGTATGCCTCTTGCTGATTGCCGTCGGATTAAGCTAGTGGTCATTTCTGAAAGAGTTTTTCTTTACAATCCTTTTGGGTGGAAAGAAGCATTCTCTGTCTCGCATCTCAATATCATGATTCTCAGTGAGCGAAAGTGCAGGCGTTTTTGTGCCTTCTGAACGATGGAAAAGACATGAGATCGTGTGATTCATGTTTACTGTCCATCATGCGTGCGCCCCATGCCGCGAGCTACACCAGACTGGGGAACTAGCATGGGTTCTTGGAGGTTGAGTGTGCTGCGGCAAGTTCAATTGGAGGCGAAGTGTTGATGAAGCAAACTTTCATTTTCGGTGTCGTGTTTTCAGAAATCCAAAGGGCCCAAGGTCAAAGCAATTTCATTTCAATGTCTCGTTCGTTCTCGACGGTCGGGCCCGCGCCCGCGAGAGCTGAAATACATGAAGCCGGGATTGGTCCGATTTGTGTTGTGATCGGTGCGTCTGAAAAGCACGCCAGGAACGCCGCGATTGCGTCTCGTCAAGAGTCCATCCAAAGCCCGCCGTCGAAGTGAAAGTAGTCGATCTCGAACCAATACGTCTGCCAGACAATATTGAGACTGGAGGGACCTGAACCGCTGTTCAGGAAGCGGAGGGAGCGCCGGCGAAGCGAGCCTTGCGGGCCTCGGCCTTGGCCTTGTCCTCTGCGTTCATCCATGTGCCGCTACCACCAGCATTGCTCTTTGCTGAATCGTTACCCTTGCGTTCGCCGCCGCGTTCACCGCCGCGTTCACCACCACCTCCCCTCCGGCCCTGGAAGCGACCGCCACGGCCCCGCCTCTTGTTGTTACCGCGGGCACCCTCGTCTCCAGCATCTCTTCCGCGCTTGGGACGGCGCTCAGGCAGAGCCTCGTTAAGTCCCCTGGGACCAGACGCGGCAGCATCGGTGCCGAACTTCTTGGCCCTTTCCAGCAGCTTGGCAGCCTCGTCATCTTCGGGGAGGCCGAACTTCTTTGCGCGCGCCTTGCGCTTCTCCAACTCCTCGTCCAGAGTCGTCTCCTTCAATCCAGAAGTGAAATCTTTCTTCTCAACAGGCGCCTCGGCGGGCTTCTCGGTGGTGGGCGCATCCGTGGCTGCGTCAGGCTCGGGTGCCTTGACAGACAGATCCTCGGTCTTGGACGGGTCGACGTCGGCAACTTGGTTCGGAACGGCCTGGGGGTTTGCGACGGCACCCTGGCCGCCGGCCTTGATGGCAGTGGCGGAGGCCTCGGTGGTCGCCGCGGCGGCGGCGGGCTTCGCGTCGGTGGTGTCATCGTCCCAGTCAATCTCGTCTTCGGGAGGCGCCGCCGCCGTGGTCGCAGCGGGCTTCTCGGGGGCGGCCTTGTCTGCTTCGGCCTTGTCGGCTTCCTGGAGACGCGCGACCATGTCGGCCTTCTTGCCGGTGTGGGGGAGCGACCGCTGCTTGAGGAGAGCCTCAAGCTCGGCGTTCTTCATCTTCGCGTAGTCGGTCATGCTGGCGGGTACTGTCGGCGATGAGGGTGATGGAATTGGGGTTGTGGTTGCGCTGGCGGAGAGCTGGCGCGACGCGTCGATCAGTTTGGAGTGCGCGAACGGCGAGGGCGGGTGGAGCGAGACGAAGCAAGGAAAGGTGGGAGCGAAGGGCGAAGCAGCGGGGTGAGGGAGCGACTGACAATAGCAGTAGCGCTGGGGTGAACAATAGCAGCGCAAGTGAGATGAGGCGCGGCGTGAGCGGATGCGTGCTTGTTGTCGCGAAGTCGCAGGCCGCGTAGCTGGCGCCGCCAGCCACCAGCCCGGTTGCGGCCTGAGGCTGCCTAAGGCCGCAAACCCAGGCACAAAACAAAGGGGCTGTGGCTGTGGCAGGCACCTCCCGGCGTGTGGCGCGAGCCTCACGCTGCTGCGCCACACGCACTGGGCAATGATGACTCCTCACACACGCCAACAGTTCTGAACCTGACACTGCCGCCCACCGCCAACACGCCAGGGCCATACTACGACGCGCTGCTACACGTTGGCGTCACCGCTTCCCGACATCACGAGGACGTTGAGCTGGCACCCTGGCTCTGAATTCGTGAGGCGTCCTGTCCGACAACCCCGCCGTCGGCTATCGTCCACGGCGCCTGTCAACAAGAATGAGGCCAGAGCAGCTGCAGCCCTGAGCGTCTCTGCCAACGCCTCGTGAACTCGGCCGCGCGGAGCAGACTGCTTCTTTTGTGCGTGATGGTGTGCTGGCCTCGATCTCTCAGGCGACGTGACATGGCTGATCGCTTTGCACAGCAAAACTCTGCAATGCGCCAGCATTGCCGACGAATTCCCATTTTTTTCTCTTTACGTTAGTCGCCGTTGTATCTCCTTCCGGTTGGCCTTGTTACGTCAACTACTGGTTTTCTTTCCGTCTTTCTCAGCATGACCAATCATCGAGCATGAATACGAGGTGCACAGGCTCTCGCCCGAGAGCCGCCGGACAGAAGGTGTCACACTGCCAACTTTCCCATGAAGCGGCTGCTGTGTAGCAGGCCGAGATACCCGGCAGATTTCACGGCAGGATGTTGTGCCTCGACATCGGCCTTCTCATGAGATTCAGCAACAGGGCAATTTCCAGACGAGCTGATGCCTAATTGGGATAGACATGCCATACATCGCCCCGTCAACCATGGGGGCCGCTTCGATACTTGGACCAATCTCGCTGTATCGTTTTTGAAAATGTTGGTATCTGCTTTTCTGCGTCCGCGTTGGTGAGGCCGCTCAGGTGGTCACGATAAGGATTATTTCCCCGTCCGAATTTGCGCACCGACTCAGTGCGGCTCGATGAATCTCCACATCCGATTGGGTGTTCTGAAATTTCTTCCAATATTGCCTTCTCCGTCAACGCCGTTTTTTGACGTGTTGTTAATACGGATCAGCCTGATGAGCATTCCTCCGCATACAGCCCGAAGGCGGCGCTTAACGACTCTCTACCGATGCGGCCATCTGGCAGGTTCGGAGATCTAGACTTCATCACCCCACTATCCCCACCAAGGTCAAACGAACAGCAACGAACACCTCACAAACCTCTAACATTCCCCACCTTGTTTCACTCCATCTATCTTCAGGGCTAGCGATGGCGGGGATTGGCACACCAACGCAGCCGAGCCTCTCCACCCAGCATTGCGCGATATTCAACACCGCCTCTAGGCGCGGTTGTATCGGTGCGGTTACGCGCCATCGTCGATCTCTCATCTTGGAGGCTGCCCATCACACAGTGGACTTCTTGATGGAGCGGATTGCAGATCTCGTCACACCCGATGTCAATTCTAGCCTCTCCACCAAAGGGTTCTCCCGCCTTGTGACAGCGGATATCCTTGGTGCGGAGATGCGTCCCGATAGATTGCGATGCGAGCGAGCATCGTTTTCGGCAAAAGCGCTCCTTCCCGTGGTCCCTGGGGCCGGGATAGAGTGGAGAGCTGGACGAGTCAAGAGGCACGTTGGGCAGTATCATGCGGTGGAGAAGGACGGGAGACGGGAGTCGTCCGTTGGCCGTTGGGCAGGATGGTCCCTGCTGGTCCAGGAGCAAGATGGAGTCGCAACACGCACCAGGCTCTTTTACGCGCAGCGAGTGAGAGTGGAAAAGTACAACTCGCGGCCCTCATTGGTTCGCAAGACATGACATCTAAGCTCTCCCGGGTAAGGCGCGGTCATGTGACCATTTTCGTATGCGGACAGGGCCTGTCTCGTCACCCGTTTGCCGACCAGTCACACGGCGCAACAGGGTTTTTTCAAAAAAGTGGCTTCCGCACGACCAGCGCCAGGGAGCGCGCCGAGATTGAAGCTTGCGAGCGGGATCTCCGCCTCGTTTCCAAAGTTTCCAACATCACAACTGCGTTGCTGAGCGAAATTTTGCAAAGAGTCGGGCGGCCGCGCTCAGCTGCGACGGATCTGCACGATGCGCTGGCAGTGGCGTCGGCAGCACTGCCACACCGAGAGCCGCGCCAGGAAGGGCGGGCGGGCGCCGTGGCTGGAGCGCGCGCCCTGTCTGGGGAATTTGCGCACCCGCGGCGCATCTCGGACTGGCCGATTTGACCTGCATGCAAGCCCGAGGACCGGAGGCTGGATCGGCGCGGCCTTTGCAAGGAACAGGAGCTGCGCTACGCCGGGATGACTGTGCGCCGGTGGATCAGGTGTGGCGCTTCACACGGCAGCAAGAATCAGTCCTGACGAATGCTTTTCTGGCGTGCGCCGTCTTGGTGGCCGGCCTCTCGCGGCGACGCGCATGCCGGGGCCGGCTGGGCTGGCTTACTTCAGCTGCGATCGGCAGCAGAGGCCGCGGTGTTGCGAGTGCGGGCAGCATTGTTGTGGCCTGGATTTCAGGTTAGCCGCTGCCGCCCTCTTTACGCATCCCACGCCGCGGCGACGAATTGCGGCCGCGCCCAGCTGCAGGGGCGCCGCTCGCCTGCTCCACCTGCGAATCGACGCTGCTGTCGCCGCTCACTGGCCTGCAGCCCTTCCTTCGCCCGTCCCATGAGCCTCCAAGCGCCCAACCACGCGCGGCGCCGACAAGCGCGGGCGGCACAGCCCAGCTCGCGGGCGACTGCTGCCGCGGCCTCGACAGTGGGCAGTATATACCGGCCGTGGCCAGCGTCGCGGTCGCACGACGCAAAACCTCGCTTCTCCTCGCGGGCCTCTGCTCGGCTCGGCTCTCGCAACGGCTGTAATCGATAGGCTGGCCGACGCTTAGCCTCCGGCTCTTGGGCTGCACTGATCCACGGACACCAGCGGCACTGCCCTTCCACAGGCGCTCGGGCGGCACGCTCGCGCCATCTTCTCCACGTCAGACCTCAAAAGTACATCATCTCGGACGCCAGACCCTGTTCCCGGCGTGAATCGCGCACTGCGCTTGCGGCCAAACATAGCCCACGCGAGTCAACACCGTGGCAAGGGCTCCGGCTGAGCCACAGGGTTCGCATGCCCCCTCCGCTATTCGCTCGGCAGACCCGGTGGCGTCACGTACAAGAGACTTTCATACTCCTGCTCGAGCGCGGGGATCGCCCGCCTGCTCCTCCTGGCCTCTGCTCTCCCTCGAATTAATACCCAAGTGCTACCGGATGCTATGTGCCTTCTCTCGCTGCTGTAAGCTGTTCCCCATCTGGTAACACACCTCGCCTAGCCCGCCCTTGCTCCGTCCTCGTGCAGCGCTGCTCGCGCTGACTGCATATTTTCATCCTGGACCTGGTACCCTCTGTGCGCTGTCCCACGTCTTATACGAAGAAGCTGACGCCCAGTTTACAGATAGCACGACAGGTACGCTCATGCTTCCATGCGCCCGCCAGCGCACACGAGTGTCCGGAAGACAGCCCTTGGCAATCCTGCTTCCGACGCAAGTCCCGTCGCACCAAGCAGGCTTCCGAGATGGCTTCCTACCAGGTTAAATCCCAGCACGGCCTGTCGTCGAGACATGACGCCCCATCATCCATTCCCCAGCGCAACCTCTCGACCCGCTTGCCCACGAGGTCGGCCACCCCGAGCTCGTCCGCAAGCCATGCTTCCGGCGCCCTGTCGAAGCTCACTAGAAAAAAGCCCGACGCCAGTAGGGTATATGGGAACGCAGCAGGTGCCACTAGCAGCAGCCAGAGGGTTGCTGCGCCGTCGAAGAGCTCGGGCTCCGGTGCGATGCGCCGCGAAAATGCTACTGGATCAGGACGGACGCAACCCAACCATTCGCCTCACCCCACCACCATAATCCGCCCTCCACGTTTTGATGCAGCCTCCACTCGCACTCCGTCCCTCATGTCGGGCTCAACCGCAACCGCCTCCACCCATGACAGCCCCAGGTCCGCCATCTTGAGGAGAAAAGCTTCCTCCATTGGCAGGCCTGCCCGCTCCGAATCTTCCGTCGCAAAAGCCCCGGTGCCCACTAAGGCCCAGGACCCTTACGCGGACACCGTTCTTGGCATTGCAGTCCCTGCACTCGTGCCCACCATGGACCCAATTGATGAGGAGAGGCGTTCAATGCTTGCGCCGCCCATCGGCCATGACTTACCTCCTCAGCTAAAAACCGATGACTTGCCACCCCCCACTCCGGCTTATGCACTTTCGGCGAGCCCGTCTACGCGATACTCCGAGTCGCCGGGCCGATTCAGTCACACATCCTCGCCTACATCCATGTCTTCTCACTCTCCTGGCGTGGTTTTTCCGTCGAAGCTTGGGCCACGCCAAAGACAGGCCAGCCCCACAAGGAGCAGGCCGCCTGTAACGAGGCGCAAGACAGACGACAACGGATCCACAAATGATCTCCATGGCCTTGCTTCGCTCCACGAATCCACAGCCTCGTCTTCCTCATCCTCGACAGTCCTAGCACCTGCGAGCGACAGGAGACAGCTGATGGCAAACCCTGAGAGGTCATTGGCGCTGAAGTCGCCTCTGAAACGGGAGGTTTCTCCTAGCGCTAATAAGGCAATGTCCCCTCCGGAGCGCTCCTCCCAAATTACCGTCCAGACCAGGATTTCTGTCCAGTCAATTAGAGATGCACCCGTCTATCCCCCGCCCGAGCTGGCCCATCTTGCAGAGACGAAGCCGCCACAGAAGCCTGTTGCACAGAAGCCATTGAGACCGAGTCGTGAAGGAACCCCAGATCTGTCTGGTCTGCAAGGGGGCCCGTCGCCTGTCGTGCAAAGCAACCTCACCAAGTTGCCTGTTCGGCACAGGCGTCAGGCTTCTTCTGGATCCACCAGATCTCCGCTAAGCGCCGATGCCTCCCGAAGGCCTTCATTCAGTGCCTCTCCGAACCCAAGCGTCGGATCGACCTTTTCGCCCGTGTCAACTCACATCTCGACAACCAGAGGAACGACGCCCGATCAGCAAGCCGAAAGCGAAAAGAACAGCTCTTCCGTTCCTCCCAGCCCCAACAAAGGCACTTCTAGATTTGGATTCTTCTCGAAGCGAACCAAGTCTGAAGGAGCGCCCGTCCCGCCCCGCAAAGAGAAGAAGCTGGTCCGTAAGGGACCGATGGCAGGTACTGGACATGAGGGATATGGGAAGTATGGCATAGGTCGTGGTCGAAGCACAAGTGCTACCAGCGTTACGTCCAGCTACGGTCGGTCCAACAGCCAGGACAGCGTTGCCAGCAACGGTGCGGTGCGACCATCCGCAAGCAGGAAGAGTAGTTTGAAGAGTGAACCAGAGATGGATGGCTTTCTCAGGGACCGTCTTAATCCGAAGATATTGCGTGGTGAAGGCAGTGCGCCCTCAAGCGTGGGTGCTAACTCGGAAGGGGATCGTAGCGCCAGCAGCTTGGATTCAACGAAGGAACGCCCTGGCGCAGCCTCTCGCAACAACTCTGCCGTATCTGTGTCACACTCAGGACGCCCAAGCGCCGAAAGCACCAAGCCCACGCTATTGCCCTCCGCATTGGCCGATCCTGGTCGTGGAACGTCGCCATTCAGGGTCGGAGGTTTGCCAGGCACAATCCGCCGTCCAAGCAGTAGCGATTCCAGTTTGTCCGTCAATTTGTTTCCCTCCTCGTCCCAGTATGGCAATGCGTCTACCCATTTCCATGACCAGGCATCGACTGCGACTCCAACCAATGGTGGTGTAAGACAGGAGAACAAACTGAGAAAGAAGAAGGAGCCAGAGACCAAGCCGGCCCGTCGGTGGAACTTCTTCCAGCGAGCTCAATCGGCACCGAAACACGAGCCCAAGCCGCAAACGCCACCGGTCCAGCAGCCAGTCCCTGCGCCTATTTCTGGCCCAGTTCCCTCCAGGGCGGTTGCACATTACGCGATAGATGACGAGCAAGAAGTCGATCTGGAGTACCTCGAAAGGCTGATGGAAGAGGCGGAGAGGCTCGGTTACGAGTCTTCGGGCTCTCGACCCCCGTCGCTCCACCGTGGCAGCAGCTTGTCCAGGAGGCACGGAAACTCGATCCTTCTTCCATCTCCTCCAGTAATCAGTCGGCCCTTTGCTGAAATTCCGAGGCCTGCATCACCGAAAGTATTCCTGCGCAACGCCAGCCTTTCTGAACCCGAAGAAACTCGCTCAGCACCAGTCGCTGCTCCGGTCGAGATCCAAACGACACAAGCTGCTACCCCTATTCCAGTTCCGCCTGCTCGCGAGGCTGAGCTTGAGCAAAAAGTCGAACCTGAAGCAAACCGTCCACCCCGTCCTAGTCGTCTACAGCAGGTCGGACGCATTCCGCAGGTCATCTCAACAAGAGACCGCAGGCGAAACTTGTCCATCAACTCCTTCTCACGACCATTTGTTCCTGCCCTGCCGTCGCCTGCCGTCGCAACCCACTCAGAGAAGATGTCGGAGGATGTGCCGCTTGAATCCGGGCAACCTAAACAACAAGAGCCTCCCACTACTGAGACTGTTTCGCCACAGTTCACCCAGGATGCCATGCCACAGCCCCTGTTCGCGGGTTCGGTTACCACGCCAGAAGAGAATACCCAGGCTGCTCCTGAGTTTTTCGCCTTCCCGCCCCGTAAATTCTCCGAACTTTCTTATACGAGTAGCTCTGGAAACTCTAGCTTCCCGCCTTCGACCGCCGTCATTCCCGCTCCCGGCGCCCCGCTGCTGGAAGACGAGGTGTGGTACGAATATGACGATCTGATCGACGAGGTCCTTTCGTCTCCGGAGTCCCACGCGAATCGACAGAAGGATCGTCCCGTTAGACGTCGATCGCGGGCTAGTGCAGCTCTGCAGGAGCAACGGCCCCTCCAGCTCGGAGATGCAGGTGATCGAACCACTGTCTTTGAAGAGGATATCTCACCCCGCACTTCCGTGCAGGCCCGAAACTCTACTGCAGCGTCCGTGCACCTGCGCCGCTCGCGTCTCCTTGCCGCATTTCAGTCATTAGCGACGCCTTCCTCCGCAGGGACCACTTCCGACTTTCCCTCTGATGAAACTGTTCGGGACCTCAGCCTGGTTGATCCGCACACGGGCAGACTAAGCCTTCCGTCCATGCGCTTGAGTCTGAACTCAGTCCAGCAAGAAGAACCTGCAGAGTCTGTTCTCTTGGACTCGCAGGAGCAAGAGCAGGAGACCCAATTTCAACAGGACAAGACACAGCAAGCTCAGGCGGAGCCCGTGAAGCGCGTTCACTTCCGCGATTCCCGGCTGATTGAAGTAGCGGAGAACAACAGGGAAGGAGTGATGTCGATGGCAGAACTCAGGCACGGTGCTTTGATGGTCAGCAAGTGGCTGTCGTTTGGGAGAGTGTTGTTCAGCCCGGCCCATTTCGAGCTCAAGAACAGCGTCGAAGACCGCGTCCTGGTTCTGGACGGCCTAGGTCAGGGTACGTATCTCCCAACATTCAATTCCCAACAGCAGGATTGCTAACCAACGACCAGACTGGTCTTACTACTGCGCTCTTACCTATCCCAAAGCCCAAGTGTACTACATCAGCCCCACGCCTACCAACTCCTCGCCGCAGTCTGGTCCTGTCTCTCCTGCGCCAAATTATCGCCAAATCCATCATCCCGACCTCCTTGCTCCTTTCCCGTTCCCGAAGGGGTTCTTCGCTGCTGTCGTCTTCCGCTTCCCGACTGCTGCTCCCGAGCATGTGTACCGCTCTGCGATCTCAGAGTGCAAGCGTGTGCTTCGCCCTGGCGGTCACCTCGAAGTGAGCGTTCTGGATCTGGACCTTGTCAACATGGGCAATAGGGCGAGAAGAGCTGTTAGGGACTTGAAGATGCGCATGCAGAGCACTGACTCTGAGGTTTGTCTCATGAACGCCAGCGACGCCTTTCAGCGCTTGATTGGACGCCGCGGATTCGAAAATTTGAGTCGTTGCATCGTCGGAGTGCCAACGGCGGGCAAGATGCCTAAGAGCGTCGACATGACAAATTCTGCCGGCAGCGGCCACGCTTCCACGAACGGCATGCCAACCCAGGCTCGGTTTGGCGACTCTACCAACATGTCGGGTCAGGCGAGCTCTCCGGATGACGACATCGCGAAGATGGTTGCGCGCGTTGGCCGCTGGTGGTACTCAAGGTGCTACGAGAGCATGCTCCTGCAATCCGATAGTGACCCGAGCCAGAACATCTGGTCGGATGAGACACTGCTGCACGAGTGCGAGAAACGGCAGACGAGCTTCCGATTGCTCATCTGCTACGCACAGAAGCCGACCGTTACGAGGAGAAGGACCGTCAGTGTTTGATTTGTCAAATTTTTCCGCGACACACGGTCTCACCGAGCATCTCACGGTTGGTTCGTGAGGTTTCATCATCTCATCCTCTCTCCGCACTTGACAAATCTCCGACACCCCCCCACCACACCTTTTCTCAATTTCTCAGTATATGCCCGTTTTTTGTTTGCTGCGTTTTAGCGATCCTCTTGTAACGGCTGACTTTTTGTTTGATCGGCTCTCTCTGTCTTACGTTTCCATCTCATCTTTGCACAGCAGGAGACTGCGATCATGGGCGGCTTAAACTGTTGTTGTCGTTGGTTGTTCAAGATTGGACCACATATCCATGGGCGCAAGCCCCTCATACCCCTCTCACACCCGCATACGTTTCACACCATTTACACGCACTCTACATACCCCGTCATGACAGACACGAAGTTTGATGTACAGATTGGATCATGCACGCTCACACACACCTTCTGCAACCCCTCCTCACCATACGAAAAAAAGGAAAGATGACGAAGAGACGGTCGATACCAGAATTACCCCCCCTCATACGTTTGAGATTGGAACGACAAAGATCTGGACCGATGAGGGGGACATTTTAATAAGGCCTTTTAATACGTAGCTGCTTGTTTTCGGTTTTCTGTTTTCCCTTTTTTCTTATTTTTCTCCTATTTCCTTCCTGGCTGTTTTTTCTCCCCTTTTCGTAGTTTTCATAGCTCTGTTGCGTTTCTTTGGACCATGCTGGATGTGGGACTGGACGACGGGACGGCAGGAAAGTGGGTTAATAGCTGTTAGGCATCTGTTGTTGTTTTATCGGTTGATGGGAGGCGTTTGGAATTTGGGAAAGCACCCCGTGGCGTCGGGAGAGGGACAATACCCATTGTTGTTGTTTGTTGTTGCTGTTGACGATAAGAGAGCCGGCGCAGAGAAGAAGAAGAAGAAGATAGCGCGTGTTGGAGGAGGGATTGGCTGTGCTGGGCACGCGCCCTTTGGTACGGCTAGTGATGGGGGATACAGTACGTTGTAGCGTGTTTGACAAATGTGAAAAAGAAAAAGTTTTGCAATGATTGTTTCCCCCCTTTTGCTTCAGTGTTTCTTTGTCTTGTTCGCTGAGATTTGTAATGGCTATCGTCTTCTTGTCGGTCGCTCAAAGAACTTGGTATTGTCAATGAACTGAGTTTTGTGATGATGACTTCTCCTTAAGACTGTTCAGCGTTTGTGAACATTTAAGTGAACCTCGTCCTAAATACTGAGGACCAATACGAATCATGGAAGTCACTTTCAGGCTCGGCTGATCATACTCTCAGATTTACTTTGACTACAGCATTGATACACATTTCAGGTGATCGACTTGCTCTCAAATGTCCATCCTTGTGGCAACCACAATCTATGAAGACGATTGAATCATTGGTCGAGAAACACAGGAGCCAAATGAGCCTGTCAGCAGACGTTTTCCAGTCCAGCTTGACTGATTCTTCAAAAGAACCTACAGGTCTATGTGCGTAGCCGATTTCTTCTTTGGTACCGTCACCTACTAAGATGCGGGTTGCAAGTTGAAGAGGGACGTTGCGTCCGACTGTTGCGGCGGTTTTTCCGTCCACTATGAAGTTCGAATATACACCTAGTCTTCTCTTACAAGTTTAAGTCTATTAATTGGGCTCGTTTTCGTGTGAGAAGATTTTTGAATAGTCTTTTTGTAGAGCGATGATCACTTTCATCATCATGCGGTGATGATGAGCTTGGGTGTTCTGGCCAAGTCTGGCTGAATGAGGTGTACGTTGGGGTCGCCTATAGAGTAAGCCATAACAGCTTGCCATCGCTACAGATTTTTCAGCTGGGGAACAAGAGCAAACAGTACGATCCTTCGAACTCGGGAATGAGTCAGCAAACATTAGAAAGAACGAGTCACTACGTGCTGAGGAAGCTTGAGGCTTGAGAAACTAACGACCACCACGCTTTTATAATGCAATATGGACTTCGCAATCGCAGCACCTACGTGCAATCCGCTGTCGGTTTGGGTCAGGCGGCGGTTTTCGCGCGTGTTCAGGAAACTGACTTCAATCATCACAGCATCGGCACCGGGGGGGTTCTACGTATATAAAATCTTAATATCAACCTCGTCAAGTTGCCACCATTTGGACAAAACTCCCACACTTACGGGAACCCCAGGAATCACATATCTGCCACACTGTTCGTGCCTGTGCCTCTTTGCTTATAATCCCCGAGACTTCGTCTACAGGACGGACATCGGGAGGGATCTCGGTGAGCGGACGGCTCTATCAGCAGTCTGCAATCACGAAAATGCTCACCAGATTACAGACTTCATGACTCTTAGCATCTCCGGATGATGCGGGCCACCAGCGAAGCTTCAAATTAAGCATTTGCGCCGCCGGGCAGATGACTCTGATCGCTCCAGGAGGAAGTCGGTAACGTCCCAGGATCTCGAAGCAAGCAGTCGTAAAGAACCACTTCTTGTAGCGGTCAGAATTGACCTAGGAGCGCAGCTTAGCGATAGAATCTGACCTCCCCATGGTATTTAACTGATCCTCTTCCACTTCCCCTGGCTTCGTCAGCAGACGTGCTCGTGGAGGTGCACCGTTTGAAAACGTGCGTCACGCGGCAGCATTCGCGTGAAAGAGCTGGCTATCTGCTCGTCATGAAGGCATCTGTACTGACAAGCCGCCTTGCGACTGCCAGTTGGGATGTGGAAAACTGCTTGTGAGACTTTCGACCTGGGATATAAAGCAGATTGGAGTAGCGTCGGCTGCTGGTTCATTGTCGTCTTTCGCAGTCTCTGACGAAGGAGCAGGAGGAACTGCGTGGCTGGCTCCATTTGGAACAGTTAGCTAATACACTGTTTTGTGTCCCGCTGCCTTCCTCGGACCTTCGTGCTGTAAAAGCCGGGCTAAGGCTTCATTCGAAACCGACTTCCACACATAATGATGATGATGATCATCATCATCTAGTGTTAATGTCAAGTTTGATTTATGAAAACCGATATGAGCCGACCAAAAAGCACGCATGGAAGATTTGCCGTCAGAGAAGAAGCCTTCCACACGAAAACGCAAAAGTCCAGTTTAGCTGTGTTGTTATAACGCTCTCTCAAGAAAAGATCCCGGCAATGAATCCTCAACTATCTCAGCCTCGGACCTTCATGAATTTATACCCTAGTTTCCCTATCGACCCCGTGACCTTGCGAAAGAGAACGAGTACGTTCCCATGCGAACCGGCATTCGAATCGCCCCCAGTCGCTGATCAGCCGCTGACCAGACCCACATTCACCCACCAACCCCACAACAACCCCCCACCACAAGTTCCGAACCGATCGACCGGCTTTACCGGTAAGCGTTCCATAGAAATGCCCAACAACTAACCCAAAGTTTGAACAACACGAGTTGCCGACGAAAAAAGAAGGTCGTCGCTTGTATGCACTCTTCGGAGCTCGGTCGTCCCGGGTACCGGTAAGAACAGCAGCAGGCGTGCCCGGAATCTCACAACATCGCAGAAACCCACGCGAGAGAGAGGGGGGAGGGGGG